AATTCCTTCATGGACACCTCTGGACGTCACACTCATTTCCAGAAGGCCTCAAACCTTCCGGACGCCCGCCTTCTCTAAGCACCCCTGCCCCATGACATAACAGGAGGGAATCCCAGAGTTTGGAGCTGAGGGAAGATGTATGGCTACAGGCTGCCCCCTGCTGCCCCAGATGTGCATCGCAATCATCGCCCGTTCAACTACTTTCACCTAAAAGGCATTCAGCTGCCCAGTAATAGGAAGTTCCAGAATATAGAAAATAAAGAGGATGGCTCCAGATTATTTTTTCCAGTGCTTAAAATGCCCCCAATTCCCAGGATCCCTGCGTCTTCAGAATATAAACCACTGAGTTTATGTGGGATGCTTTTCCACTGTAAATACTAATTTAGGCAGAGACCAGAAATGGCGGTCAGCAGGGGTTCTGGCCCTGACACCCCATTTCCTACCCACAGAACCAGTGGGAGACATGGTTTTCTGAGCGCCCGGGCTCTGCACCAAACCCAGAGAGGATCAACCGTCCCTCACGAGGCCATCACACTTCAGGGAGAAACGCAAGCCCTGAAGTGCTCTACAATTATTATTTTTAACATAATTATCTATCAGGGAATATTTAAATGATCTCCCAGAGCCTAGATGGGTATCGAAAATGTGGAGCGCCTAGTCGCCGGAAATCTTCAAGGATGCTCGTGGGGGAAACGAGGACTAGGTAAGTGTTAGCAGCGTGATCACACAAGAGCAAAGCAGCCCCTGAGACCACTACCCTCGGCGCAGCCCGCTGGCAGGACCGCCCTTCACGGGGCTCTGGGAACCTATATGTCCGGAGGGTTCCCTCCCTTCCCTGGTAAGAGTGATTCCCTCTGCCTAAACTGTGCTACAATATGGTTCATGTGGAAGATGGGCTTTCCTTCTGGGACTCTGGGATCTGGGGATGTGCTACACAGAGGTGCCTACATGACCGCCCCGCCACCCTGTGAAAGCCCTGGGCACTGAGTCTCTGAAGGGCCTACTTGGTCAAGGCACCTGGGTGGCTCAGGTGGTTGAGCATCGGATGCTCAGTCAGCTCAGGTCATGAGCTCAGGATCCAGGGATCAAGCCCCTCGTGGGGCTCCAGGCTCCTCAAGGAGTCTGCTTGACATTCTCTCTCTCTCTCTCCCCCTGCCCCTCTCTCTGCCCAAGTGCTTGCTTTTGCTCTCTGTCTCTCAAATAAATGAATAAATCTTAATAATAATAATAATAATAATAAAGAACCTACCTAGTCGACAACCTTTTATAGGTGTTGTCAAAACTCAGTGCCAGAGGAGCCCGCGTGCCCTGTGTGAGCCCACGGAAGACAGTTTAGAAGCTTGTGCCTTGGGGCGCCTGGGTGGCTCAGTGGGTTAAGCCTCTGCCTTCAGCTCAGGTCATGATCTCAGAGTCCGGGGATTGAGCCCCGCATCGGGCTCTCTGCTCAGCGGGGAGCCTGCTTCCTCCTCTCTCTCTCTACCCGCCTCTCTGCCTACTTGTGATCTCTGTCTGTCAAATAAGTAAATTTAAAAAAAATCTTAAAGAAAAAAAAAGCTTGTGCCTGGTTTCCTCCGGGCTTCATCTCATATGCCTTTTCTCTTTCCTGATTTTGCGTCGTTTCCTTTGGCCACAATAATCAGGGCGGTGAGCACTACTGTAGGCTGAGTCCTGGGAGTCCTCCTAGCCCATGTCCAAGCTGGGGGTGGTCTCAGCGACCCCGACACACAGCTTCTGGTTCTGGTGGGGACCAGCCCAACTGGCAAACTCGAGTCTGGCCGGAGAGGTGCTCTGTACGCTGCACGTCATGAAAATGTCTGCACCCTCCGATTCGGTCATCCCGTTCTAGGAACACGTCCCGTCCGCAACAGCGCAGCAGACGGAGGCACAGATATCCATTGGAACGAATGCCAAATCCGGGAACAGAGTAAATGCCCAAGAACAGGGAAATGGCTAAGTATATTGTGACACACCAGTTGTAAGAACCCGATTAAAGGGAGGAGTATAAAGATGATGAAGAAAGACATGAAAAGATGTTTCCGATGTTAAATTTTTTAAGGCTGGGTAAATTGACAGCAAAGAACAAAAGGAACTGTTAAAGTGAAAATGGCTGGGATGACAAGGGGGTGTGGATTTCTCCACACCTAAATTACCTTGAATGCTGCTGTTGTCATCATCTCCGAACTTTCTGGGGACTCGGCAGGAGCAGCTGGAAAGGTGTGAGCGGTGGCCCTGAATCCGTCTGCTTTCACCACCTTTCTTGAAGCCTTCAGGGTGTGCACATGGGGGAAACAGAGTTAAGCCAGTTTTCATTTGGGAAAGAGAGATCTAGGGGACAGGAAGGAAGCCTAAACTAAGCAGGCAAAGACTTTCCCCACTGCAGTCCCTGCCCTCCCGGAGCCCCGCCTCTCCCTGCACCTCATCTGGTGACCCCCATTTCTGCTTGCTCCCGTCTCTGCTCAGGGACGTCACTCCCTCCACCGGCTCCCGACGGGAACCTCTTCCCCTTGCCCGAAGTGGGAGCTCCCGCCCAGGCCTAGCCCTCCGCCAGCAACTCGGGAAGGGGCAGGGTCTACAGGTAGTGGGCGTGGCTTCTCGAGCAAGCCCCACCCCACCTGCCCCACAGGGCGGAGCCTCACTCCGCGGTCGAAATCTCTCAGGTTGCTGCCACCTGGCCCAGGGGAGCCAGGCCTGCACAGCAGAGCCCCGGCTGTAGAGTTCTACCAGAACCTACCTTAAGGTCCTTCTGGGATTGAGAGAAATCCATTGAAATACAGCTCCAGCAACCCCCAAATCCAAGGATTTTTGTCCTGTCCTGGAAGGTTGTATAGAAAGTTACATCACAAGGTGTGGGGTGTGGAAGGGGCAATGACTTGCTCAAGGACATCCAGCAGATGTCCTGGCAAAGCTGGCAGAGTTGGGACTGGAACCCAGTGTCCTGATTCCCTTTGGGGGGGTCCCCCAGGCTGGGCTTATGGAGACCCACCCAGAGTGGATCTGGACACTTTTTGGCTCAGTGACTGAAGAAAGAGAATGTGTTCAAGCTGGACTGGCAGGTGAAGTCTTTCTCCCCACAACATTTTATTTTGAAAAATTACAAACATATAGAAACGTTGAAAAAATGGTACAGTGCACAACCATATACCCAGGACCTAGATTGTACAATTAACATTTTGTTGTATTTGCTTTGTCACATTTCTGTTTGTCCCTCTACCATCTGACAGTCTGAAATAGTTTCTGAATTAAAGACCAACCTGAACAGAAATATTCAGCCTCTACATACATCAAGCCCTTAGTCATCCTGGATGTCCCTGCTGGCCTTTTTCGTCCTGTTCCTTGTCTTTGGAGCATGTGGCCAGGTATCTGAGCAAACCGCGTGGCTGTTCCAGGCTGTTCCAGGCTGCTCCAGGCTGCTCCACACCTCAGCCTGCCGCTGAGCTTACAAGAAGCGTCCCATGCAGCAGGCACTGACCGTCTGTACCCACACACTCATGGGACCTCTCCCAGAGTTTCAAGGAGGTCAGAGCTGCCACTCCTCGGCAAGGTGGGGACTGGTCCTGGCTGTGCTGGGGGCCCAGCTGCCGAAGAGTTATTCAACCACCGGGGCAACCTCCTTCTCGGCCCCTGGGCATTCACCCCATCCACCTTTACTGGGAAAACATCAGGATCGTAGAATGCCAGCCTGCCTGTCCCAGCTCCGGAGGAAGAACACCGGAGAGAGGAGAGACAGCCCCGCTGGCCCCACAGCCTCTGCTTTCGGACTGATGTCACTTGGCCCCCCTCAGGTGAATGCTGGCGGCTGTCACCCCGTCTCTGCTCCAGCCCTCTGCCTGAAGCCAACGTGTGCTTCCCCACTGCTCACCTGGGCCGTGGCAGTGGTACTCCCAGGCCTCTTGTCTTTCCTGAGGGTTCTCGTTCTTTCCCTTGTGCACCAGCTGGGAGGAGTGCCTGAGGGCACCAGCTGAGGCCAGCAGGAGGGGCCTGGAGCCACAGAGCAGAGCGACTTGGGCCCCACTGAGTCAGAGCAGAGTCACAGCCAAAGGCTCAGAGCATGAATCCCCACCCTCCGGTTCTCCCTGTTTCCTTCAGAGGATCTAAAGTCAAGGCCAAGCCTCAGGGTAACCTAAGGACCTTGGACAGGCACTTAATTTTACTGGCGAGGGCCTCCGTTCCCTCCTGGGTTGAATGGGGTTGGAAATCTATGTCTCAGAGGACCCGGCGGGTTGAGCCAGATGAACGATGGTGCTTTGTAAACCTTCCAGGTTGATGCGGCTAGAACAGGTATTAATGACAGAGTCACTGATTTCTCCTCGCCCGCCCCTGCTCGGAACCCCTCCAGCAGGGAAGCCGAGCATCGCTCCCCGCATCCCAGCATCCGGCATCTGCTCTAGAGCTCACATAGCGCCTCCCTCGGCCCCTCTCCTGGGAGCCCCGCATCCGCAGGGAGCTGAAAGGATGACTATTGTCAGTTCACCGACCCCAGGAGGGGCAGGGGCTGCTCGAGGTCATGTGGCAGTTGGAGGCCTGGCCCCAAACCCCGCATCCTGTCTGCTGAGGAGCCGGGGCTTTTCTTACGGCCCCAGAAGCCAGGGCTTTGGTATCCCTCACCCCAGTGCTGTTTTGAGGTCTCCAGCCGGGGGCCTGGGGTCAGAGCTGAAGAGCAGCTGAGCCGGGTCTGGCACAGACGCAGAAACTCTCTCCAACTGCCCCCCCACCAGGGTTCAGATGTCACACACACACTGGGAGCTGCTGGTCTCCTCGTCCCCTCGGCAACAGTCAACACAGGCAGACGCTGGAAACACAGCTCGGCTTGAGTGCCCTCCCCAGCCCGCATCAGCCACTCTGGGCTTGGGGTCTAGACAGCTAGTGAGGGGGACCCCTGCACACACTTCCCGGGGGTTGGGGGGCTCCCAGAGAGGTCCAAGCTCAGACCGGAGCTGCCTCTCTCTCTCTCTCCCTCTAACTCTCCAGTCTCTATTTATCTCTGTCTCTGTGTTACACACACACACACACACACACACACCCATGGGGAGCCGCCCCGCCCCAGGGTTCCCGAGAACCACATCAGCTGGGTACCGGCTGCCCTTGACCAGACTGTCAGCCTTGGACTCCTCCACGGCCCGGGGTGGCCCTGCGGTGGACAGGGGTCTCGCCAGCAGTCGCCAAGCCCCCCAGGCCCCAGAAGCAGAGCGGTTGGGCCTGGGGACTAACGGTGTGAGGCAGGATCAGCTGTGGAGGGAGCTCGTGGAGGCCGAGAGGAGGGGCCAACAGCGCTGGTGAGTGCCCTGCCTGACCCCCAGCCTAACTCAGGGTCTAGGAAGCTTCTGGAAGAAGAGAGATCCATGAGAAGGAGTAACCCAGCAAATGGGTGTTGATCGAAAAGTGCCCTGGGCCCAACTGGGGCCTCGAGGGTGGGAGGGAAGGTGGGCAAGGGCCGGATGACCCACCTCCTTCACTCCAGGGTCCCACTGCCCTTTGGAAGAATCCCTCACGGGCGGGCCAGGAAGTCATGGCAGCACTGGCTGGGGGGCAGGGGCGCGAGGGGAGCACCCTGGCCCTCTGACCCGGGTGAGAGACATCCTTCACGCGTTTGTTCAATCCAGACGTTTCTAGGATAGAGCCACCCATCAGGCTGCAGTGAGGGACAAGGCAGGCCCAGACCCGGTTCCTTGGCGCCTCCCTCAGGACAGGGCAGCAGAGAAGCAAGCAGAGAGAGGACGAGTGTCAGGGAGTGAGGGGAGGGTGGGCGCCTTCTTCTTACAGAGGCCCCTCTGAGGAGACAGCATTGAGGCTGAGACCTGAAACCTGAGAAGAGGCCAAGAAGAGTTCCGTGTGTTGAAAAACAAAGCAAAGCAAAGCAAAGACCGTCCATGTGGCGGACGGGAGCCTCAAGATGAGAAGTAGGAGGAGCACCTCATACACTGTAGATGGCCGTATGTGTAAGCGTAGTGAGACCCCAGCAAGGGCTTTGAGGAGCGGCACGATGTGATCTGCCAAAATCTGTGGAAAAATTCAAGCAATGTTTTTGTGGTAGGATTCTGACGACTGCTGATGGGCTGGAGTGAGAATGTGTGCGGTGTGTGCGGTGTGGGGGACATGTGGGGTGTAGGGGGATGGGGTGTGTGTATATGTGTGGTTCGTGTGTGGTGTGTGGGGGTGTGTGCTGGGTGGGGGGTGTGTGTATGTTTGGGGGGCAACCTGAGCAGACTTGGGACTCTGTGAGTGCGCAGGAGAACTGGGCGCAGAGTGGCTGTGGGCGCGGGGACAGGGGTTCGGGGACTGTGCCTCCAGCCTGGGTCATTGGCGGGCAGAGCAGCTCCGGGGTGAAGACGCGAGAGCTGGGTGGGGTGTGAAATGTCGAACCACATCCGGGTGGCCTCCCCGGAGGTGGCGGAGAGGCACCAGTCAGGAGCTGGGCGCTGGCCCCACAGGACAGAACGCGGGGAGGAGGCCAGGCGTTGAGGGGAGCAAGAAAGGAAGTGACTGCTAAGGGACAGGGGGTGTCTCTTTGGGGTGACAAAGAGAGCGGGGACGGTGCATGACTCTGAGTGTACTGGGAACCACTGGACCAGACCCTCTGCGGGGGTGACCCTTACAACATGTGGATCTGCTCTCGATGGAGAAAGCATATGCAGAACGCTGGCGCGGCAGGCGTGACAAGCGCCCCCGGAAGGATGACATGTGTCCCGAGCGATGAGGTCACAGCACTCGGCCGGCAACAGTAACTTGCTGGACATCAAGTAACCAGGAGACCGAGAGAAACTGCCAGAAAAGAAGGGGTCATAGACCCTAAGAAGTGAGAGTTTAGGGAAATCCAGAGCTGTGCTCCCAACAGAAATAAGGCACGAGCCACCTGAGGAATTTTCCATATTCTAGTTGCAGCCTTAAAAAAGGTAACAAGAAACTAGTGAAATCCATATTAAGGATGTATCTTGTCCAAAATATTATCTTTTTGGCATGGAGTCAATATTTTTAAAAGGAGATAATTTGACATTCTTCTTGGCACCAAGTCTTTGAAATCAGGTCTGTATCTTAAGTCTCAGGGCCCAGGAGATGTGCCCCATAAACCCACCTCCTGGGGTTTTTCTAAACAGAGAAACTGAGGGCCCAAGACCACGGTGACCTTGCTCAGGGCCACACAGCCAGCAAAGCAGGCAGCAAGCAGAGCAAGGACAGGGACCCGGCGTTCCTGCCTCCTACCTCACTGGCTCTCGCTAAATCTTCACGTGGCTCTGAGGTTAAGGTCCCTGCTTTCTGTTAGTTCAAAACCAAAGCTCTTGGAACATGGCTATTGCGTGACAAGACAGGAGTGATGGAGAGAGGAAGGGTCAGGACACTTGGGGAGGATGGGGAGAGAGGAAGCCGGGGGAAACGAGGGTCAACTGCAGGGGGGAAGCTGATGAGGGAACAGGAACCCCAGGAAGGGTCAGGTTGGGAGGTTCCCAATGACTCAGGAGGGTAGCTTGAAGACAGGGAACTCAGTTCCAAGTCTGAGTATGGAACAATGAGGCAACTTGGAAAAGAACAAAAAACAACCTCTAGGAAAAAAAAAAAAATCTATAACATTGAAATACAAAACACAACTGAAGTGAGCCTTCATAAACCCAGATTCATCACAATTACTCAGAAAGACAAGAAAGGGGAACACATGGAACCCTGGAACACAGAGCAAGGAGATCCCACATACCTTCCAACAGAGCTCTCCAAGGGGAAGCTGGGAGAGATGGAATATTGGAGGGGAAAGCGTCTGAGAATTTTCTAGAACTGTAGAAATGCACGTATGCATGGATACTGGAGGGTGTCCTCCACAACAGGAAAGTAAACAAGGAAGGAAGGCCCGGGACCCCAAAAGCGGGGAGCCCCGAGGAGAGGTCAGGACGGCAGGAGGGGGTCTTGGGCAGCAGCCCTCGTGGCAGCAGGGCGACCGGGGTTCCCTTACAGCAGCTTCTAGACAACAAACTTGAACAAGACGGTAGATTACCTGTCGCGTTTGCCTGTGTGGGAGATCATAGTGGGAGGGGCTTTACAATATTGTTGGAGAGTTTGAATCAGTGATCTGTACACAGAAAGCTAAGAAAACCAGGGAAAAATGTGATCATAAACTCTAGGAAAAAACTCCAGGTTGTCCAAGGAAGGATTGGAGATCCCATGGTCCCAGATAACCGCTCCGCGAACAGTATCTAGAGAACCCCGAGGGTATGAACAACACACACCAGTCCCGCCAAAATCTATGACACAATCGTTTTGGAAGAAATGAGGGAAGGGAAAAGGGGCAAGGAAGCTAACTCACCATCTCCCATAATCAAAAGTCCACAGATACGCTTACATCTTCAAAAACTCAAGAAATGGCAATCTAGATTTATTATTCCAGAATATGACCATGGCAGACCCAAAGAGATAGCAAATGGGCTGGAAGCATGACCAGAGGCTGTGGGGTTCGGAGGCTGAAAGGATTGGGACAGAGAAGCCTGTTTTTATTATAAGTCTTACACAATTGTTCAGCTCCTTAAAAACAGATTAAAATAAAGATTAAATTAGCAGCCCTGTCCTGGTCTCCAGCCCAGTGCCCACCTTCCTCTGTGGCACACACTGCAAGGCTACCAAAAAAGTGAGGTTTTTTGGGGCACCTGGGTGGCTCAGTGGGTTAAGCCTCTGCCTTCAGCTCAGGTCATGATCTCAGGGTCCTGGGATCGAGTCCCGCAACAGGCTCTCTGCTCAGCACGGAGCCTTGCTCCCTCCTCTCTCTCTGCCTGCCTCTCTGCCTACTTCTGATCTCTGTCTGTCAAATAAATTAAAAATTAGAAAAAAAATTATTTAAAAAAAAGTGAGGCTTTTCTTCACAAAGTACTTAAGGGGTCCCACTGGGCTCTGAAAACGCAGAGGGCTTGAACCCTTGCCTTCCCCATCACGGGCCACCACCACTGCCACCACACCTGCCACTCCGGGAAACGTCACTAGTTACTGAAACATTGGCTCGGTGTAGAGTCAACGTGGTTGGCTTAGGGTGTTTGTTTCACTTGATCCTTTTAGCTCCCGCATGACGTAATAAATGCATCCACGGCACTGACTCATTCACCTGACACAGTGAAAGCCATTTGCAAAAAGTCACAGAAAGATGTGACACTGCCCCCCCACTCTGTGTTTTCCTTTCCAGGGCTCAGCACTGGAGTTTCCTGAAAGACTATGACCCCTTGGTAAGGCCAACGGTGTTCCTGTCACGCAGACGTGCACCGGGGATGTGAGCACATTCATCTAACGTTTATGGGGGACCTACTGTGTGCTGGGTGCTGGAATGGACGGAGACAAAAATGTGTATACTGTCTTGTTTCAAGAAACTCAGGGTCTGGGGGAAAGAAAATGCTTAGTGCGCGTTTAGGTATTAGTTTTCCGCAGTGTTTCTAGATCTTATGACGATGAACCAGCTGGCAATGTTGGGTGTCCGCTTCGGAAATGCTTGTCCCCATGAGGATGTCAGCGAGGCAGTGAGTGGAGTGTGTGTGGTGTGCCGTTTGGGGATCAGCTTGGGTGAACATACGTTGTAAATGAATTCCCCTGCTTCTAAAGTCACCACTTCCAATCCGTCCTCCACGTTGCTACCAAGGTAATTTTCCTAAACCACAAAACTGACCCTCTCTCTCCCCCGCTTAAAATCCTTCAATATATCTGCATTTTTCCGGGCGGCTCACAACGCTTCCCATGATCTAACTGGCCTGCCTCCCCAGGCTGACCTACACATTATTTTACCTGTGCCTTTGTGTGTGCTGTTCCCCTGCCTGAAATGCCCTTCCCGCCTTGTCAGTCAATCTTACTCCTCACTCAAGGGCCTCCCTCCCTCTGGAAATCTGTCCTTCCTGAGCAGCCTCCCTCAGATCCTTCTGTTGGTTACTCGACAGCATATCCAATCCGCTCCTTTGAAAGAGCCTGTCACGTTTTAACGATCGATCGACTTCATCAGGCTGTGGGCTTCCTAAGAGAAAGGAGAAAGCCAGCTTCATCGCTGTCCCCCACCCACCAGCTGTGCCCTACCCCCCAGGACCTAATAGATACTCAGCACTCAGTTGATGCTGGATAAATGACCAAATGTTGGACGAATGTGGCCCTAAGGATGGTCAATGAACCAACCTGGAAAATGAGCAGGGGGCCAAGTGATCCAAGCAGTGGCCACGCCGGCCAGCCTTAGGGGAGGTTTAACTAACTTCTGCCTTTCCAGCCTGCGGGCTCGCTGTCTGCCCTGGGATAGAAGGTGTCGTTCATGAGACCTGAAATCCCACACGGAGCTCCTGGGCTGGGCTTCCAGCCTGCAGTCTCCCTCCCAAGGGCTGGGATTAGCAACCCGATCACTGACAACTGCATCACGCCCACAGGTGTGGGGCCACCGTGGCCCAGAATTTCCCAGGGGAACACCAGGATCCTGTTACTGTACTGGTCCTGTAACCGCTAGGGGACCCAGGGTAGCCCCGAGTGACCCTGACCCGAGGGCTCCCCAGATTATTCTCACTTCAGGCACTGACTCACTCAGGGTCCTTCCGGTCACATGCGTGAACGTTCAGACCCCCAGCCTGGGAACAAACCCAAGTGTCATCCGTGGCGGGATGGGTAAATAACATGGAACGTTCGCGCAAGCCACACGAGGGCGTGCAGTGGAGCAAGGACAACAAGGGAGCTGCGGCCACGCGCAGAAACGTGCACGACCCTCGAACACACGTTCCTGAGAGACAGGAGCCACCGTCTCACAAGATAAATTTCAAAACCGGGAGTCTGAGATGGAGCCCGGGCTGCCTCGGGGGTGGGGACGGCGACTGAGGGGTCTGAGCAGGCAGGTCCAGGTCGCGTGGCACGTCCCGATCTGGGCGGCTGCACAGACTTGCTCACGGCGTGGGGGCTCGTGGAGCCGGACGGTTATGATCTGCGGCCATTTCTGGGTGTGTGTGACTTCAAGGAATTCTGGGTTCCCCGGGGGCCCAACAGGGATGGAGACAGCTGGAGGAAGCCACCGGCTCCCTGCTCCCGGCTCGCTTCCCTTCCCTGCTAAGGGCTGGCCCCGTGCACACCTCTCCCCTGTGACACCCTCTGTCCCCTCTCCTCAGGGCAACAGGAAGGAGCCTGTGCAGCTGCCGGAGCATGTGTCTCTCTTTTCCGACACAGTCCCCAACTCCGCCAACCAGGTGGTGGGCAGCAGGGTGAACACGCCCCTGGGGCAAACCCTCATAGGGATGGACTTCTTCTGTGTGGGCGGAGTCCGGAAGAAGAAGCTGGAAGCCGAGCTGCAGCCCGTGTAGGGGGGAGGAGGTGGGTGCCGGGGTGGGACGGGGTGGGGGTTGTGGGCTGAGCTGCCCCGTGGCCCCGGTCAATGGCCCATGCTTGTCAGCCAGCCTTTCCTCCTCTCCGCGCCCCGAACAACCTCTCCGAGGGCTCTACTGGCCCATTTTCAGTCCTGAGATTAGAAGGACTCCAGGAGCGTGCCCGTGGTCCAGGAGCCGGCAGGGCTGGGGTCTCCCTTGCAGGGCCCCTGAGAGGCAGCCCTGCGTTTGCGGTCACGAGCTGACTACCTGGGTTCAAATCCTGCCCCGGACTCCGAGCAGCTGTGTGATGTTGGGCGGGTTGTTGGAACCCTCTGTGCCTCTATTCCCCACCCAGCAGCCCCCCATAACATGGTGTATTTGCTTCCCATTGCTGCCATCGCAAATGGCCACACACCGAGGGGTTAAAAGAGCACATGCGTTCTATCTTACAGCACCGGAGCTCAGAAATCCAGACTGGGTCTCTCAGGATGGAAATCAAGGTGTGCGAGGCCTGTGTTTCTTTCCGGAGGCTAGAGGCATCTGGTTCCCCACCGTTTCCAGCTTCTAGAGGGAGGCTGCCCACATTCCTTGGCCCACGGTTTCCTCATCTCCAAAAGCAGAATGATAGCATCTCCAGTCTCCAAACCTCTCTCTCTCTCTCTCTGCCTCCCTCTCTCCATCTTTTAGGATATCTAAGATAATCTCTCCATCTCACAGTTCTTAATCTAATCATGTTGGCAAAAATCCCTTTCGCATGTAAAGAAACATATTCATAAGCCCTGGGATTGGGGCGTGGATGACTTTGGCGGCCGCTTTCTGTCTACCACATACGGGACTAATAAAAGTACTGATTCTAGAAGGTTGTCGTGGAGATGAAGTGGGTTAGCGTGTGTGACTGCTCAGAGCAGGGCCTGGGTCATGGTAACGATGGTGTGTTTGCAGAGGACGCCCCTCTCTCGGGAGTGAGACTAGCCTCCTGGTGAGTGACGCAGGGGAGATGTGGGTCCTCACACAGGGGCTGCTGGGAGGTCAGCCCTTGGGTCAGCTTCATGGTCTGGGTGTGATGGTCTGGATGGTCAGGGGTGGGCTGGAGCCAAGCCGGGGGGAGTCCCCCTAATGGAGCCCGAGCTGAGGCCCTGCCGGCCGCCCTGGGAACCCGTGACCCAGGCCCACTCTATGCACTCTGTGCTCTGCGGAGGACATGGAGGTGCCCGGGCCTGGGATCAGCCATAGCAGGAAAGGGGAGCAGGGCTCCTGGGATCCAAATGGGCTCTTATTTCCATTGGAGAGAGAGGGTGGAAGCAAGAGATATTCTGGGAGCTCCCAGGGGGGAGGATAAGTCAAGGTTAAATGCAGATGCGGGGGTCGGAGCCCATGTAGACTGGAGAGAATCATCCAGAGCTTCTCTGCCCGTGCCCAGAGGGAGGGCAGGAGGCCGGGGACAGGTGTGGGTTCTGCCACCTCCAGACAACGCGGTTATCGAGCACAGACCCTGTACTCGGCACACTCGCTGAATGGTCTTTTGGAAGGGTTATTGCCATGATTTGAGAGACTTGGAAACTAAGCCGAAGACGTCGTTCAGTCTGGCCGGGATTCTACAGCCACAGAAGAGCCGGACTCACGCCTGACTTTACCAAACCCAATTCTCCTCTCCGGGCCTCAGTCTTTACCGCTGTAAAATGGGGGCGGAGAGACTGGGTCCCAGGATGGCACCTGCTCAGCGCGCTGTCTTTGGGTGTGCAAGCAGGCCCTGAGGCTCAGCGGGCTGCCGTCACACTGTGTGACACACCACGCCACTTCTTGCTCAAGGGTCTGCATGGACTTGGCTCCAGGCTTCGGGTTGAGGCCAAGTCTGTCCATAGGTCTCCCATTACCTTGGACCAATAGCTTCCTAGGGCACGTTCTCGTGGCACTCACCAGAGCCCAGGAGCCAACGCAAGCCGTGCAGAGCTTCGCAAGCCCTCATCCGCTAGCCTGTTAGCGGCTGAACAGGTCACATGGCCACCCCCAGGCTCACGAAGGCAAGAAAGCACACCTCGCCCCTGCAGGAGCGTTAGGAGGCAAACACCGGCTGTGTCATAACCCCAAGTAAGACACAGAGGCTCTGCCTGATTGCACAAGGAGATTTGGGCAACAGTTTTCTGCAGGTGGCTTAAAGCAACACCCAGCCCGGGGCCCTGGGTCACAGAGCTGCGCGCGTATGGAGCCCTGGATTCTGCAGGTCCCAGACTGGTCCTCTCCACACTTGGCTGAGCCCTGCTAGAGGCAGGCACCTGTCCCTGCTCCAGCTTGTGCCTGACCCCGCCGTGGGGCTGCGGGTCAGGGGCTCTCAGCCGGAGAGACAGAGGGCTCGTCTGTGGGAGCCCCAGCTTGGGGGCTCAGGGAGGAAGTCCTCCTGCAGGAGTCGTCACCGAGCTGGTCCTTGAGGAACAGCCAGGCAGGTTGGGAGGGGAGGGGTTTCTGCTCAAAGGGACAGACACTGCCAGGAAGGGCTCCAAGGCAGGGGAGCACCCAGGAGGCGATTCCTGAGCAGAGAGCCCCCGGGAAGAGCCGCCTTCCGCACTCCGCAGCTCTCCTGCACGTGGTGTCATCACGGGAGACCCCTCCCCACTACCAGCCGGCCATCCCTGCCCTTCCCTGCCGTGTCTGCGGTCCTCTCCAGAGGACGCCTGCTTCTACCGCCCCACATCCTGGCCACGTCACCTGCCGGAGCCAAGGACACCCGGGCTAAGGGGTATCTGTGTCATGCCTCATTAGGACCCAAACAAAGGAGGCCGACTGGGCCAGGAGAAGTGGGTGCCAAGCCTTTGTGTCAGCACCAGCAAAGGCCAGGGGGCCATTAGAAACAAGGAGACAAGACATCTTACTGCCCAAGGCTGGGAAGAGCTGGAAGTAGGGGTTAACCGAGGCATAGAGAGGCTGAAGGATTCTTTCTTTGCCTTTTACAACTGCTTCTCTGACCTCCCCTGCCTCATTCTCCTGTGGCAAAACCAGCATCGCTGCTTTCTCTCTCTCTCTCTCTCTCATACACACACCCACACACACCACTGTCCAGAGAACGTACGAGGTGAGCTCAGAGTTTCTTCCTATGCCCATAAGTGAGAAAGTGTTCCAAACGGGATGAGGGTCCTCAAAGTGATGGAGTCAGAACCAGCTTGAAGGGGTTCCCACTGGCGAAATCTAGGACAAGGAGAGCAGTAAAATGATGCCCATTCCTGACTTCACCTGTGGCAACGCACCCCTGACAGCTTCTGAGCAAAGCCAGTGCCCCTAAATCCCACCAAATAATAATAATAAATAATAATAATGATAATGATAATAATAATGCCATGAGTCCATATCAATAAGTTTTAAAATGTTTAAGTAGAGGAAGAAAAGCTCTTCTCTACTGAAAAATGGAGCATAAATGAAAAAAAAAAACAGAAAATCACCATTTTATCACTATCACTGATTTGGGTAAGAATCAGTAAAAGATACTAAAAGCACTATGGGAAAGATTCTTAGGGAGTGATAAATGATGAAGTCTGAGAGACTCCCCTTAACCACACTATTAAACTTAACCTCGCCAGCCAGAGGACAGCGGACAGCAGGTGTGTCCTGAAGGGACCCGCTGGGGAGGGGCGCCCACCCCGGGAGCGCTCCCGCCCGCCCCACATAACCCGAGCCAGCCGTCGGGCACGCCCCAATGGAGGGGCTGTCTGCCTAACCGCTGGCCTTGACTCTTTGCCACGTCAATATCCTGAGAGACATGGGACACTGCGGTTGGGATCAACATTAAAGGCAGTACAGAAAATATTCAGGACCAGCTCCCACGACAAAGCAAAAGCAGCCCTAAAGGACACTGTGCAGACTAGAGGTCAGACGATAGGCACTAAATAGTAGACAATAGCTCTGTACCAACGTTCAATCTGCACAGTGCGACCATTCTAGCAAGATGATGTAGGAGAATGCCCTTGTTCTTAGGAGAGAGCAGTGGTTGGGGCAAAGTGTCATCACGTCTAAGACTCACTTGCACTGTAGAACCCCCATCCTGGCCAAGTCTCCCCTTCCCATCAAGGTTACAGAGGACCCAAAAGTCAGCTCCCCGGTCAGATGAGCCAACATGCTATGGGATGTCCCAGCTGGGACGTGGGAGCTGGGATTCCCGCATCTTCCTCCGGAGCCCATACCGGACTCCTCCTAGGGTAACCCACTCTCCACAGCTTTAGGAGCAAAGCCAGTACCCACAAACCCCAAAAACAGTTCGCTAGTTTGCACTCAGTAAGGAACCACCATTTATTACGCACCTACTGGGTACCTCTCAGAACATTTATGAGATGGGTATGATTATCCCCATTTTAAAACGAAGAAATTGAGGCCTAGGGAAGTTCAGAGCTTGCCCATCTCATTCAGTCTTTAAGGGCCGTGCTGGGAAGACAGCAGAGGTTTGCAAGACCCTGGAATCCCACACCCACATCAGCCACATCCAGGGCCTCATGCAAAGCAGCCAGTGCAGGGAGAGAGGCTCAGAGTCAGGTAGAAATCCTCCTCCTCCAATCCCACCTCCCCTGGCTGAGGCCCAGAGCAGGCAGCTTCTGTCTCTGGCCTGGTGGTTGTTTGTCCCCAGCCATAGAAGGACAGCTCTGTCTTACAGAGGTCCGGCAGGCAGGGAGCACTCCCAGAAGAGTAGGGACAGGCGGGGCCCGGGGCTGGAGCCTCTCCCTCCTGTCGCTGTTCCTGTGGACCCAGGATGAAGAGAGGGAGAGTAGGGGGGAGGGGGAGGAGGGAATCCCAGCCACTTGGCAGGGCCAGGAACTGCTTCCACCACGGAACCACCGCGAAATGGAAACGGTCTTGCTTCAGCAGGTGAGGGGAACACCGTGATGGGAGCAAAGCACCTGGCACGCGGCAGGCGCTCCCCTTCTAGATGCTTCTACAGTTGTCCCTGCTGCTGTTGACAAGTCTGTGATGTTTATAAGAAACCTCTTTACTTCCCTATTTCACTTCCTACAGGCAGTACCCGCCGGCTGCTGAACAACCCTACCAGCGGCCCGGGGGATTCCCACCGCACGGGCGGAGGCAGGAGCAGCTGGCACGCAAATCGTGTTATCTGACAATTAGCAGACTTTACCGAAACCACGGGGCACATTTAGCCCACCGTGGAGACCCCCTCTGCACATAACACCTAAAATGATGCCTGGACACGCCTGAGACTCACCCCAAACCCAGGAGAGCCGGAGTGCTCCCCCTCAGTGCTCCCGAGGGCCGCCTCCTCTTCTGGGCGCGTCCTGTTCCCTGACCGATGCCCGCCACACTCGGGCCCTCTTCCCTCTCCAGCCTCAGCCGCTCACAGGACAGAACCCAGAACCCAAAACTGCAGGTCCACGGCCAAGTCCAGTGGAGTCCTCGTGTTCAGAGCAGCAGAGGACTTTGGAAGAGTCAGGGAGACAGGACGTGGAGGTCGGAGAGTGCTCCTTGCCCTGAGGCGGTCACAGACACAGCCACGGCCCTACAATCTGTCTGACACAGAACCCTCAGAGCCCTAAGCGTCCTGAGACGGGAAACCCACAGGCTGAGCCGCACAGGCTTCAAACAAAATCTCCCCACTCGCCCTGCGGGGGCCGTCAGCCTCCAGCTCGGGCACCCAGCCACATCAGAGAGCAATAGCTCAGACGAGATTTGCCCTGCAGAATTCCCGCCACCCAGTAAGGCATAATAAACAGAAATCGCGTCTTCTGTCCAGAGCGCCCCAGAGTGTGGGAACATTGTCACGATGCCACATGCTGAGGGTGTGATCACGTGAGGCCCCTTGAGGTGACAGCGGCCCAACAATGAACAATGAAGCTGGGGGTACCAGACGCAGCGACAGTCTGCCTTCTCACGTGACCGGTTCCTGCCAAGCAGGAGCACCCCCAGGAGGCTCAGAGGGCAGAAGGCACCACCCCAGGACGCTTCTAGAAGTACAGAGATGTAGGAAGGCGGGTCCTACTGGGACAGCTGGGTCTTAAAGCCTAGTGGCAGACCCCAGCCTCAAGAGCACTGGGCAGCCACGGGGGCAGCTTCCTGTGGTCGTGGACATGCCCCCTCCCAGGGCGATTCTTCAGTGAGCCTTCTGTTCCTTCCAGACTCTTCCTCGTATCTGCTTCCTCGTCCTTACACTGCTCAACACTGGGCAGTCATAACTAAGCTAACTACAGAAGGCGATTGTGTGGTCTGTCGCTAGACCTTCACTGACACATTCGTCTTGGCGGAGAACTTCCAGACCCCTCAAAGTTCCAGAACATTCTGTTGTCTCCTGGGACCCTGTCTGGGAGGCTCGCCCGGCCTCATTTTGAATTTACCACAGCGAGCAACCTCACAAGCATGCAGATCTGTGACACAAAGGAAAATAATGTCGACCTTTCTGTTCCCAAAGGCTGTGGCAGTAGTGAGTGTGGCCTGCTACCGAGACCCCTTGAATGTGGAAGACGAATCAACAGGATCTTCAGGGCAGGTAACCAAAGAAGACGCTCCCACACTTCCCACTTCGAAGATTAGCTGCATTTTTTTTTTAAGAAAAAGCCCCGAAATCAATACAGCTTCTGTTGCATCTTTAAAATACCACAAATAAGTCTGAAAAAATCACCCGGCATCTTGCTGTTTCTACCGCTGGACAATTTAGTTCTTATTCATCAGGCTGCTGATTCATTCCTTTCTCAGAAACATAGATCCCACCCCCCAAATTTTCTGATATCCTTGTTTTTAACGGTTGTGGCTTGCTGAATCAAAGCAGCTGAGTTTGATACAAGTTCAATGTCATTTCTCTCAAACATTAACTCATCATTCTGGGCTTGAGATACAGAACAAGACACACCTGGCCTCATCCAAACCCTGGTGGTGTATTTTCCCCCAAGAAATTTCGTATTTCGACAAGAGAACCATTCTCCTGGGTAGCGATGTTGATGGGGAAGGGAGCATACACGACCTCACCTTGTAACCGGAAGCCCAGTATAACGCCCTTGACCATGTTTTGTGCACTACACACAGTGAAGACAATAGCCATTCTTTTCTATTTTCCACCATTTGTCAACTCAGAGCCACTTTTTTTCCTTTCCAAGGAGACTGAGTTCTGCACCGATGTGGTTGAAGTCTTTCCAGAAGGTTCCACCCGGGCCCTTCAGAGCCACGTCAACATTTTCCGGAATGTCGACAGTCTGATTGCTGAGAATGGTCTTCGTTCTCTTGGTACATGTAGCAAAGAGCAGATGAGCTGCATTTTAAATTGATGTCAGGGAATGGCACTTTAACCTTGCTGCGGTCCATTATGCACGAAGCGAACGTTTGGCCAAGAGAATTAGTTTTATGAAGGTGTCCCACAGGGAGTGCCCATCCTCTTCAGCTTCTGCAGCCAGTGCCTCTCAAGCTGGTGCGCCTTCAAGTCTGGGGGTTTTGTTAAAAGGAAGATTTTGGGTCAGCATGGTATGTGTGATATATATTACATATGCAATGCATTCGGATAGATACAGAGAAGTATGAATATATATATTATGGACTAAATTATGTCCCCCGGCCCCAAACTGACATGTGGAATTACCAACCCCAATGGGACTGTATTTGGAGATAATTGAGGTCATAAGGGTGGCGCCCTAGTCCGATGGGACCGGTGTCCTTCTAAGGAGAGAGAGAGAGAGAGAGATGCCAAGGGTGTGTACACACAGAGAAAAGACCACGTGAGGACACAGGGAGAAGACAGCTGGGTCTCACCAGGAGCCAAACTCACTAGCACCTTCCTTTGCCGGCTTCCAGAAGTATGGGAAAATAAATTTCTGTTGTTTATGCCCCCCCCCAGTCTGTGGTGTTTTGTTAAAGCAGCCCAAGCAGATTAATACAACACACACGCACGCACACAGGCATGCACCCCAGCTCTGTCTCCTAAGAGGGCAGATGAAACTGACACCGCAAAAGTACTAAGCACATCTCATCCCAGGTCTTTGTTTCTAAACCCCACACTCTGTTTATTAACAGGGCGTCAGGCTCCTTCGAAAAGTGGCTGGTTCGCAGGGGAGCCCAGGAGCCCTAGTAACAGGGCAGGCAGAGAATTGCCTGAGAATTGCCAGAGAATTGCCATCGCTGGTGGTGCCAATCCAGGAGAGCCGACATTCCCATGAGTACCGGGAAGCCTTTGCTCTACCCATTCTGCAGAGGAGAAAACTGAGGCACCAGGAGGTTGGACGAATGACCTAGAGTCATGCAGAGCTACAGCCAAGCCACCCCAGCACCGGGCTCCCAGGGAGCGTGATTGCCCCACATAGCAAGGGCACGGTGCCTGGGGAACAGAGACAGACTCCAGCTGGGCTGGCTGGGGGACAGGAGGCAAGCTGCCTGACCCTTCTGGAGCACAGAATCCTTCCCTTAAAACTAGAGGAACAAGCACCCCGTACCTATCTTCTCTTTGATTTTAAAACTTCATTGTAGAACAGTAATCCCACCACATACCCATCATCAACGCCAAGAACGATCAACTCACAGCTCATCTTGTTCCTTCTACATCCCCACCCTTCCACCCAGGCCCCCAATATTTGGAAACAAATTCCAGACATAATATATCTCATTTCTAAGTATTTCAGAATCTCTAGAAGATGAGGATTAAACATGCACACTCTTCCTTTTCCTCTTGAAAGTTTCCTTCTGGACATCCAGTTCCCCTTTAGGCTTGGGAAGGAGGACCCGATACTTCTGGTTTTTTCCAGAGGAAGGTTTTGATGGCCGGGTCGGGTGGCTGGAGGCGCGGGGAGGCACAGGGGACCAGACGGGAGGAAAGCCTGAAGCCTGGCTGAGGGTCACGGCACAGAACCAGCCACCGCGAATTCTAGCATTGCATTTGTGTGATTTGTTGTGTTGTTTTTTTTTCCTGCTTCAGAACCTGACTGCTCCGTGGATTCTGAGAGCTTGGAGAACACACTCCGCCCGTTTTGTGCCGCGTCTACCTTACCTTCTTGTATCATAGACTCTACTTTACCTCCTCAAGAACAACGTTCCCTCTGAAGTGGTGAGGGGCCCGACTTCCAGGGGATGGGGAGGAGCGCCCCACACCCAGCGGCAGGAAAGGGCAGAAATGAGACGACCCGGGGAGGTTCTGGCCCCGCCCCCGACCGCAAAGCCCGTGTCCCCAAGTACGACGAGGAGGACGCACGTCTACGGAGTTGGATCGTTAACGTCGTCACAAGGTTTCATTTCTGAAATGCTTCCTGAGAAAACAAAGCACAGCGCTTGGGGAGTGAAAAAATCCCACAAAACGGTCCATCCTCCCGCGAGGGGGCGCCCGTTTGCCCTCCCGGGATTCAGCCCGTCCCCACGCAGCCCGTGGGAAAGCGGAACCGTCTGGGGGTCCCCCGGCAGCTCGGCACCGCGCGCCCCCAACACAGAAAAGTGCATCAGCAGCGGGCACCGCCCGAGAACCGCGGGCGGAGGGGCCGCCCCGGGGTAGGGCGGACGCGGGGCGGACGCGGGGCGGACGTGGGGCGGGGCCGGGGGCGGGGCGGACGGATGGGGAGGAGCGCACCGGGACCTGGTGGACCCGGGTGGACCGGACCGGGTGGGCCGGGGCGGGGTCGGGCGCACGGCGGACGGCGGGGGCGCGGTGGTGAGGGGCGTCCCCGGGCGGGACCGGGAGCCGAAAAGCGGGCGGAGGCGCGCTCCCTAGACTGGGTGGCCTCGGGGCGTATCTGGGGAGGGGTCGGGGCCAGACGCGGGGCGGGGCGGACGGTCGCGGGGAGGGGTGAGGACCGGACCCGGGCGGGGCGCGGAGATCGGGGCGGGGGCGCGGTCGCCAACAGGGCGGACCTGGGCGGGGCGGCCCCTGGGCGAGGACGCGGGCGCCCAGGGAAGGCGGAAGGACTCGGCGCGCCCCGCGGCCCAGCGCAGAGCAGTTTCCTTACTACGCGCAGCTGCGCCCCAGCCGAGTCCCCAAGTCCCTCAAGTCCGGGCCGGGAGCCCCCAGCCCCGAGGGCGCCATGCGGGAGCAGCTGCTGTTGATCTGCAACTGGAGCACTCTGGGCGTGTGCGCCGCGCTCAAGCTGCCGCAGATCTCCGCGGTGCTGGCGGCGCGCAGCGCTCGGGGCATCAGCCTCCCGAGTTTACTTCTGGAGCTGGCGGGGTAAGGACGGGGCGGCTGCCCTTCCCCCTCGTCTCTGCGGCCTGGAGGGGCCGGGACCCCGGGAGCGCAGCGGGTCTAACAGAGTAGGGCCAGGAAGCGGATCCGAAAGCGCCCGGGCACTGGGCAGATACTTCCCGGGGCCGCTCACCATCCCTGATCAGTTGCGGCTCACCGCGCCCACGGCGCACGCCCATCTTACAGATGCGGACACCATCTGGCGAAATCACCCGTCCGGCAGCCACAGACCGACCGAGCGGCTTTGAGCGAGCCATTTGCACCTGGAGGCTCTGTCATACACATCCTACCCGCCATCACCCCTTTTCTCGGGTCCCGGCTTCTTTGCGTGTAAATGAGGGGCTGAACTATAAATTCTAAGGATCCCCTGGCTTTTAAAAGGTACACGTGACGGGGGAGGAGGCTTCAGAGAATGGAGAGCTCTTTGGAGGGAGAGGAGAAGGACCTGAATCCGGCCACAGCCAGCCGGAGAGGAGCCCGGGCGCTCCGAGGGCGCTCGTGCGTCAGAAGTTCCGAGCGGCCGCCCTGACTCCGTATTTAAAGATGTAAACGCGAAAAGCAGAGTTGTAAACCTCGGTTGGGAAAATTCGAATTGGTGGGAAAGCAGGTACACGAAGCCCGGCACCCCTGGCAAGGCCAGGCCCACCTCATCTCGCTCCTCGCCCGCTGGGGCCCCCCAGTTACCGCCCCGCGACCGTGCGGGCCGGTCCTCGGCGGAAGCACGCCCTGGAGAGGCAGCAGGCGGGTTGACCCCGGGATTGGGGGCTGGATAGAAGCCGGGGGCAAGGGAGGGAGAAAGAGACCTGGGGTGGGGGTGGGAGAAGTGGGGGGTCCTGCCCCGGGCGCGCTCATGTGGGGAGAGGCTTAGTCCAGAAAGAATCGGGCGCTGGCGCGTGTGTGAACGACCCCACAACACTGGGGCCCCCGGCTGCGTAGCCGGGATCGGAGAGGCCCGCACCGCTGCGTCCGTCCTGGGGCTGGGACGTCGGTTGGGACGTCCTGGGGACGTCCTGGGGCTGGGACGACCCCGGAGAGAGGGCGTCGGTTTCTCTAGGTCCCCGACCGGGGAAGGTGAGGCCGGCGCGGTGCGGGTGAGCCGAAGACCGCCGACGCCTCTCGAATGGGTCGGGAGCGTGCGCGCACCTGCAGCTCGGCAGGCGGCCCACAGCGGGGGGCAGTCGCGCTGTCCCACCGCGCGCGGGGGCAGAACTGTCCCTGGGCTGTGCGGTGCGGCCCGCGTGCGGGGCCTGCGGGGATTGCGGCGCAGGGGGCGGCGCGGGCGGTGGGCTTCGTGGAGGCCGACCCCGCGCACGGACCAATGTAAATGGCCGCGGCTGTGACCAGGCCCCTCTCCTCCAAGCCCAGCTGGAAGTGATCCGGGGCTCCCGCCGCTGGATTCCTGGGTTTTATCGCCGGCTCAGGCCACGCTTCCTCCAGAGCCGGGTCTGCGTGCGGACCCTGTGCTTTAAAGACTTTACGGTATTCAGTCCTTAGGACGGCCAAGGGATTAAGCATTGTTTTCTTCCCCAGCCAGCAGGAACCCGAGGCGGAGACGGTGAAGCCCCGGGCCCAAGTTTCCGGGCAGCGGCAGGACCCTAGGGCTCAGCCGGTCCCTGGCTCTCTCCATGCTGATGCCTACCTTCCCCCGCTCTCCACACTCACTGGGTTTTGCTGCTTTCTGGACTCATCCGCCATGTCGTGGGTGGGGGGAAGGGGTGGCAGCACCTTGCCGACTTCCCCCTTTCCTTCCCCAGCCTTCGCTGGTTGGGGCCGCCTGGGCCTGGGCGCTCGGGGCAGTGCCTGCCTGAGGCCTACTAGGGGGAGGGGAGCCGCCAGAATTCCAGCAGAAAGAACCCCGTAGGCATCAGCATCAGCAGGACCCTTTATCTCCTGGGAAGTAGAAGATATAACAGCCTCTTGGAGGACAGGTACCCTCCTTGGATCCTGATCTCAGCAAATTAACTCTGAAAACCCGTGTCTGAAAGAATGGGGACATAAGCCATATCTTAATGATTCCAGAAAATGACATGAAATGTGGGTTGCTGTGAAGCCTGCTCATCACCCTACTGGTCATCCATCCCGCAGGGTCTGCTCCGAGTCTGCTGTGCCTGCGGCTGGCTGGCTGCCCTTGTGCTCTGCAGAGGTGGGTGGGGTAGAGCCGACCCCAGGTCCCCCTCAGAAAGGTGCTGTTCTAGAGGCCCAACAGGAGGCGAGGCCAGGCAGCCCGGAGGGCCAGGAAGAGCCCCTGCTTTTCCCCTGACGCCCAGACGTGACCAATTGCAAAGCCGGACTGCAGGCAGCCCAGCTGTGGGGTCCGTGGGGCGGGCTGCAGGCTGTGAAGGGGACAACGAGGGAGGCCCAGGCCCAGGGAGACGCACGAACTCACGGTGACGCTGGCGGCCCACCTCCCATCCTGTGACCTTACCCCCAGCTCAGCCAAGAACAGTTCGGTTTGCTAAGTTAGAAACAGGATTGGGGCGGGAGGCACAGGCTCGCCAGTCCCCTTCCTCGCTGAGGTCATGAGAGGTTACATTTGGATGAGGGAAGGAGGGAGGCTCTGGCTCACCCGGACAGACGGCCTGGGTGATGGGGCAGGAGGGTCTGAGGGGACAGCATGGGGATTTAGGTTCTGAGAGAACTGACCGGCGCGGGTGTGTGAGCTGGAAGGGCAGGAAGCCCAGGCCTTTCCTCCTGAGAGGGGTCATCTCCTGGGGTCTCTACCTGGGTCCCACCAAGTCCTGGGCCACTTCGAGCTAGAATATTCTTAAGGAACTGGTGGCTGTTCGTCCTGCCTTTCCCCCCGCTGCTCCTCCTATCCAGGGCAGCAGTCTGGAAGGCCACAGGGATCGTCCAAGGAGTTGGTCCTCCTCAGGACTCCTCTCTCCGCTCAGGGCTGCACCCACACGCGCCCAGCCCCTCACGAGCTCTACCTCCTGCCCCCTGGGATGTCCGTCTGAGCCTTCTGGGGAGGCTGCCTGTGCCCTGGAGCTTTGGAGACAGGCCAGCCCGGGAGCCCCATGCTGGCGCACGGCTTGGCCTCCGTGGAAGGGACTTGGCAGAGACCATGCATGTCATGCCCAGAGCCCCGTCGGCCCTGGGCACGTGCTCAAAGCCGTGGCCATTCCATCCTTTGTGTCCCAAATCACCTCCACTTGATATTTGCAGGCTCCAACCTCCAGTTCCAGGGTTTTGTGAGCAAATCTGGGCTCCCCCCAGGGGGAGGGGGTGGCTGGCCAGGCCTCCCCGCCGGGCACTGGGTCAGTGGAGCTCAGGCATGCCCTCTCTCTCCCCAGTTTCCTGGTGTTTCTCCGGTACCAGTGTTACTATGAGTACCCGCTGTTCACCTACCTGGAGTACCCCATTCTCATCGCACAAGGTAACAGGTCCCTGGGACCCCTCCATCCCCTGGTGTCCCCCTCAATGTCCATTCCCCCCCCCCAACATTCCCCCCCCACCTTCTCCTGCCTCACTGGGGACCTTTGTCTTTCAGATGTCCTCCTCCTGCTGTGTGTCTTCCATTTCAATGGGAACGTGAGAGGGGCAGTGCCCTACCTCGGGGCGTATCCTTCCTTCTGCCTTCAGGAATGGGGGTGGGGGGGAAGGGGGTGTTACCTGCTTCCCGTGTATGTCGTTAAGCCAAGTCCTTTCCCAGATACATGTCCTTTTGGTTAAACTAAAAAAGATCCCAAACGCAAGACCCCCTACGAGTGACGATACCTCCCCAGCCCAGAGATAGTCCCAGTGGTCCCGGCCCTCCGGCTGCTCTTCTGAGGCCGGGGTGCCCACGGCACAGTGAGCCCATATGCTTGTGGACTCCCTCCCTGCTGGAAGCGTCTGCCTGGGGCTGCCTGGTCCACCTTTGTTCTTAGGGGAAGGGAGACGTTCCCTCTTCCCTGGAACCGTCCCGAGTCTCTGAAGTCCGAGTAACGGGAATGGCTGTCATTCACATGATACTAACGCACCGGTTGGCGGGCTGGATCCTGCCTGTCCCTGTGCGAGCGGGGTTCTGGAACGTTTGTTCCAAGTGAAAATGATGCCCCAGACATGAGAAGGGATGTGGTGGGGATCTCTCACGTGGCATCGTCTGTGACCCGGGGCCCGGCTTTCATTTCAACGCTCTGTAGAAATTGCGCGTCCCGTCTGTGAGATGAGTCGTGCCCCCGTTTTGTCGCAAGAGTCACAGTCGTGGGAGCACGGAACAAGCTCCGGTTTACGACCTCCTCCGGCCAGCCGCGATGAGCGGGAGGGAGGGTTGCCGTATTAACAGTGAACTCTTCCTTAGCAAAAGCGTCTCCCCAGTATTGTGTGGGACGTGCTTATACGCAAAGACTATTTTTGTCCATCTGAAATTCACATTGAACAGGGTGCCATGTACATTTATTTTTGAAGTCAGGCCACCTGACCCGAAGGTCATTTTGCGGGAAGTCAGGAGTTGCTGTTCCTGCCGCTACTGGTCAGGTTTTGTAAAATGTTACGTAAGATGGATATTTGGAATGAATAGTATAAAGCTGGGCAAAATTCGTATAAGAAATTGAATTAGAGCGTGTTTTTTACAAAGATTTTTATTTTATTTATTTGACAGAGAGAGATCACAAGTAGGCAGAGGCGGGGGCAGGGGTGGGGGGGAAGCAGGCTCTCCGCTGAGCAGAGAGCCCGGTGCTTTAACCCACTGAGCCACCCAGGCGCCCCTAGAGGGTGTTTTAAAAACAAGATTTCATCTGCCTGGATTCCGGAGGCCCTGCTGGTGTGACCAGGTTGGCAGGAATTACTACTCACCTGGGCACTGTGGAACCCTTCGTTTAAATAATGTTGTTAGTAGTAATCATAGCAACCTGGTGGGGTCCCTCTGATGTGCCACCAGGCATTGAGGACACAGATGGGACAAGGAGTGTTAAGACCATGTTGCAGATAAGCAAACTGAGGTTAAAAGAAGGACAGTGACTTGCCCAAGGTCACACCTGAGGCTCCCGGCCATTACCTCTTGTGTTTGCTTCAGCTCGGTCTGACTTGGCTTGTAGCCTCACCGAGCTTGACCGAAATGTGCGGTCATGTCTCCCGTCTCGCAGCATGGCTAATGGGGACTGACACTGGAGTTAGCCAGGAAGGGGGGAAGTCAATGAAGAGAATTTCATGGGACACCTGCAGAACGCGGCTGCCTTACCGTGTCGATCTTCTTTAAATGCTTAACTTTGACATTGCATTGGAGAGGTCTGATGCTCAGGGATTAAGTGGGCACTTAGAATCGTTTGGACCCTAGCAACTGTCCACCAACGCAGGGGGCTCTGGGCCATTCTCTTCCATAATCTGCTTCTGTTCTTTTGAGCCGTTCTTGTCTTTTCCAAATCAGAGAAGTTCTAGCAGTGCGGTTCCCAGGCCCACTTATGGGCCCACCCTCCGTGGTCTTGGCATGAAGGCTCCGGCGCGGGGTCGGGGGGCGTGGCGGGGCACCAGCTAAACCACTGCTGTCTCCCTTAGCACTGGGTAGGTTTGTGGCCTCGTGGTTCATCCTTCCCCTGCAGAAGTGGACCATAGATCTGGCCATGGTAAGTGTTATCGTGCCATTTGAAGACAGAGCGGGTGAAGTTGTCTGTCCCTCCAAGCCACTGGCCCCGCAAAGAACCATGTAGATCAAATGTTTAACCTGCTTATTTTTCAGCTGTACCAAAGGATAACGAACAAAAGCACAGTCCCATCCAAACGTTAAAAGACCTGATTCTCAGATGTTTGGCCACATTTTTTACTTCCTTTTTTGGGTGGTCCATAGGGAACCGGGCTGGGAGGTAGTTAACAGTGGTAGATGAAGGACCAGACATAAGTTAAAGAGCTTCTGATCAGGTCTATAATTGCATATTGGCCACAAACACATTATTTTTCTAACCTTGCCCTCCCCTGTCCCCTGCAACATTTTTGTCCTCCTTAGAAAAGGGTTAGCTCTGTACTTTTTTCCTTCTCTGGTTAAGGGCCCAAAATTCTCATTGTGTGAGAATAGAGTTCTGAGGGTGGGTCAGGACCCATCTGCCCCCAGATCTTCTCTCCAGAGTGACTGGAGTGTACTTCTCCACCCAAGGGGAAAGGGAGCAGAGTTGGTGGTCACCAGCGTCTGCCTGCCACTCCCAGATCCGTGAACTTCACCCCTACCCCCACGTCTTGTCTGTGACCTTTGCTCAGAAAGCACACTTGACTCCCTATTACATTTCAACCTCTTGACACATGGGAGCAAATAGGTGGGGTTGCTGTATTAATAATGAAGAATTTTTTATATAAATATATCCCAAATATTGCACAAGACATACTCACGCTAAAAATGATTTGCTGTTGATTTGAAATTCAAATTTACCTGGGTGTCCTGTATTTTTATTTGCTAAATCTGTGCGGGCCTTGGCGAAGCTCCCCAAGAGAACTACTTCACGATTCTGGAGATGGTTTTTCTCCTGGAAGACGGAGGAGCGGTGGCATATCCAGCCGACACTGTCAGACTGTCTGTGCAGCGCTGGCCTTGCCCCTGGCATGAGTGAACGGGGCCCTACCTTCCTTCCCGCCAGTGGGCCCTCCATGCTCTCGTCCTGATCCCCACCCCCTCCCCCGCAGCCCCCCGCCGGCCTGCACTGCCCTGTGCCCTGGCCGGCTCTCTCCGACGCAGTCTTCCCACCTGGGGTCCGTCCTCGGAGCCGTCTGTGCCCAGCTCCCTGCAAGACCTCTCTTTGGCTCTGGGCGCAGGCCCTGGCTCTTCTCCGCTAGAGCACTCCATGCCCATCACTTCCCCACAGTCCTCCCGTGTCCTAGGGACCCCCTCGCTCCTCTGCCCTCCCCATCACCTGTGCAGAACCGCGTTGCTGTTGAGGATTTGGTCATTCAGCAAGAGCTCATGGAGTGCCAGCACCATGTTGGGTGCGGGGGGCCGATCAGAAGCCACACGTGTGCTCTGGTCAAGGACACCAGCCACTGTCATTCGTTCCTCCTCTTGGCATCTCTGGGGCGTTTGCTGCCCCCGTCAGCGTTCACTTTGAATCACTTTGCTCACTTGGCTTCAGGGCGACCCTCTGCCTGCTCCTTCTGCCCGCTTCTGCCTGTCCTTCCTCTTCCCTCTGTCTGCATCCCACAGCCCATCAGCAAAGCCCACCAGCCCCACGGTCATGGATCCAGTCAGACCGCTCCTGTCCCTGCTTCTGCCCCCAGTTCCTGCCTCCCTGGTGCAGACAAGGCTGTGGTCATGGCCTGTGGGCCCCGTCCCAGCCTCCGCCTCGCTCCCTCTGGTCTGCACTCCGCCTGGCAGCTGCAGCGGGTCTCTGGGCCAAGGTGAAGGCGGGCAAACCCCAGGGTTGGGCCCTGCTCGCCGTGGAGGGTGCTCTCTGACCTCGCGGGCCAGCAGAGGGTCCCCTGGACTACGTGGACATGAGAGTGGATGTGCTCGGCCTGCTGTTTTGAGTTCATGAGTCCGTTCAAAGCAGCCGGCCTCTAAGACCCCGTGTCTGTGTGTCTGTCTGGCCTCTAATTGCATTGGCAGGTGGCTGGAGAAGCCGCTGTGCCTACGGCCCGTCCGTTGCCCACCGAGCGGTGGAACTGGGCGTGTTATAAACAAGCCTCTGGCTGGGTCTCTTGTTCCCTTCCCCCGGGCTTTGTCCTTGTGCCAACTGGCTGTCGCCTGCCCTGATGATGTGGCTTCAGAAGCCCTTGTGGTATCTGGTGCTCTTGCTTTTTTAACCGAGGACTCTGCCTTTCTCATGTTTGACTTGCAAACAGAATCTGAGTACCCTCATCAGCTCGGCCAGCAAGTTTGCCCAGCTGCAGTACCTGTGGAAGACCGGGGACGCGGGAGCTGTGAGCGCCCTCACCTGGAGCCTCGCTTCCTACACCTGCGCCAGTAAGAGCGGGACGCGGGGGGAGGGGCGGCATCCGGCGGCTGAAGTTTATGACCTTGATGTCCACCTGGCACCGTCCCACAAGCTTTAATCCTTTGCACATAGCTGTTCACACAGAACCTCCAAGTAGACATTGAATGACCCTGATGTCACGCAGACCATCTTCCGTTCTCTGCAAGATCCATATTCCAGCTGCTAAAAAATAAGTAAAAGCCCACCTTTCTCCAAAAATCTGGCCTAGTATCTGCCATCCTCTCTTATTCTTTGAAAAGCATCAAGAGGTTGATTAGGTTGAATCCACTAACTCGTTTTATAAACACGAATCTTTATGACGTAACCGATTACAGAGCTGAAAGCCACACGCTGACTTGAGAAGGAATATAATTTGCCGCGGTGTTTTTCTGGAGCCGTGTCGCTGGGTCTCAGGTTCGGAATTTCCACTGTTCCTGCAGGTTCTTGCAGGAACTACCTAAAACACATATACACTATTTTAGGTAGAAACATATTTTAAATTCAAAGCTATCACATTAACTAGGCTTACTACTTTCAGATCTTTGAATTCTACTTTGTACTCCTGTGTCCTGAAGGACCGATGTCTCCATTAAGGGTTGATGGAAAGGGTCTTCATTTTTAAAATGAAGGCTTCTTGAGTTTTATTTTCCCCTTTAAAATGTTGAAGTGCTTTGACGTGTTGAAGTATATGTATGGTTTCTGGAATTGCTAATTAGGTATATTACTTATTAGCTCCCTAATTTTACCTGGAGGAATTATCTCGAAGTGCAAATTGATACTGCTGAATGTTTTCTTTTACAGCAAGAATAATAACAACTTTAATGACCACCGGTGACCTTACAAGTGAGTATCCACTTTTTTGAACTGTGTGCCCTTTGTGCCTGCTTCATTTGTAAACTGTCTAGGGTTTCACGGATCAGCTTGCTCCCCTGTACGGGGAGAGGCCAGCAAGTTTCCTCCTGGGCGTCAGCCCCCACTTCCGGGACTGAGCGTCTGCGTCCTGTAGGGCCTGGGATAGAACGTGCAGCACAAGGTCGTAGAGTCCTACCCTTGTGGAACCTCCGCCCCAGCAGCGGATGGAGAGGGACAGTGATGCCAACACGACTAATGACCGAAGGATGCTGGGAAATGTGTTGTAGAAGAGTAGGACGGGATGAGCACCTAAAGGGGGAATCTGACCGAGCTGGAGGGGCCTGGAGCGGCAAATTTGGAAGAGTGAGATCGGGAGAAGGGGAGGAGACCGTGACGGAGTGGCCTGCGCGAGGGTGGTGAGCAGGGGACACATGGCTTAGCCACGGAGAGCGAATGGGAGCTCTGGGGTGAGTGTGAAGACAGGGTCTACCGAGCTGACAATCATTTGATCCCTACATCCTTGTTGTTTTTTTAAAGGGGGAAATACTTGGATTGACATTAAAAGAATTTAATGATTCCTTGGTCTGTTTTCCACTCCCAAGTTGAGCATACGTATTTTTGGGAAATGATCAAAACAAACGGTGTCGCCTGTTGTAGGACTAGAAACAGGTCCCTGGCACACAGACCGTTTAAACAAGCATCATCAGTGTTATTTGAGAAATATTGCTGCGGAGCGGTGGGGCATAGGTGTGTCCCTTCGCGGAGGCTGTATCTGCGGCTCAGACACCGTCTGCCAGTTCTGAGAGACACGTTGAAGTATTCTGGCCAAATGATGAACTTGGGTCTGATGGGAGAAGGGAAAGACGGGTCTCCGTCCTCTCCGAGGACCCGAAGCGGTCTCCGTATGCGTAGAAGAGTCAGACTGTAATTAACGAGCAGAACAGACCCACATATTAAGAGTCTGGAAGATGGAGAACGTTCTAGTTGCAGTTTGCTTCATATTTAAAGTGGCGGCTGTTCCTGAATGTGATCAGTGTATCTGGGGATAATCACTGAAAGCCGGTCTAGCTGACATCCCACGGATGTTTACAACCACAAAGACATTAAATCTGATAAATCTTATGCATCAGGAGAGTTTTCATCAAGTCACTTATGGCAAAGGTTTCTGCCCCCCAGAAGTATTTAGAACCGAAGTTGTTCAGTACCTCTCGTGATGTAGTTTCAGATTTCTTTGGACGGGCTGAGCAGCGGCTAAGTTCCCACTTGGAGCAGGAAGTGCTTTTGTTTTAGGACGTGAGAACAGTACTTGTTAATACATACCTTTCTTCCTGGTGGATTTCAGTTCTCGTGCGGTTTGTGATCATGCTTGCTTTGAACCTGTGGGTGACAGCCACGGTGCTCCGCTACAGGACGGCGGCCGTGAAGGCTGAATGATGGATGCGTAGCTCCTACCAAAGTGGATTCCTGACAACTGACCCAAGGGCAGAACCAGCGCACGCCTGATTCAAGGTCTTCTGTAAGTTTAGTCAGTTGTTTCTGAAACTCTGAAGCCAGAGGTGTTTTAGACATGAGCCCTTTAGACACTTGTTTAGAAATGTGGATTCCCGCCTTCTCCTCGGCATCAGGAGCTGGAGGGAGGCAGGGCTCCGACACCTGCAGGCTGAGCAGCGCCACGGTTCAGTTCTCTCCAAAGAGCTAACGACATCGGGTTTTCAGCTTTTGGAATCTTGTAAGGAATAAATCCTCTCCATGGCACACATGATTATGAATGGAGTAGGATTTTTCTCAGTCAGTCATGGAAGTGTTGTACATTACTAAGGTTCACTTTCTGGGACTGTTTAATTATCATATAGATTTAACAGGCTGGCCTTACTGTATCAGAATACATATGTACCTCCTTAGGCTATGGTAAGGGTATCGAGGGAAGCAAAAATTGGCTTGAGTTCCAATACCAAAGTTAGTCCTTTAATTTTCATTTGGTGCCTTTAAGTAATTCCTTAAGGAAAGGTACTGTTAGCTGCAATCTTTGCTTAGGATGAGGCAGTCCCAGTGAACTTTTCTGATTCAAGCGTAATGCTGCCACTTTTAAAAGGGTCACGCCTTTAGAAAAAAAACACATCTTGTCCATTAATACCTACAGTAAAAGGGTATTGCTGGGTTCTGGCAAGTACTTATGGACTTCATTCTGTCATAATCTAAACATGATGTCAAGATTACTGGACATTGCATTTTACTATAAAAGTTTATAAACGTTAAGATTTAAAAACTCTTTCCTTTTATAATGAATGGCATAGTAAGTCGGTGATGCTTAATTAGAAAATGTTTTAGTTTCCTATGTAAAACAAACTTTTATTTTCTGAACTTTGCTGAGGCTTAAAACTGTCAGGTTTTTAATGTGATTAGTTTTAAGTTACATAAAATGCTGTTTTAAAAATATAAACTGTGATGTTTTAGAACTATTGCTTGGAAACAGTAGGAAGAGAAACGTGGTATACAAAGATAAATAATAAATCATTCATTCTGTACCTTTTACAATCATAGTTGTCCTCTTTTTTTTCAGAAGATTTCTTTGAGGGAGAGCAAGCGCGCACATAGGTGGAGGGGCAGAGGGAGAGGGAGAGGAATCCCAGCAGATTCCCTGCTTAGCATGGAGCCTGACTCAGGGCTTGACCTCACGACTCTGAGGTCATGACCTGAGCCAAAATCAGGAGTCAGAGGCTCAACCCACTGAGCCACCCAGTCTCCCCATGTTAAAGTAAGCTGTATTCCAACATGGGGCTCAAACTCATGATTCTGAGATTGAGTCACACGCTCTACTATCTGAGCCAGCCAGGTGCCCCTCACAGTTGTCATTTAAAAAAAAATCCAAGTGAATCTTTTTCTCATATGCAATTACAATCTAACCATAGTATAATACAAATTATATGATTTTTGAGTCCAACAAATACTTAATTTAAATATACTTTTTAGGGGCACCTGGGTGGCTAGTGGGTTAAAGCCTCTGCCTTCGGCTCAGGTCATGATCTTAGGGTCCTGGGATTGAGCCCCGCATCAGGCTCTCTGCTCAGCAGGGAGCCTGCTTCCTCCTCTCTCTCTGCCTGCCTCTCTGCCTACTTGGGATCTCTGTCTGTCAAATAAATAAATCAAATCTTTAAATATATATATATATATATATATTTATATAATATATAAATTTATATTTATATATATTATATAAATGTATATATATTTATTTTTTACACACACACACACACACACACACATATATACTTTTTAATTAGAACTTTCTCATCTCTTAAACCTTCTCCCTTAAGAACATACTATCTTAGGTGAAGAGTTCCCATTTTTCCTTTGCAGAAGAAAAGGGAACAAATATTTGAACTATTCCAGATATCCTACATCATCATACTTAACTCTACAACAATCCTATAATAAAACAGTCTCAATTTTACAAAAGATGAGAACACTGAAGCCCAGGGGGTATAACCTGTCCCAGATCTGGTAGCCAGTAAGTGTTCTAAATAAGAACCCACTGATTACCAAAGAAATGCCTCCTCGAAAAACACCTCTTAGCACACTGGTTCTGACCAAACAGGCACCCTATGTCTTTTCCTTATCCTGGACACTGAAGTAGATGGTTAGATTTGCATGTCCCTTAAAATACCTAAATCAAGTCAGCAACAGACTCCTTGTTGAAATCCTATTTCGTATTTCTCCGTGGGCTAAATGACAGGGTGGAACATTCACAAGTCTGTAACCTTGGTTATGATTTGTTTTGCTATACCCATCAAGTGAGGAAGACAAAATTTTAGGGGATAAATTTTAGGAGGGTGCAGCATTCCGGGACTATTCACAGGAAGAGTATGAAAATGCTTATGTCTTAATTTCTTTTATTTAATTTTTTAATAAAAAAAGCAGGCATAAAATACAATTACATTACTACAAAGATGCAACAAATTTTTTTTTAAAAATCGGGTACGATTTTTGTTCAACGGGGACAGCTGATCAAATAGCTATGATTATCTAAACCATGCAGTTCATAACTTATTACAATTCCAAACAGAACTCATTATTATGGGGAAGGGAATCGAGGACAGGCCCCCAAGCATAAGATCCGGCACTGTCACACAGTGCCTGTTTTCAAAGTGCTTTATGAATCAACTATGGTTATCTTCACGCCAGAGGGAAACTGCAGCCTTCTTCCAGGGGAGAAGTCATGAGTCAGTAGCAGTGTCGACACAGACTGAGAAACTCAGAAGTGACTTGCTCTCATAGAATATTAAACATGTTATTTAAAGCATGTTTCAATAAGGTAATAGAGTGTCTAAGTTTCTCTATTCTACCATGAAAATCCTGTAAGAATAGATTAACAACAGCAGCAAAACTTCTTAAATTGTGGTTTGGCAACCTAGAGTATCTTTTTGAGGATCTACAGTTAAACTGATCCACAAGATATCCTTCTTCAGAGCCAGATTTGTGACTCTAGCCTAGGTTAGTTTTAAAAACACTAACCTTATTTTAGATTTCTTGGTATCCTTTAGTTAGCTAAAGGCATTTAAAAATTTCAGATAGATTTTTTTTTAAATCTTGCTTCTAGATAGCATATTTTAATACTTTTCAAAAATTCACTATACATTAATTTTTAACAGTAATACCGGCACCAGTTTTCCTTCTACTTCTGTTTCGCTATCCCCACTAAACAAAAGTAAAAAAATCCAACTAAAAAAATCCCAGTATTCACTACTTCTTAGTTATCAATCGGAGGTATTTATGGCTCTAGGAGAAATCAGGTGTGAAGAAGCAAGCAAGTGTTGGTCTTTATCTGGGAACCTTTGGAACCTCAAGAAAAAGAGAAGGTGGCACAAAATCAGGTTGTTAAACCAAGTTAATATTATATTTAATGAGTGTTGGGAAGAAAACATTTGGATGGATGTATGCATTCATGTATGTACATGAAACCAGCAACAGGGTAAAAAGCAAATTCTTACCCAAGGTCAGAATTTTTATTAGGCGCATTTCCATTAGCTGGAGAAACAACCTTATAAACCCTTGTGTTAAACCATATAATGTGAAGAATCTCCATGGGAGAGATTTTTTTCACCTCCTAGAATACCTTTTTTTCCCCCAAAAAACTTCACATTAGTTTTCCTTGTAGAGTTGCATCACACCATGATTCTCCATATTCTCTAATATATACAGCATTCAAAATTTAACTTTTGCCATTTTTACTCAAATATTTCAATTACTCATGTGTAAACTTCAAATTATTTCACCTTAATAAAGTTTATTAAAAATATATATATATATATACTCTCCAATTCAGAATAATATGATAGAACCTCCCATAGTGTAACAAAATCTTTATATAAAATATTAATTCAGTCTCCTTTTAACAAGTCTAATGAATGGAAATATTTATTCTATATAAATTTTATATATTTTTCATTTTAAAATCTTACTTAAAAAAAAAAAAAAAGCTGTGCCCCCAAACCAGAACTGCAGAACATCCCTGTGAGGGAAATGGCATGCGTCTCTGGTCTTAGCACAGACAGCATGGAAGAGTGCAGGCAGGATAATGACAGAATAACAAGTTTCAGTTTTAGTACATCAGTAGGCCAAAGGCCACTCTTCAGTTTCCACAACAGTATCTATATTTTGGGGGTCTAACTCTTTAAACATTTCTACACTGATCCCAGAGGGAATCAATGAAAAGTGTCTACTTCCTTCATTGGTTTATTAGATGACATATTTCAGTATCACACCAAACCCTGTGTATGTGTGTGTATATAAAGAGACCGATAAAAGACTACATAATTTTTTTCAGCTTGATGTTTAACATTAATGCATACTGTAGCAGTATAAAACACATTTTTCTGGGATAATGAGAAATCTAGCAGAAATGGTCCTGCATAACCTATCAACTTTAACATCCTTTAAAAAAATAAAAATCAGGAGCCTCTGAGGCTACTTCTTCCCATCACCAGTTTTCTTAACCCAATCCTGAAATATTGCCATTACACAGTTATGTGTTTGAGGGATCACATTTAAATATTTAAAATATATCTACAGTATGTCTTAGTTTTCTTTATATTTGAGATAATCTTAGAATCTTGAGTGTGAAAATGTAAAAACAGTCACAAATGTCTCTACTGGAAATAAAAACACATCTAGGGTAGCCAGCAAATTCAAAGCAAAGAAAACAATTCATAGCCACACACTAATACTGAGGTCTGTATGAAGACTGGGATGAATTAATAGATATACATAAAAGATATATTAGTTCCAAGAGTATCCATTATTGTTTCTACCACCAATACTTTAAAAAAAAATCTGTTATACAATCAAAATAGGCTGACATTGATAACTATTACATGTAAAAATAGTGCACTCTTTTTTCTTTTGCAACACGAATTTGCATCCTAAGAGCTGGTAAACACTTTTTTCAAAATACAGAAAAGGGTGAGACTTAAAAAAAAATTAAATTAAGGCATTCAAAATGGGAAAAGTTGCCTATCATGAAGCATTAGGAAATTGATACAATTAACGTCAAACTGCCTGTTACAGTAACTGCTTAAACATGAACATGCAGCTTCTAAGGGGTATACACAGATAAGTGATACAAACTCCAACATTATGGCTTTATACAAGTGCATAGTTGCAACTGTAGGAAGTTATGATATCTGATTTATGTGTATAAAAAATAAAATGGGGCATTTGAAGAACACTCTTGCAGTATTACAGTACTATGTATATCTGTGTGTGTGTGTACATATACACGTACAGAGACACACACATATATATGCACACACACAGTCTAATGGTCACTTCTTAAAAGATGCAGTCTCTATCACTGTAGCGGAATCCATTCCCAGACTCTTCTGGTAAATGTGCTGGTGAAATCTCTCTGCTGATGCTGAAAAGATGATTTCTTTCAACTTTAACTCTTCTCAATCCTTTTGTGCAATGTAGTGTGAGTGACTGCCAAGAGAGCGTTATGGAACAAGTTTGGAAGAGTTGTATATAATATTCTTATTCTATTAACCAATCATTGTTGGTTCAACTTGCTGCTCCAAAGGAGCCCAGAAAATCTCCAAGATTTATAACTTATATTGTAGGAATAAAGGGAAATATATATGTATATGTATGTATGTATGTGTATATGTGAGTATCAGTCTCTCAGGAAAATATAGCTTTTTAAGAAATTTTGGGCCATCATATGTCAGTCTTGTTTTAACTGGAAGAATATGATCTCCTTGAATAATGACTGCATTCATAGAAGGCAGCTAGCTAGAAAAAAGAAAGGAAAAACAAAGTTAGTTGACACAGTAAAATAATTTAAGAGATTGTTAAATTCTTTGAAAAAGCATTCCATTTATATAATTAAACTATGTAGTCTTCCAACTCCTACATTTTTAACACCTAAATCATGCATAAACCTATTTACTATATTACTTTTCTAATTTTCAGGTACATGCAATTATATTCTTATATTTTCCTATATTTTCTACAAACATGACCACACAAGTTTTAATAAGGTTAACTGGCTCTTAGGGTTAGATAATACATTCCTGAGTAACTCAAGTGCATGTAAGTCTGACTTGGAAATTAACTAGCTGCCTCATGGAGCTCAAAGAACAGTGGACTTATGGACCAGGTTCTACTTGACTATTAGACTCTTAGCCACATTTAAAAAAATCTATAAGATGGAAACAAACACACTGTTGTAGTAAAAATGGTCTATAAATCTTGGTTATAAATACCTCCCAATAATACATGATTTAAGTTTATTTTTGCAATATGCTTACTTAGGTTAAGATAGACATTACTTCTTTTAAATCCATTTTGTATAAAAGGTTTGACCATGAGGTTCGATTTTCCTTCAGATCTCCTTTAGTCACGGTTAACCAGAGTATTTATGTATTTTACAAGCACAAGAACTTTCACAGCACATCAGCAGCATTCTTCAGCAAGAGTAACATCAACTTGTCGGAAAGCAAACATCTCACGGCATCACAAAGAAAAGCCAAATCAAAAACAGTATTTCACAGCACTTATTAGACTTACAAAGTGTTTTTATGGTTTCAATTCTTGCACGTTAGAGAGAAGGAAGGAGGAGGGAAGGAGAGAGGGATAGAGGGAGGAAGGAATCCCATGCTATGTTCACAAACTAATACAGTTGTAGGAACTTGAAAACATTGTAAATTTTACTTCTCTGAATATGCTTCTTTGGAATGAACAAAAAGTACCAGAATTAGCTTCTTTTGTTATTTGTACATGTTTCATTCCTAAGATTAAAAATTGTAATTCCAATTGTATTGAAAATATATAGCCAATAAAGATTCTGAACATAGCATTTCACTTTTACAACTTAAAATGAAAATTTCAGTTAGAAACTTTTCTGAAAACTACTTTTCAAATACATACTATTAAAAACAACTTAACAAAATTTCAAGACTAATCAAAAACAGTGAAAACCCAAGTGTAAATCACATGCACTACTTGGAACTACTAACTCATTTTTCATTTTTTGATTTACCCCATTTATTTCTTCAGAAATCAAAAACATCGTCATCATCATCACCACCACCATCATCAAATGACCAATCCCAGTCTTTAAATGCCAAATCAAGCAATCTGCAATAGGAGGTTTGCAAATTCACATTCTAGCACTCTTTAGAAATGGCAGCTTAATATGATATCTAGAAATCACACTTTGTGCTGTGAAGATTTTAACTCCCCCTTCATCAAAAACAACATAGCCAAAATTAAGATGGTAGCACACAGGAGATCTTCTTTCTCTTTTTATGTGAGTGTATATAACATTAGCCAGGTCTGATTTCCAGTATACCAGAGACCTGAAGACAGGTAATATTTGAGGTAAGATATGAGCTTTTCCCCACTGGGCCCAAATGAAGATGTAACCATCCTGATGCCCACTTTGATTTGTACCAAAGCTCAACATTTGTCAACACTCCCTTTGCAAAAGGACCCAGATGGCCAGCTCACATTTTTCTAGAACAGTACCACAAGTCCCAGTTTAAAGAGGGACTAATACTAAGAATGCAGGTTTCTCAATTCTAACTGGACACCATATGCTCAATGGGTCACCAACAGTGATGCTCTCCATGAAAAACCACAACTGAAGAGAAAAACCACAGGTATATAAGCATTATTAGCAGCTTATCTTGGCTGAATAAAGTGGACTTAGAGCAGGGGTGTATGTGTTTTTTTCTTTCCAATCCAAACATCTAATATTGCTATCATCTTTATTTTAAAAAATAGGTTAACTTTTTAATTGTTTTAACTGCGAGGTTCATGAATCAACTCATGCCAAGGAACTCATTTGGTCCCCCAAATCTCATTTGTGACCTCAACCTTAAAGTCAGTTCTTAGGGCGCCTGGGTAGCTCAGTCAGTTAAACGTCTGCCTTTGTTTGGATTCTTGATCCTGGAGTTCTGGGATTGAGTCCTGCATTGAGCTCCTTGGTCAGCGGGAAGTCTGCTTCTCCTTCTCCCACTGCCCTTCCTCTTTCTCCTTCTCTCTCTCTCTCCCAAATAAAATCTTTAAAAAAATAAGTTGCTTCTTAAACTTTATGTTGTTTACTCAATGCTACTTATAATGTATATCCCAGGCATTATCCCAAGAGATTCTGATATAACTGGACTGAAGAGGCAATGGGAGGCAAGTACCTGCATTTTTTTTTTTAAAGATTTTTATTTATTTATTTGAGAGAGAGAGAGCATAAGCAGGGGAAGAGGCAGAGGGAGAGGGAGAGGGAGAAGCAGGCTCCCAGAAGCCGATGTGGGGCTCGATCCCAGGACCCTGGGATCATGACCTGAGCCAAAGGAAGGCGTTTAACTGACTGAGTCACCCAGGAGCCCCAAGTATCTATATTTTTTAATAAAAAATTGGAAGTGAATTCTAATGCATCTGGTTGACTTTGGTAATCACTGACAGAGTATGTTGATAGTATGTTTTCACCCTAAGTGAAAATAAATAAACCAAATCAAATTACTCTATTTCAAAATGTGCTGAATGTAGAATATTTGAGAAAATGCACAAAGATGTAAATTACTCACTTAAACACACTTCACATTTTTCTAGGCTTACACAGACAGTAAGTTGTAGCGAAGGTACTACCTGGGACATGGAGATCAGTGGGCCATCCTGGGGGTTTAAGCCCCACTTTTGAAAAATCTGCATTTCCTACCCTTCTGAAACCTTTGAAGTGTTTGTGAAGTGCACACCCATGTCACAGTCTTTAAATTCTAGAAGTCTGGTCACTAGGCTGTTAGCACAATGCCTGAGAGTCTTCCTTAAAGCTCCCTCAGCCCTTGCCAGTCAGCCATCTAATTCTCATTCCAACATGAGAAAGCTTTCTCGGACTTGGTTTCAGTACATTAGTGAAGGAGCTCATTGAGGCAACACACACCAATCTCTTGCTGAAAGACTTCTATCCGAAGAAGAAAATAAAAACTCCCACAGCACGGTGTATTGGGTCCTTTTCAATCTGGTTCAATGCTTTCCAGGGACATCTTCTTCCATTCCCTGTCATTACCCTCTCCGCACTCTAACCCAATACAATGTTACAAACACATAACACGGAAGTAATTCTGACAACTCAGTACCTCTGCACATAACATTTTGCCTACCATTGTCTTTTCCCATATTTCTTTGCCTGGAAAATTACTGAACCTCCCTTTTGGGTGAGCTAGCTTGATGCTTTGGAACAGACTAAGGATCTCTCCAAACTATCTTTATCACAAATCAACATTATATTCACAAATTTTCTGCCTTTCCAGCACTGTTTTTTTTTTTTTTAAATTCAAAATACCAAGAAAACATACCTTTGGAATAGGATTTCTACACATATGTTTTATAAGCTGTCAATTAACTCATTTCTACTCCTATCACCCAAAAGGCAGAATTCTCCATGTTTTCCTTTGTTCCCCTGTAACACTCACTCATGCTTCTATTATAAATAACATTTTAAAAAGTACCATAACACTATCTGTTTGATTTTCTATCTCCTCCATTTAATTGATCAGTGGGTACACACTGCAGGCCTGTGAAACTTACTGCCAAAGACTGCTTTGGAAAGGAGCATTAGAACTTTGAGTTCTGCTAAAAGTACATGACACTGCCTGTTTCTTTACATGCTGCCAATACCAGCATTAATCTTACCAGTTTGGCAGGTTTTACATTTTACTTTTATTTTAACATCTTTGCTTAATAATCAAGTTGACCGGGGCGCCTGGGTGGCTCAGTTGTTAAATATCTGCTTTGCGGGAAGCCTGCTTCTCCCTCTCCGACTCCCCCCATTTGTGTTCCCTCTCTCGCTGTATCTCTCTCTGTCAAATAAATCAATAAAATCTTAAAAAAATTATTTAAAAAATTTAAAAAAATAATCAAGTTGACCACTTTTCCCTATTTATAGTAATGCTGGCATGTTCCTCACTGATTTTTATGTTGGGAAGAGGCAATCATATAAATGATTTATATAAGAACTCTATAGAGAGATATAACATACACATTGCAAATATATATATATATATATATATATATATATATATGGTGTTTTTAAAATTTACAAGGTTTTAATTTTAATTTCAAGTAAATTTAATTTAATTTACTCCATCACTGGTTTTCTTTCTTTCCTTTTACTCTTAGGAAGCTTCCCAATCCAAGATCAGATCCATATTCACCTATTTTCTTCTACGACACTTAACGGATTTATTTTTGACACTTCCAGTTGTATACAGCTTTTTCATTTTTATCCAAATAATTAGTCTGTTAGCTTCCTATATTTATAAATGGAAAAGAACAAAACTAAAATAATGATAACATGAGGCACCTGGGTGGCTAGTTGGTTGAGCATCCCACTCTAGATTTCAGCTTAGGTCATGATCTCAGGGTCATGAGATCGAGCCTTGTGTTGGGTGTGAGGCCTGCTTAAGATTCTCTCTCCCTCTCCCCAACCCCCCACCAATAAATAAAATAATGATAACATAAGAGCTCCTCTCACCCTTAAATTTTAACTGTGTTGGCAATGCTTTATTTCTTAAAACTGGCAAATGAGCATTTGTTGCATTTTTGCTTTATACTTTTCTGTGTGGCTTAAATACTGCATTTTAAAGAAGACCTTTAAAAGAAAAATAATTAAAGAGAAATGCCCTCAGCAAAGACAAGCATGCTGTGTCCCACTTTGGAACAGACTAAGGATCTCTCCAAACTATCTTTATCACAAATCAACATTATATTCACAAATTTTCTGCCTTTCCAGCACTGTTTTTTTTTTTTTAAATTCAAAATACCAAGAAAACATACCTTTGGAATAGGATTTCTACACATATGTTTTATAAGCTGTCAATTAACTCATTTCTACTCCTATCACCGTGAGGCAGTGCAGGATTACAGCTGGGGTTGCAGAGACTGGAACTAGAGTATCTAGATCTGAACTCACGGCTTTGCTGCTTATTTGGTGTGTGATCTCAGACACACAGTGCTTCTATGCCTTAGTCTCCACATCTGTTAAATGGAGACATGAATAGCTAAATCACAGGGTGGTTATGAGGATAAATAATTTAGTACACTTAGAGCTCACAGACGAGTGCCTGGCATACATAGTAGCTAACGTTTATTTAACTATCACTTCCCTACAGAAAAAGGGGATTGCTGCAAAGAGTTAAAAAGAGAATCAGAACCAGGAATGTAACAAAAGCGAAAAGAAAAAAAAATGTAATGGTGTAGTCATTAACAAAGACAAACACTGAGGAAAAGTTAAAATAAATCAGATGATTATTTATAGGTATTATGTTTTAGTGCATATACAAACACATTTGATGATTTTGATAATGTCTAACAAAGCCAAACTTAAGAAAGACAGCATATGAGTTAGTTCACTGAAAGCTAGATTATACAAAGAGCTAGAAATTAAATTACGGCTGATATCGACCAGAAATGCTGTTTCCTAGGTGTTCCTGAACAATCCTTTCACAGCTCTACCTGTCTACTGGAATGTTATAAATTAGTGGAACATCAAAGGCCATCAAGTCCAATGCTTGCCTCCCATCCAGAGCTGTGCTGCTCACTGTCAGATGACCTACACATGACAGATTGAGGAGGGGGCTCTTTCCCAGTATCCCCAAGCAGTCACCTGAATCAGGTACTAACACTGTTGGTGACAGGGCATTTACTATTCTAGAGCAAACCAAGTCTTCCAATTTTGGAAATCTCTGACTGCCCGATACTTTTCCCTTGCTGAGTTACAAATGTCTTCTCTGCTTGGTTCTTGTTCTAATACATCATCTACAGAAAAGTCCCCTAAATCTTTATTCCTGTTTACCATCTCCCATCCTTCCCAACAATTTCTTCAGAAGCTAAATATCCTTAATTCCTTCACTTACTCCACATTTAACACTTTGAAATGATCCACTACTCCCTCTGTTATTCTCATCTGTATATCTTCCAATTTGTGCATACTACTCTTAAAATGTGACACCCAAAATGAAATGCAAACTTTAGGGTGATTCATGTAAGACAGAGACAGATACAATTTTGTGAGTTAATGAAGCAATGGAGTCATAGATATTAAAGACAATGGATATAACGCTGCAGACACATAATAAGATACAAAATTGCATCTTAAATGTGTTCATCTTTATGCTTAAAATTTCAGAGTATATTAGACAAAAAATGTTCACAAAAATATCCTATACATTTTATAGTCAGTTTTGGTATTAGTTTTATCTACATGCAAAGTTGTGAGAGAAAGAAATCCCTATTACTTACTGTTGCTATGCAAAATGTATTAAAAAATCAATGAAGAATGATTCGAAGGGCAGGGCCAGAACTAAAAACAAAAAGCAACAAAAATAAAAAGTAAACGTGCCTCTAAATAGACCAAAATGCCAAAGTGGAGAAGAAGGGAATAACCAAGTATTTATAAGTCAGTGAACATGAAAACTGTTATGTAACTGAAAACATGCCTCACTTAGTCTGAAATCTGCTTCATTAATGAATTCTATGTGTTATCACAGGTAGTGAAATCATTAATTTATCAAATAGTAACAAAGAGTAAAAATATATGAAAGGAGTGGAGTTCTTATAGTCCTGAATCTGAAATTATTTGCCCTTCTAGAGTCTCAATCAAAAAGAAAGATAATAATACCTATCTATTCTGCTCTACAGGAATATTTTAAAGACTAAATGACAGAATATGCAGAAGTTGAATGAGAGAACAGATTACAGAAGCACTCTGGAAGCTGTACAGCACCAGACAGTGTAAGCTATTTTAATAGCATAACACCTATGCATTAATAGTTCTACATTATTAAAAACAAAAACTTAATTTTTAGATGTTTTGTGCATGGCACATGGAATGACCTTCAGTGTCTCTGTGTTGAGTTTCTTCAGCTTAATTACTATCATATAATCACTAATTTTATAGTATTTAGTTTTCTCATACCTCACAGAAAAATTCAACATTCTCACTGCTGAAACAGCAATTCTACCTTTGTCATTCTAAATTATTTCCTTGAGATAATAGTTTCAAGAAAAGTTTCATATTAGATGTTTGTGGTTAGAATGAAAAGATTTCTGATAATACAGCCAATGCACATCATTATTCATATACTGAAGGTCCTGTGTTAGGGAACAAAAAGGATATCTGAAATTAGATACCTGATCGTATAGACTTTACCCTTTAGCTAACTAACCAAATCTTCATGGTCATTCAGTGAATAGCAATATTTACAAATGCCGCAGTAGCTAGTAAGCCAAGAAATGTTTATTCTGCATCAAGAATGAAAGGACTGTAATGTAGCCATATGAAAATAGTCCCACCAAAACATTTTGTGCATTCACCATTATCTTGGAATTTACTCCCTCATCCCAACTCTGCCTCAAAGACAAGGAATGTCCACAAGGAATGCAGTTAATATCTGCATTTTTAAGACTGATCTCTGTTGCTCTAAGTCAGAAGCAAGTATTATTCTAAACTTGTAGATGTGAATTAAGACTTAAGATTTCGGTCCTGCGTACCAAGTCATCTAACATAAGAGGTTAACAGGTTTGCAATACTAAGCACAACATGTGCACCTGATGCTTACAGGTCTGTGTGCACACTGTCTACTAAACCATTACATTAGTCAGTGTGCTTCTAAAATCTTAAAATATTATGTTTATATATGTAAAGATGACAAAAATGAACCTTTATATATTTTTGGTTGAATTTAATATATATGTGTGATTTAGTAAACAAATCTATACTACATTCAACTAAATCAATGAATGAGACATACACACTGAAACAGTTTCAAACATTTGGTATTCCATGGATCACTGACATACCGAGCAAAGGAACACTATAATTAGGAAAGTCTGCAGCTGAGCACAAATAGCAAAATACTAAAAAAGACACAAATTTTTAATCACATTTTGATTTATTACCTTGGTTTGTTAGGGGCAAGCTGTCGACTTGGCCGTCTAATAGACTGGTTTTGTTGTATCTTCATCGAAGTTCGAGGAGATGACCGTGCAAAAGGGTCTGGAGCTGGAGGCTTTTTAGGGATCTTTTTCACCAACCGACTAACCCATTTCTGCTGCTCTTCTGTAGAATTTGCTAACAACAACAGGTTCTTTGCCGTTGAGATATCATAATAAACTATAAAGAAATATTTGAAAAAAAATTAGTATGTCTAAATTCATCTGAACAATAATGATGAAGCAAGTAATTTATTATTTACCTTTGCAAGGCGCTATGATCTCCTCCTTTTTGTCCATGTGATCTTTATGACATTTAATATGGCAGCGCCGGCACTCTAAAGCAGGAGGAGGTTTAAACATATGCCACAATGGCTTCATACAAGCCTCACAGTTGGTTGGGAAATGATAGAGAGTAGGAATAAATTCATGTCCTTTATGGCAAATATAGTTTGATTTTTCTCCCACTGGCTCCACTGGAAATTCCTGTTCCTTCTTACTTTCTCCTTCATTGGCATACAGAATCTATAGAAAGCAAAAAAAATAATGAATGATTGACAACAGAAATTATTTTTTAAGTAGTAACAATTCTTACAGTGTCAATAAAATAATATTAGCCTAAAACATTCAATGAGACGAAAATGCATTTGATGTTCAAACATTAGTAGGTTCTGTCTAATCAAGAGTTTCTATGAGAAAAGTCACTGGGACAGTCACTTGGCTCACATATGAGAAAAAAACATGCCTACTTATTTTCTCCACAATAGCTATGGTTTAGCAATTTTTTTAAAAGATTTTATTTATTTATTTGACAGAGAGAGAGAGAGAATGAGAGAGAGAGCATGAGAGGAGAGAGGTCAGCTGGAGAAGCAGACTTCCCACTGAGCAGGGAGCCCGACGAGAGACTCGATCCCAGGACTCCAGGATCGTGACCTGAGTTGAAGGCAGTTGCTTAACCAACTGAGCGACCTAGGCACCCCAAATGACCTTTAAATGGGACTAAAATTGAAAGGTAATCTAATGAAGGCCCAAGAATAAAGAAATTTGATATGTCTTATCACACCAAGAACCTCGGTCTAAAGGTGAAAAAAAAAAAAAACCAAAATAAATTCAACTAACCAAAAACAAAATAAAGTTATTTACCTGAAATATCCTGGGAATTTCTTTAGCGTCTGCTCTATATACATCTGTCTGTGTAACTGGTCGGACATGAAATAATTTGCTATAAAAGATTTTTAATAAAGGAATAAAATATTACCAAAGGATCAAATTACATTGGTTACCCTATACTTAGGTCAGAAGTTAAAAGCAATGACTTTGACCCATGTTAGAAGGTCAGAGGATACACTGGTTCTTTTAATTCAATCACTCCTTGAGATTTTGAGTATTTCCAGGAAATCAGAAATTTTCTAGTTAGTTTCAGAGAACATATTAAAGACCCATAAAATATAGATGTTTTAGCTAACTCTATATCCCAGACTTTCATCTCTATGAAGCAAATACAAGAAAATGTAACAATAGTACAGTACAAGCTATATGAGTGTACCTATCTACATATTACAGTGAGTAATAAATAGCACTAATTTGACAAAAAAAGGTCACATAATTCTCTTATACTTTAAAAGAGAAAGGTTCTAAATATTTTAATAAAAACACTTACTCTATATCTAAAACCATGTAAGGGTTAGATTGTTCTTTATCTTGTTCACTGTCATAGAAAAGAATCTTCTTACTGCTTACAATCACATACTGTTAAAGAGAGGGAGGGAAGGAATTAATGACTAAAGTTAATATATATCTTATTTATTTATTTTCTTTGAAAACAAATTCTACAGCAATAAAAATTATATAAAATACTTAAGTTAAATAACTTAGAAGTTCTCAATATATTTTTAGGAAGTCTTCCTTAAAATAACAAATTTAGTTTGCATACACATTAAATAAGCAAATTGGACAGGAAATGAATTCAAATATATTTTGGACTGACTTATCTTCAATCCAATAACACAGGTAACCTTATTGCTATGGTTTGAAATGTCTGTGTCCCCCAAATTTTAATGTAAAACCCTAATACCTAATGAGATGGTGTTAGCGGGAAGGGCCTTTGGAAGGTGAATGAATAGGCCATGAGAGAAGAGACCTCCTGAATGGGATTAGTGCCCTTATAAAGGGGTTCCAGAGAGATCCCTAGCTCTGTCCCCCATGTGAGAACACGGCAAGAAGTCTGCAATGTGAAAGAGGGCCTTCACCAGAATCCAACCATTTGGCACCCTGATCTTAACTTCCAGGCCCCGAACTGTGAGAAATAAATTTCTATTGTTCATACACTAACCAGTCTGTTTTGTTATAGCAGCCTGAACAGACTAAGACATTTACCAAAAACGAACATCACAATATCAATAAATCATAGTAACAGAGGAAAAGAAATTATTAGGGCTTCCTGTCATACCCAGAGTTGTTTTCCCACTGAAACAGCAGAACACCAAGGCCAACCGACTTTTGTTTTCCTACCACCAAAACCTGTTTTATTATTATGATGATGAAAGGGTGTTTGTTTGTTTGTTTCTTCATAAAGATACAAAATCACATCATTCCAAATCAGGAATACAAAGTTTTATGTGTCTAAAAGTTCTAGTTATATGTATATCTTACAACTACAAATGTGAAATGGCTATGGACAAACCAAAAGCAAAATAAAAGAACCATATTCAAAAGTACCAATTACCTTTTTAACCCATCCAAATTTCTTAGTGTTGTTTCGTACAGGTAATGAAAGCCATCCTTCTAGTCTTGATTCTATAAATAAGCAGAAGATATGAGGATAAATTTAGCAATTCTCCTAAGAAAATGCGCAATTCAATAAAATTTTAATATAAAAGTCACAGAACAAATCAAATATGCCTTTCAGAATTTATCACTATACGTTATCAAGGCTGTAATAATACTGCAGGGTGAGTATAAGCAAGTTATGAAATGCCAAACAAAATCCAGGTTACAGCACATTGAAAATATATGTTCTATAGCTTATAAAGTCAAATGCTCCCTGTGACTAAATCCATGCATCTGCGAAGTTGAGCAGAAAAGGTACAAGAAAGAGAAGCAGTTCTCTATTCTCACTAGTGCACCTGTATTAGAATTCTTTATTTTTTCTTTGGAAGAGGCCTATTTATTGATATAGTGCATATGTATCTTCTTCAAAGAGAAATCATTTTAAGTGAGTAATTACATGATCAGAGAAAGTGGATGTTTTAAATGGCTAAAATAAAATGAAATAAAATTGTGTAAATTACTGATCAAATCTGGTTAGTGAATAGCAATATAACTAAAAACATTTCTAAATTCCAAAATAGCAAAATCAGTAAAATTCTAGTTCAACAAAGGAAACTGCCTGAATCCTCAGAATTTGTTCCAGTGGCATGTGGCCAGTACCATTTAATGGAATAATTAGGGGCAACAAGTATTTCTGGAGGTTATTCTGATAGTCACGTATTGAACTGTGCTGGATGCTTAACATCCATTTTCTTGAATTCTTACAACCCCACAGGAAGGCCACACAGGAATGCACCAGACTCCAGAACCTATACTCTCTCACATCAACAACCTTCCAGACTCTGTGAACAGAAATGCTGTCATTAAAAAGTCTATATAGTGTACCTGTCTGGACATGGTCCTATACCAGCTTAAGGGACCAAATCAGATGATCTGTAACAATGAGTACATATGCCTGGGCAATGTGACAACAAGGTAAATACAGCTATTTCACTTTGCATTCAGTTAGTAAGAGACTACATTTTACCTTCTATTCAACTGCTCATACACTAATTTCCTGTGGCATTTACATTAAACGTGGTTTGTACTTACATGAACTTCGTGTTAAATAGAGATTTTATATGCTTTCCATCTAGTTTCTTCATTTAAAACTCTAAGTCCTTTTAGGGCAGAGACTGGGTCAAAGTGTCTTGAACTCTCTTTTAAGGCCTAACACAATGTAGCTAAAACAATGAAAACCTACATACACCTCTCGGTCTACGTGGTGTTTTTTGTGCTGTCACTCTTAACATGAAACTTCAGAAAGAATTTCTCGTTGGCTAAAAATGGATGACGCAGGCAATAAAACCAAATGCTCTTAAATGATATAAAGTCGACAAAATAAGTCTATCAAACGTAACAGCAACGCCATATGACAATACCTTTAAAACTTCTTTGTTCATGCAGCATTTTCTTTTTAACTGAGACCAGAACAATTTGTTAGAGTTAGTGAACACTAGTTAATGTTACAAAGAAAAAAAGGGACTGAAATTAAGGGTAGCGGGGAAAACCTCAAAGGTAAAAATTTTTCAGGATATCACCTGTACCGTTAGGTTCCGATGAAATAGGTAAATAAGGCAAAGATTCTTCTTCTGAGTCAGAATCAGAGTCAAGAAGCATATGAGAACTGGAAGGCTTAGTGGCAATATTGAGAGAAGTAGAGGAACGTTGGTAGGTGAATGACATGGATTCCATAGTGCGTGATTGAGTGATATGAACTAAACACCCAACATAAAAGGAAAGGAAGTAAGAATGCAGAAAGAAGAAAAAATAAAATGAAAATTTGAAAAAAGAGCTACCTATAATACATAAGGAGCTAATTTAAGTAACTAAATATGTGGAATTTTCTTTTCCATTTTTTTCACAAGAATTTTTGTCAAAAATCAATATATAATGTAAGTTTAAATGGTTGTTTGAAGGCCACCCCAAGGAGTATGCTTTTTTCTTAAAGAAGTGATAAACATTTTTCTCAGGAGCAGTCACTCTCAGGACTTAACACAATCAACTGCTTTATATTTAAGACAAAGTTTTTCAATTAAAAAATAACGTAAGAGGTGAAAATAAACCTGTACCTGGAAATCCATCATCTGCCTCAGCATCCCCTGGTCCACTGCCTATACTGGAACTATCCAGACCAATATGCAATGCTTGGAGCTGTGACCGCAGCTGCTCAATGTCACTATCTTTACTGTCCAGTGTCATCTGCAGTTCAATTCGAATCTGGCTCTCTTCAGCTATTTGCTACAAGAGATTAAATTATGTTAAATCAATTGGATACCATATACCTCCTAATTTTAATTCAGTAACAATTATGAAGTAATAGAAATGTTCTATAACCAATACAATAAAATACTTAAAATACTTCTGCTTCTTAAAAATACTTCTGCTTCTTAAAAAAAGTCTTCAACGTAGAGTTCAAAAAGTATTCTTACAGCCTGCATTTCGTTCAGTTCTTTCTGATACTTGATCATCTGCTGAGTCAGTTTTTCACGTTCAGATTTAAGCTCCATATGTAGCTTTCTGTTCTCTTTCTCTTTTCTCCGCACATCAGTGTCACTACCACGCTTGACGGGTTCTTTTCGATTCATGATCTCAGCCAACTTATTCACAGCCTTAAAAACATAAAAATAAATAGGTAATCAAATAAAATAAATCATACTGATGGTTCTTGGTAATTCACCAACAGCAAGTTATATGACCACTAATAATCTCCTTCCCTATACACACGGAGCAACGGAGAAATACTGTCTTTATTAAATAATATATTGCCTTCGTTATTCTTTATCTTCTTCCAAGTTATGTTAGTTTTTCACTCTCATGTTTTCTGAGAAATGTAATTTAAAATGTTTACAGGTTGGATCTGATGTCACTTTCTACAATTTTAAGTTTTTAGTTTCAAGAGAGACTTCTGCTAGGCAGGTCCACTTCTATTCTGGAGGAAGAAAATTTTGCCTTGGCATCATATTAGTAATATAGAGTATGTCCAACCAGAGAACTGAGCATCTGGGACCCACAAAGATTCATGCTGTATATACACAGCCATAGAACTGGCAGAAGGATGGTTCAAGAGCCGAAGGTGCCTTTTCGGACTAACCCTTTCTTAGGCTGTCAGCAAATGTTCACTCAGTCATTTCTTAAAAGCAAAAAATTTACCAGATGACAATAAAAAATTAGGAGGGAGTGTGATTTCACATGGAAAAATTACGAAACTTGAAGTAAACAATGAACTGAACAATGTTAGCCAAATTTAGCTGCGTGCAACCAGGTGAAAATACCGATACACTCAATGACCACTACAGCTAATCTGTAGAGGGAGATGAACTAGATTTCAAAATCCTCTTTACAGTTTGTCACACCTACTTGAGTTTTGAGTGTTCGCTCTGTGAGCAGCTGCTTCTCAAACTGTGCTTTAATAGCGGCTGCGCTGATCTCCTCATCTTTCAGCCGTGACAGCTCTGAAACACGGGGAAATGTCAAGATTATATTAATAACTACAGCAATGAGAAAACATTAGGCAAATTTAAAATCAACTTTATTCTTTGTTAATACGTACGTTCTTGGGCATCTTTTAATTTGTTATTTAATTCTTCTTTCTCATTTGCAAGATTGGCAACATCACTAGTTAGTGTCCTGTTTGTTTCTTCAAGCTAAAAAATGAAAGTGGAAAAAAAATTATATCCCAATTTTAAAAATCTAAGTTATAAAGCAATCATTCAAAATAAAAGTAGACTAGAATGACGCTAAAACTCTTATTTTTCTAAGTACATCTATCTCTACACTTTGTGGCTTTGTGGAACATTATGGAACTTCACTGATGAGAATTTTGCTAACCATCGGAGTTCGTGAGTACCCCAGGAAGCCAAAACCTGCTCCTTCTCTCAAAAAGCCTTAGCAGCATTTTTAATGAGAAAAACACTTAATAAACTAAAAACAAACATTATAACAAAGCACTGTATTTCATCATCCAGAATAAACATATTTTAGGGTTTTTTTTTTTTATTTTATGTATAGTTATCGGACAGAGAGAGAGAGAGAGAGAGAGCGCGCACAAGCAGGCAGAGCAGCAGGTAGAGGGAGAGGGAGAAGCAGGCTCCCTGCTGAGTAAGGAGCCTGACATGGGGCTCAATCCCAGGACCCTGGGATCATGACCTGAGCCAAAGGCAGAGGCTTAACACACTGAGCCACCCAGGCGCCCCAAACAAATTTTAAAATGGTAGTATTTCTTTCAGAATATTTTATTTTTTTCAGTGTTCCCAGTCAGAATATTTTAAAACAAAATAAAATTTTACTAAAGAAGCTGACATCCTTGTTTATTATTATCACAAATCCTACTCCTACTCTTCTTTCCCACCCAAAAGAAACTGTATTATGAATTATGTATTCATACTTCCCACCCATGACTATACAGTTTTCTTACAAACACATAAAACAATAAAGAGTGTGGTTTTGTGTGATTATAAATTGTCCATAATCACACTGTATCTTTTTCTAACTGCTTTCACTGGACATTATATTAATTAAACTGTTGACTATAAGGATCTTAATTTATTTTAATTGAGCCAGAACTTCCACCTTCTACCTCATTTCATTTATCTATGTATTCGTCTATTGATAAGACATTTGAATTTTGGAGGCACCTGGTTGGCACAGCCACGTAAGCATCTACCTTCAGCTCAGGTTAAGATCTCAGGGTCCTGGGATTGACCCCCAAGTCTGGCTTTGCTTGGCAAGGAGCCTGCTTCTCCCTCTCCCTCTGCCACTCCCGCAGTTTGTGCTCTCTCGCTCTCTTCTCTCTCTCACATAAATACATAAAATCTTTTTTTTTTTTAAGATTTTATTTATTTACTTTTTTGGCAGAGAGAGACACAGTGAGAGAAGGAACACAAGCAGGGGAATTGGTAGAGGGAAAACAGGCTTCCTGCGGAGCAGGGAGCCCGATGCGGGGCTCAATTCCAGGACCCTGGGATCATGACCTGGGTGAAGGCAGATGCTTAATGACTAAGTCACCCAGGCACCCAATGAATAAAATCTTTTAAAAGAAATGAAATAAGAAAATAAACTTCCACATATCCTTAAGAGCAACCCTCTCAGGTCCCCTCCCTGTTTGGGAGCTTTGTACTACTAATGATAAACTAAAGTTTACCATTCAATAAACTTCACTTTGAGGCACCTGGGTGGCTCAAATGGTTATTAAGCGTGTGCCTTTGGCTCAGGTCATGATCCCAGGGTCCTGGAATGGAGCCCTGCACTGGGCTCCCTGCTCAGTGGGGAGCTTGCTTCTCCTCTCTCTCCCTTTGGTGCTCCCCCTGATCTGTCAAATAAATAAATAAAACTTAAAAAAAAAAAAAAGACATTTGAATTTTTGCTATTACAAACATTTATGCTGCTATGAAAACTGTGCCTAAATTTCTCCAGCATATTTATCATAACACAGACTTTCTTTAGATTATGCGAACATTGAAACTTTCATATTTTGAATATTTAAAATACTTTAAATAATAAATATTTAAAATTGCCATACCACTTACTATACTATGCCACCTCCATTTACACTCTCCATAGTTGTAAATAAGAATGTCAGTTCCCACATGTCTTTCAAACACTTGAAATTAGTGAGATACTTAATTTTGCCATTATAATGAGTATGAAGTGGTATTTCAAAGCTATTTTATCCAGCCTTTCCTAAATACTAGTTAGATTAAGCATCTGCTTATGTTTTTAGGGTTTCCTCTTTTGGCCCATTTTTCTTCTGTATTGTTTAACTTTTTCTTCGTGAGCTTGAAGGAGTGCCACATGTGTTCTTGATACTAGCCCTTGTTTAATGAATACATTACAAATATCTTCTCCCTCTAAGTTGTTTGTTGTCTTCTGCTATATAGTAAGTTTTAGATTTCATTCTAATTGTTTAAAATTTTTCTTTTTCACATTTAGATCTTTATGATAGCTAGAATTTGTGCTTACTTCGGCAGCACATATACTATGATAGCTAGAATTTATTTTTGTTATGTTGTAAAAGGTAAGGATCTAACTGTATTCCTTTCCCTTTAAAAAGAAAGTCATCCCAAACCATTTATTACAACTAAATCCTTTCCCAGCAATGTGTCTATTACCACCACAACCATATATCACATTCCTGTATGTGCAAGAATCTGGTTCTGGCCTCCCTACTCATTTCCACTGAACGGGATTAAATATCATTGTTCTAATACCACATTTTTTATCCACTATAGCAATTTAATAACAGATTCAACTACGTGATACTTTACTTCTCTTTGAAATTTTCATTACAATTTTTTTCAACCTGCAAAGGAGTACCTTCATGGTAGTTTCAAGATTCTTTTCAAATAAACTTTGTTTAACAAGAAGAAAAAGGCTTATACTGTTTCTGTGTCTGGTATTTCCCTTTCACTTTAGTTCTTTCACTCTGAATTTACCAACAGGTAGACCCACTGGAAGTAGTTCTTTTTTGAGCCTCTGTCTGCCAAACACTGAGAAGCTAATGTTCACTGGATCCAAAATCCTATAGCTGGCATGTTAAGATTTTTCATTTCCATCTGTAGTATCTTCCCTGTTGCTTTTAAGGAAGACTGATGATAAAGTAATTTAATTAAAATAAAAAAATAACTAGATATTTTACTTACAGATGCAATTGTAGCATCTTTTTCAGTGAGCTCCTGTTTGTGTCTAGCCATCATCTCTTTGATCTCAAGCTCCTTCATGATTTTCTCTTTTTCCAAATCAGAATACTGCTCTTCAGCAATTGAACGAGCCAGCTGCTCAGAATCTGCTTTGGTCAAGGTGATCTCCAGTTGAGCAGCCAAGGAGTCCCTACGTTTTAATGATACATTATTTTAATGTCCAATTTTCATTAGGAAGTCAAAGTTTTTGTCTAATGTATTTCATCAACAAATTCTTACTTGCACTATTGTAGGTAGGCATTGTTCTAGAAGAGAACATGACTATGAACAAAAGATACAAGGATCGTAGCTTTACCTTTCCTCCTGTAAGTCCTGTTTCTTCTGTTGTAATTCTTTACAAAGTTTGGTCTTTTCTTCACATTCTTCTTTAAGTTCCCTCACCTGTGTTTTATAGAGGGTCTAAATAGCAAAACAGAACAGAAACATATCATTGCCACCACCACCACCATCATCTTCATCATCAATTTTATTTCTAAATTCAAAGTCTATCCAGACAAAGTCAAGTTGGACACATACAAATATGTTCCTGAACACTGTGCAATGTTGGGCCCTTGAGCAAATTAATAGTGAATGAGCCTTTCTGGTAAATCAACCAATTAAGTTCCACTAACAATTTAGAAGATAGATTTTCAACTGGATATCAGACTGAGGTTTCTCATTAAATGACACAGACAGGCACAATCAATAAAGAGGCAAAAAAGATATTACTAATCTAGACAAAAAAAAATTTTGTTAGCCTAAATGAAACACAGGGGACATTACTACTTATTTTAAAACCAATCGAAAAAAGTACAAACATTAAAATGATAATTTTTCTTTCACTATGAAAATTCTACCTTAAAAAGCAATCATTTTAAAAAAAAGCAATCGGGACGCCTGGGTGGCTCAGTTGGTTAAGCAGCTGCCTTCGGCTCAGGTCATGATCCCAGCGTCCTGGGATCAAGTCCCGCATAGGGCTCCTTGCTCTGCAGGGAGCCTGCTTCTCCCTCTGCCTCTGCCTGCCATTCTGTCTGCCTGTGCTCGCTCTCTCTCCCTCTCTCTCTGACAAATAAATAAAATCTTTAAAAAAAAAAAAATCAATCATTTTTCCTATTATATGTTAATAAAAAAAGTGACTCAAAAAATCAGCTTGAATAGAAAGAATTATTAGGGGGAAAAAGCAATCATTTTTTAATCAACTATTCATAAAGTATGTACTTTTAGAACTATTTTTCTAGCAATGATAATAGGCTTCTGTTAAGCTATCAATAGTCATTTGCCCACTTGTTCTTTTTATATGAATTGTGTAGAACAAAACAACCTATCCAAATCCCTGTCTGGTGTTTGCTCTAAAAATCTATTCTAAAGACAAGAGTCTTTCTAGTTCTGCAGCAAAAAACTTTTTTAAATTCTACAAAGATGATAATTTTCAAATTAATGTATCTGGAACTTACTGAGAAATACTGCTCTGCTTCAAGCTGATCCTGAAGTTCTTTCATTTGCCCGTCTGCATCTTGACGTTCTCTGTGGGGACATCGAAGAAAAGGTTCAAATAAGCTACACACAAAATAAATAAGCAACTCTTGAAATGTGGCCGAGGGAACAACTGGGCATCCCTGGATCCTTAAAAAAAATCCAAGGAGTCACATTATTTACATAATACTAATCATCATTGCATTGTTGTTTTAATTCTCATTCTCTCAGGAGTGTGTATGGACTTTTGAAGTTATAGAACATATAATGATTCATCACTCCAACAGCTAATGAATGAAATGTGTTTTGTATGCTCTTGTGTTTTGAAATTTTAATTTCTAACACAAAAAATATCATTAGATATAACTGACATAAATAAAAATTTGTATAAAGGCATCCTAAACCAAATAGTGATTAAAGCAGTAATACTAATTTACATAGCCTCAACCATTCACTGTGATCAGACATTTCTGCCAACCAAGTACGAGAATTAAAAGAACACCTGAAAATCGGTTATCTTAGGATGAGTGAAAAAAATGACAGGGAGGGAAGGAGTGCTCATTTTTATGTTTAAATGTGGACGTTAACTACACAGATCTATATGTTTTGTAAAAATTCATTGATCTCTACATATCATTTATGTACTTTTTTCTATATATATATATTAATCTTCAATAAAGCAATAAAGTTAAATAAAAAATAAGTAAAATAAAAAGCAAGCCTAACAACGCATTTAAGAGGTTGGGTTGGAGTAAGTTAAACTCTAGGGTTACTAAAAAAAATAAAAATCACAATTATTCCAAATCAAAGCTAAGAGGGAAAAAAAGCAAGCTGGAGAACAACACAACATATACAACACAATTAAAAAACAACCCCCCCCAAAAAAAACTAAAAAAAACTCATCCCTATATACACTTAAAAGGATGTATATAGTAGAGACAAAGAAGGAGGTATGGAAGGATAACAAACAAACTGTTATAGTATGTTCTCTCTGGAAAGATGAACTGTACTTGCATTCGTAAGGGGGAACATGGGGCACCTGGGTGGCTCAGTTAGTTAGGCATCCAGCTCTTGATTTCTCCTCAGGTCACGATCTCAGGGTTGTGGGACTGAGCCCAGTGTCAGGCTCCATGCTCAGCGGGGAGATTCTGCAGATTCTCTCTCTCTCTCTCCCTTTGCACTCCCCACCCCAACATGTGCTCACTTTCTCTCTCTCTAAAATAAATAAGGGGCGCCTGAGTGGCTCAGTCAAGTGTCTGTCTGCCTTTGATTCAGGTCATGATCTCAGGGTCCTGGGATAGAGCCCTGAATCGTCAAGCTCTCTGCTCAGCAGGGAAGCAGGCTCTCCTTCTGCCACTCCCCCTGCTTGTGTTCTCTAGCCTTCTTTCTCTCTCAAATAAATAAAATCTTTGAATAATTAAACCAATCTTTTAAAAAATTAAAGGGGAGCATATACTGTTTTCTCTTTCTTTTTAAATACAGTTCTGAGTATTTTACAGGGAGAAAACATTTGAATGCCACTTGGATATTCAAAAATATATACAGCAAGAAAGACTCAGATTTAATAATTTAATCATACTCTTTTCAATCCATGTATTACTTAAAGCTTTTATTCTTATTCTCACTTAAGGTAATTTGGTCACTTTCTTTACTTCTTGGTTCTTAAAACATTGATAAAAAGGAAGTAATTACTCAATATCACTTGTCTGTGTTATATCTGTGTTTTATTATTAAGGCATGTACTATTAAACATGATGATTCTTATTTTTCTGAGTCAAAAATGTGAAAGAAGTGTACATATAAAATATAAAAGGTCATTACCAGTTAAGCCCAATTGCAGCAAACCTCAGTAGACTTTTAAATCATGAACTTGACAAGCTGCTATCATTCCTTTATATATAACTTTAAAAAACTAACATTGACCAGGCATTTAAGAAAGTATTTTTTAAAAATATAACCACACAGTATGCACATGGTTACAATTAAGCAGTACAGAATAGCACAGAAAAAATTACAATGAAAAAGCAGCAGTCTCCTTACCCTAATCATCCTCCTTAGCCTACTCCTACCACCCCAAGAGGAATTTCCTTTATTTCATTTCTGTGTTTTGTTCTTTTGACAGTTACCTCCACATCTCAGCTTATTTCTGGACACAAATTTAAAATATTACTTACCAATTCTCTGCTGTCAGGGTACCAAGTGAGCTCTTACCATCCCTAACCTCTCCCCACCCCTATAATATAGTTGTATCATTGGCCTCAGCCACATAACCACGCTTTACTTCATACTGAATCAACCGTAAACCACAACAACCCCCCACCCCCGTGCCAGTTTTTGATGAGAACTGCAACACTCCCATCCTTTCTTTTGTTTTTGAAATTTCATGAGAAAATGTCTAAATGTGGGTCTTTTCTCACTTATTTTCTGAGTCCTTTCAATCCAAAGACTTCTCTTTCAGCCAGGGAAACTGTTTTCTATTTCTTCTTTTTAAAAGATTTTATTTACTTATTAGAGAGAGAGAGTGTGTGTGAGCGCACATGAGCAGGAAGAGGAGAAGGAGAAGCAGACCCCCCCTGCTGAGCAGGAAGCAGGACTTGGAGCTCAATCCCAGGACCCCGAAATCATGACCTGAGCTGAAGGCAGACACTTAACCGACTAAGGCATGCAGGCACCTCTATTATTTAATAACTTCCTTCACTTGGTTTCTCTAGACTTCTTCGTCTGGTGCTAGAACTCCTGGGACCGGTCTCTGTGTCTTATCTATTTCTCTCATAACTTCCATGTCATTCCCTTTTGTTCCATGTTTGATGAAATTTCTTTGAATTTTTCTTTGAACCATCCTAATAAATGCATATGAGTCATTTTTAACATTTGACAGCTCTTCCTATTCTGGCTGCCCTTTTTGCATTATGTCAGGTTCTTGTTTAATGGAAGTAGTATCTCCTAGAAGTTTTGATCAATACTACTTATTACCAATAGGCTTTTTTTTTTTTGGTTTGTGCTTCTTTTGTTAATTTCTCTTCCTCCCTTGATATAATTTTCATCTGGGGATATGTTTCCTATTTCTTTATCATAGTCTTTATCCTTAGTACTGCATACTATCCTCAAATGCTAGTGATACTTGGTTACTCACTTACAAAGGAGGTGGTACTTTAATTTTAATTTTAAATTTTACTCTCCATGCATGTGGAAGCGGTTTTCTAACTGACAAACTTCAGTTTAAGATGAGAGGTTTAAAAAGCCACATAAGCAGGAGGACTCCTAAAAGGCAAAATGAGCACTTAGTCCACATAGCAGTTCTCATTCTCTGCAGAGGATACGCCCAATCTCTGTAGAGGGACTGCTCTGTAGGAACCCAGTAGTGGCAGTGCCTGGCTACAGACATTTCTGCAAGGGTTGGTGGGAAGAGTATGATCAGCAGATTGTTCCACTTATAGCATCAGATCTTACTCTAGCCCTTCAAGGGACTTGATTTGAATAATGAAACATTTTCTTCTTCACTAATATCCCACTTCATCCATACTCCTTGCTGTTGCTTCCCTTGCCCTATACATCATTAGTGAGGTTTCCACTTGCCATAACCTCTTTACTAAAGAAACTTCTAATCTTCCAATCCATTGTAATTCTTGACATGCGTTTATGCATTTTAAAAAATTCCCTTACTAAAGGTTTTACTGGCATCCTGGAAGGAAGAAAAGATACACATGTTAACCATTTTCAAATGCAAGCCTACATAACAATTGATATGTAAATTCCCACTGCATGTATGTATCATTTTATCCTGGTACTGCAATTGCTTATGTACCCATTTTACCTCTCCTGAAGGAGTAACTTCTGACAAAATGCTACTAAGATTCTTAAAGGTAGGAAATGTAGCTGATTCATCTTTGAATCTCCCATAATGACTATAAGTGCCTTACATATTCATACAATGTTGGAGAATGTACTATGTGCAAGACATTAATCAGGGGTTGGAGAGAACAAAACATAAAAAAGAGATAGTTGCCATTCAGGGAACTTATAATGTACTACATGGTTAAGACAACAAATATGAGTTCTTTGGAGATAAGGAGTTAGGAACTGAGGAATTAAGAAACAACAGATCCATGTGTACTTACAAAGAAACAAGGGGCATATATACTAAGTACTATAAATTTGGAATAAACAAAATGTAATTAGAACAACAGAGGAAACACAATCTAGATGTTTAATCAGCTCTTACATTCATGGAATGTAATGGAATGTACTATGGCTGGAATAGATACTATGGATACTACAGACACAATGGAGAATATCTATTTAGTCAAGTTGTTTTAAGGGTCCACAGCTTGCACTCTTGACCAAAACTGGGCCAATGAATCCCATCCTAGAACTTCGGGTACTTTCTGAAATTGGGGTCCAGAAAAGTAGTATCAGAGTCTCTCCAAATAAATGAAGCTATAAGGCATATCTCTAGAGCCTGTCTTTCTTGAAAGACCAAGTTTTCTGTTAAATGGAAAAAGCTAGGTCTAAATGGAAGAAGAATATAGCTAATATATAGGGCAAACAAACAAAGATGAAGATCCCTAAATATTGTTCAAGTTTCTAGTTCTAATTTTCAGAAGTTGAAATCTCATCAAGTTTAAGAGTCCAGGTTTACCCAGGCAACAGATCAGCAAAAAAAAAAAACCTCAAAATCCTTTTAATCATCCTTTCCTAGATCATGTCAATATTGGAATGCTTGACCATCCTTTAATAAGTAGTGTCAATCTTATTGACCGGTCACAGGTATGTAAAAAGCAAGCAATTAGCAATGATGATAAGAAGAGAGGAACAGTAGTAGTAGTATACCAGGTTATATATACATATTTTTAAAGATTTTAATTATTTGTCAGAGAGGGAGAGAAAGAGAGTGCATGCACAAGCAGGGGGAGTGGCAGGCAGAGGGAGAAGCAGGCTCCCCGCTGAGCAGGGAGGCCAATGTGGGACTCCAGCCCAGGACCCTGGGATCATGACAAGAGCCAAAGGCAGATGCTTAACTAGCATCTGCCTCCAAGACATCTCTGCAGTACAGCAGCATTAACAGTAACAGTTGTACTAGTAATGGCCCCTACCGTTTATTGTGTGCTAGATACTGTAAATGTATCCTTGTCATCCTTACAGAATGCCTAACAAGGAAGCTCTTACTGCCACTTTTTGTAGGTTTTACAAAAAAAAGGCTCAAAGAGGGGGCACTTGGATGGTTCAGTCAGTTAAGTGTTCCAACTCATGATTTCAGCTCAGGTTATGATCTCAGGGTCCTGGGATTGAGCTCTGCATTGGGCTCTGCACTTAGCAGGGAATCTGCTTGAGGATTCTCTCCCTCTGTCCCCACCCGCTCACACTTTCTCACTTTCTCTCTAAAATAAATAAATAAATCTTTTAAAAAAAGCCTCAGAGAGGTTAAATATTTTGCCTGATGTTGGTCAGCTAGTAAGTAATGGGACTGGAATGCCTATCTCTCAATCTGTATCCAAAACCTATGTTCTCTCCAAATAACGGAACCAATAGGAACTTTGAGCATGATTCAGAAGTAATTATACTACTAATGACCGAATGGGACAAACTTTAATGGTATATGTTCACCTTGGAAGGATTTTAAGACTGTTTTCTATTTTCTAAGCAAATTAAGTAAAATACTAAAATATATCATAAATGATTTAAAAATTTGTATGTTTGTTTAGTAATCAAACATGTCCAAGTCCCAGAAACTGAAAGAACAAACAGAAAGCACATGGACAATAAGCGTGAAGAGCGGTTCTGAGAAGGAATCTTAAGAGCATGAAGTGAAAATCCCAGACAGTTTCTTCTACTCCAACAGCAACATTCTATCATTATATCATAATAAGGTAGAAGAAGTAAAAAAATCATTGGGGAAGCAAATATAATCTTCTCGAAGGACAACACTGGCACTCAACACATTACTTATAGAGAAAAAAGGAGCAAATGTGATCAAGACTATGACATGATCAAAAGAAAATCCCCAGGTAAATCAAAATTAAAATAATTTACATGTGGATAGTTGTACACATTAATAAAACTCTGTCTCAAACAATTTACTTACTTTCGAAGTTCAGCATTCTGCTTTTCCAAGCTCATTTTCATTTCCATGAGATGATTATTTTCTTGTTTTAACTGCTTTTCTGACATTTTTAGTGTGTTAACTTGCTGTGTTTGCATCTTCAAGTCATTTTGTGTAAGGCAGCGCTTCTGAGTTTCCTGCTCTATTTTTAATGTCAAATTTCTAACCTAAAAAACAAATTGTCTACTTGATAAAAGTAATGATTTGCTTTTTCTCACCAATGAAGCTTGCAGCAAATATGATCATGCAAAACAGACTTTGCCCTTAGGCACTTAATTCATTTCACGGTAAAATAGTTTTTGTTATTTCTCATGTCCTATTTTTTTAAATAAAATATGAACTTTAAGGTAAAAATAACTTAAAAATTTTAAAATTATGATTCACCATTTAGCATACTGGTCAAATTCAGTAAAATTAAAGGTTGCAGAATATTTTATAAGAAAAAATTTTAAATTATGAAACCATCATTATACATCATTACAGATAAACCTAAGTTGACTATGAATTTATTACATAGTTTATTACACTTCTTAGTAAACTTAGTACTCACATCCTCATTTAGCACATCTTTCTGTTTAAGGAGTTCATTTATTTTCTGCTGTGACTGTTTGAGGTCACAGTCAAATATGGAGCATCTCTTCTCAGCTTCCAGCAACAGGTTCTCCACTTTCTGCTTTAACGTCCTTTCCTCCGAGAGCTTTTTCTCCATTTCTATTGCCACAAAAATGGACACAATCATGAATTCACAAACAAAAGAAGCCTATCAAATACATGACACAGTGCTATAGAAATGATAGCAAATGATGATAGCTTAAAAACATTTTTTTAAATTTCCAATTTAATATTTTCATTACTCTTCTTAATGAGTTTCAAATGTCAAGTTTTATGCTTGGAAATCAGGCATTTATTTCGTTTACAGTGTGGAAAAATCTACTACACTGCAATATTATATCCATCCCACTGGAAGTAAAATAATTCTGCCTTCACTGATGGTTCTAAAAGAGCCTTACATCTTTTTAGTGAAGATTTATTTATTTTTCTGTTACTCTATGCCTCTCGGTGTTACTCTTCTTACCCTAAAACATTCCAGGTAGACTTTTTATGTCTATGGCTCTTTCCATATTAGCATATTAATATGCAGAGGATGACAATTATATTTTGGGGAAATGGTAAAGGACAAGACTCTGGGACCAAACTTCCTGAGGTTAAACTCTAACATGTCCTAATTATTTGCCTAGGCAAGTTAATTAACCTCTCTGAGGCTCAATTTCCTCATCTCTAGAATGATGATAACAGCACCTATCCTTCCTCACACGGGTGTTATGAAGAGTCTTGGTTAATATTTGTGTGGCACTTAAATGCTGCCTGGCCCATGACAAGCATTTGGTAAGCGCTTACTATTCAAGGAGAATGTTTAATGACTGGAGGAGAATGTTCACAGTATTATTTTAGAAGAAAAAAAGCAGAACAGTATAAAAAATTCAGAAATGTACAAAATATCCTCTTGATTAGTAAGACTGTGGTTAATCTTTACTTCTTCATACTTTCCTGTATTTTCTAAATGATTTGCAATAAACTTTTAATTGTTTTATTAATCAGAAATGGCTTTTAAAAACCTTTTTTTTCCCCCAAGATTTTATTTATTTGAGAAAAAGAGAGAGAGTATGAGCAGGGGGCAGGGCAGAGGGAGAAATAGATTCCTTGCTGAGCAGGGAGCCAGAGACAGGGCTCCTTCCCAGGACCCTGCGATCATGACCCGAGCTGAAGGCAGACACTTAACCAACTGAGCCGCCCAGACAGTCCTTTTTAAATCTTGAAATGAAAAGCAGGCAAGGTCTATGTCTAAGCAAGTGATTTTGTATTAAATACCAGTAATTACCATTAAAGAAATTACCTTTTGATGTACTGATTAGAAAATCTATTCAAATTCAATTGGGCTCCTCTGCTCTTTCATATCTAATGCTTGATATCTGATTATCATTTATTATAGTAATATAAACCTATGATTTTCAGTTTTGAATGAACTGTCTTCAAAAGTGTGGAAAAGGGAAACCTGGGTGGCTCAGTTGGTTAAGCGGCTGCCTTCGGCTCGGGTCATGATCCCAGCGTCCTGGGATCAAGTCCCACATCGGGCTCCTTGCTCGGCCAGGAGCCTGCTTCTCCCTCTGCCTCTGCCTACCACTCTGTCTGCCTGTGCTTGCGCTCTCTCTCTAACAAGTAAATAAATAAAATCTTAAAAAAAAAAAAAAGTGTGGAAAAAATGAAACTTCTTCACATTCTACTAGTAACAGCTAATATTTCTAAGTACTTTTCCTCTATCATTTACTCGATTTTCACAACAACCTAATACTGTCTCTTTAGAGGAAACAATGCACCAAAAGAAAAAAAAAAGATAAGTAACTATGGACAAGGTCACATAACTAGTAACTCATTAGTAAGCCATATTCTTAATCAAAGGAAGCCAGGACATGCAGTAGAAAGAACAAAGGCTTTTAGACCCGGACATGGACAGATGTACTCATTATTTCTGCAACTCAGAAGCCAACCTTGTCAACAATGAAAAAAAAAAAAAAAAAAGAAACACCCCCGCCCCCCCAACAATTCACCCTAATGTGGGCACAGAGAATAGAAAGGGGCACCAGTGAACTTACTGAGGTGATGAAAACATAGATTCTACAAGTTGTTTTGAATGGTGGTTACATGTGTATATTACAATGTGAAAATAGTGTCTGCATTTTATTGCACCTAAATTATACCTCAAAAGAAAATGAACTCTATCTTCTAAGCCACTGATAGGGAAACATGGCCCACTAACTTCCTCTCTTGTAATTAGATTTTTCTAACTAAAGCACTCAATCAATCTCAACATCCTTAATTAGTACCTTATACTAAACTGATTTTAACCAAAAAAATCTCCAATTTCAATTACATTCAATAATTGAAAACCTATTTTTTTGCTAAGCTATTCATAAATGTTATGCTTCAGTATGAAATAAAATTCCTGCTTAAGAGTTCTATGAATCTGTCACAAGAGTATTTTATTAATTTCCCATGGAACTTCAAATCGATCATAATTATAAGCAGTCAGGAAAACAAGAAATTATCCTAAGACAATTCCAAGATACATACTGGTTTGTGGAAAAGTCAGCTCTGCTATCTTATCCTATATTCCTTAGTAGTGGATAACACTTTGACCAAATCTAGCTGTATCTTCATCATGCCAGAGTTCAAAATATTCAATGAGCTTATATTCTCATTAGGCCAGGTACTATTTTTTGAAACATTAATTTTGCATAAACTGCCAACAGTTTTACTATACAAACTGGTGAAATGTCAAACTAAATATTACAGAAAGAGGAAATCCCCCCAAATCCGGATAGATCTAGAACCTTATGCTCTGTGTGCCTGTTACTATTGGTTCCAGTGAAATATTAATTTCTCTCTGATCCTTAAATTTGGTTGAGTAATTTTGTGTTTGGGCCTTACTATCTTAGAAATGATTGTTGCCATAAAGGAAAAAAGTGATGTAAAGCTTCCCTAATCGTTTTTTCTCTCCAGTTCCCAATATTTGACAATAAAATATAAAAAAATATTTTTCCAAAATCGAAGAGTTGACTACAGAATCAATTCTTAGTACAATGCTGCAGCAAAACCCTTAGAAAAAAGCATACCTTTCATGGCTTCTGATTTTGCTTCTTCAATGGATTCATAAATCTTATTTTTATCTGCCAGCCGTGCTTTTGTAGCCTTATGCTCAGCTTCTTCTTGTTCCAAGCTCTGCTGTATAACTTTTAGTTGGTACGTCATATCTATTTCCATGTTGTTCTTTTCCTATTAAAGATTTAGAATAGCAACTATCAACAAAAAAGACTGGCTCACAATTTCAAAGACTTATAAAGTTGTTTTTTACAGACTAAGAATGTTCAAAACCTTTCCTCCCCTCTTCACTCGAACACTGTATAAAATGATCCATGGAATCCACCTCCCATGGCACCCATATCCCATCTCTCCACTCTACACTGGAGATCTACACTGAGAGCCTTTTATCTCAACAGAGTAACCAACGATATTCTCAACATCAGATTCAACAAACACTTTTCAGTTTTTATCTCATTTAGACTCACTGTTGCCCCTGAAACTATTTCCTTGACATACCTGACACTGAACTCACTCGCTGTTCTCATCTTTTATGTCACTTACGAAGTTCTCCCCCAGCTGCTCCTTGAATGCTGGTGTTCTCTGGAGGTAGTGTTCTTCAGACACAAAGCTTCCCCCTTCCTATATCGTTATTTCTCACTTTTAAAACATATCCATTATATATCTAAAGATAAATTTTCAGGATTCTCTACCATTTACCCTCTTATATTCCACATAAAGAGACTTGCCTTAAGTTGGGAATCTTTAATAACAGATGTCAATTTCTATATATCCTCAGAAAGATTTTCTAATTCTTTGTTCTCTATAGTTTGTATCATAAGTGTAGATATTTCTTTTATTTTTCAAATAAATCTCCAATCCTGAAAATGATTCTTTTAATCCACCAACAGAGTAATCTACTCTGCCCTGAAAAACCACTGCTCAAACCAATCTCTTCCCAGACAGGTTCTTTAATTCACAGGCTTTAGCACTTCTGTACCAAAGACTCTCAAGTATTTCTAGCTTCAACAACCAGTTTACTGATGTTGTAAACATCCCAATTCGGCTGACTCACACACATCTCAAACTTAGGATGAAAATGGATTTGTCATTGTCTCTTCTAAGAGCTGTTTACCTTTATTCATTGTAGTTAGCGGTACCATTATATATCTTGTCACAAAGGAGGAACCTAGAACTCATCCGTACTAAGTACCACACATGCCTCATCTAATCAATCACTAAGTGCTCCCAAATATTCTTCCTCCAAACATTTCTCACCTTATTTCCAATCCTTTTAACTACTGTACTAGTTAATTCTCCATTATCTGAGTTACTGAAAAAGCCTCTGACTAATCTCCCTACTACCTCTTATCATGTCCTCCCCTCAAATTTATCCTCTACATGGTACACAATGATCTATCTTAAATGCACCTCTAGTAAGAACACCCAATTTAAAGTCCTTCAGCGGTTAGTCCGCTACCTAGAGAAACTAAGTTTAAGAGAGTATTCAAAATCTTACATGATCTAGATTATTCTGGTCACTGAATTCCTCACACTAAGCATTAGGACCATACCGCTGTCTTCAGGCCAATTTTGGTCTGATGTCTATTTTTGTAGAATTTCACTGGAATATAGCCACACCCATTCCTTTATGTGCTACAGTAGAGCTGAGTTGCAACAGAGACCATTTGGCCTTCAAGTCCTGAAATATTTATTGTGTCTTCCTTAAAAGATTAAAATTTGTTGACTCCTGCTCTGTACTCCAGAAATATTGGGCAGTTTGCATTAAACAAACCAACTATGCCTTTTCTATTTTCCATCCTCTGTAACTTTTGCTCATGCTGTCTTCCCCAACTCAGAATGTGCCTTTACCCAGCCAACCAATCCTGCTCTGTCAGATGGGGCCTTTTCTTCTGTGCATCCAATATACCCTGTTCATTCTTCTAGCATTCTATGTACCATGCTGCATTAGAATTATCTGTGTACCTTATTACTTTAGAAGATACTCATCAGATTGTGAGACTTTTTAAAATTAATTATTTTCTTTTTTTTAAGTAGGCCCCATGCCCAACATGGGACTTGAACTCATGATCCTGGGATCAAGAGTCACGTGCTCTACCATCTGAGCCAGTCAGGTACCCAACTGTGACACTGTTAAAGGCAAGCAAGGACTATATCCTGTATTTCTACCACAGATGACACATTTAAATACTTAAACAAATGAATAAATAAGTGAACAAAAACACCACATTAACTGCACAGAGTCTGGAAATTATCCCTGGCTTATAGTATTTTTAAGAATAACTTGTAAATGTCAAAGCCATGATAACTTTCTATCATTTTTAAGACATATTCTAAGTCAAAATTTGAGTTTTCCTTGGATCCCTAGGGAGAAACATCCACTGAAAGCATGCTGATTTCTCTTATTTTTCTTTTTTTAAGATTTATTTATTTATTTGAGAGCGAGAAAGCACACAAGCAGGGGCAGAGAGAAAGGGAGAGGGAAAGGGAAAAGCAGACTCCCCTGTTGAGTAGAGAGCCCGATGTGGGGCTCAATCCCAGGACCCCAGGATCATGAACCAAAATGAAGGCAGACACTTAACCAACTGAGCTACCCAGGTGCCCCTGATTTCCCTTATTTTAGAGTAAGTTTTCCAATCTGATACTTTATAGTCATTTCCTTAAAAATATATAAAGCCGAACATGTTTTACCTTTTCCAAATCAGTAAGTTTCTCCTGTAGTTGTCTCTTCTCCATCTCTGCTTTTGCTAATAAGGTTTTGCCATTCTTTAAATCTTCTTCTAGGCCAGATATTCTGCCTAAAATTGCAACATTTTAAAAACAATAAGCCTACAGAGTATGTACATATTAAATTAAGAGTAAAAAATTTTAAAAGTCACCTCATAGTTTGGAGGTATTATTTATGAGTTTTTTTAATTGTTGGTAGAGTGCCTTATAATGAAGTCAACTGAAAATCAAGGGGCTAGTTTGACAACTTAAAATATTTCACACTATTTTAAAGTAAACCTTCTATTCGTAAAAGTTTGTATCGATGCATTTCCAACATCCTAACTTCACATAACAGAGCAGTATATTCAGAAACGTGCTACTCCAAGACATTATCCATCATCAAAAGTTATTGCCAAAATGCAAATCATCAAGATGAATTCAAGTGTAATCTCTACTTTAATACCTTGTAAGTCATTAATTATCTCGGATCCATGGGTTCGGTCCCTCCTTTCAGATTCTAGAACTGACTGAAGATTGATAAATTCCTTTTCGAGTTTTAACTTGGCAGTCTCCAGCAGGCAATTTTTATCTTGAAGATCTCTATTGTTAGATTCCAGCTGCTGAATCTGTTTTGAACTTTCTGCCTGGGTTTTTCTTAATCGGGCTGCAGTATCAGATTCTGTTCTTAGCAAAGCATTGGTTTCATCCAGCTGATATTCCATTCAAAATCAAACAAACAACAACAAACACAGGCATATATAATGAAAATATTTCCATTTAGTACCTCATTACAAACTATTTAAAATAAGAAAAAAAAGTAAAAATATTTTCCTTATGATTTCCCTTTAAAATGAGAGGCAAAGAAGGCCTTTTTGTAACATTGCCAACTAAAAGTCTTATTCAATTATCTTTACTAACAACTGAGATCAACCTACTTGTCTCTGGAGCTGATTCACTTTCTCAGTAGATATTTGAGAGTTCTGATTTCTTTTTTTCAAATCTTCAAGTTGATCCTTTAAACTGTTCACTATGATAAAAAGAATTTCAGTGGCAAGCTTCAATACAACATACACATACACACACAATTTCTTTCTTGGTAAGTATTTAATATTCTACACTACAAACCATCATTTTCCAAATTTCGTTTCTTGTCTGCTTCGTGATCAGCTTTCCGCTGATATTCTGCATTTTTGTGCTGAAGAAGTGCCTTTTCTCTTTCTAATTGTCTTAATGCTGATTCCACACTTTTCCTTAAAGTAATCTGAAATAATGCTTAAAGTTATTACCAAAGGAAAGTATGCATAAAAATAAAACAGTATTTCAAGCAGATAAAAGACACCTTTAAAAATAAGCTGCAACTGCTGTTTTGTTAAAATTCACAATGTTTTCCGTTATTTTCAAAACAGCACACCTCTCTTAACTTATCAAGACCAGTGCTCATTGTTCACTACTGAAAGTCAAACTTTCTGAAACATTCCATTACCACTGAATCATCTTCACTTGATATAAACGTTATGAATAGAAATTTAAAAGAAACAATAGCTACTTTCTGTTGTTAAGGCAAGTAATTAATATAAATGCAATTTTTTTCTTGCATTACCTACACATGCTAAAATTAACTCAAGTTTGCAAAAACATAACAAAATGAAGTCTATCATCATGCTTATCCTGTAATTTTAGTCCTGTTCACCAATGCTAGAGGTAGGTCTTACTATATACCAAGATATGTATTAATACGGTTCTAAGAGAACTCTGCAGCTAAGCCAGGCATCAAAACTCTTAGTGAACAAAAGTGTTAATAAAAGCATAGAGGAACTTTACCTCTTCCTCTAGTTCCTTTGCTACTTTCTCAAGGCGAGTATTAACAGATCTGAAGAATTTCAAAAGAAATAGTAAGTAAACCTCTAATTCATAATAAAAACACCTTACTATAAATTTTAAAATAATCAAATAATTACTTTGTAGCTCTTCCTTTTAGGTAACATGTTTACACTTCAATTTTAACATGCCACACTGAACTAGCCACAAAACATACTTGCACTTTTGCTCTAGCTCCTCTTTGGCTTGCATCTCAGTGCTAAGGTGTTCTTCTAATGTGTATAATTTTTTCTGAATCTGTCAGAAAATAAGATACTATAATTAGGAAGTTTGGTTACACTTAAAATATAAAAGCCTCGAGAAAACAATGACAAGCTGTTTTGTGAGCTGAATATAACCTCATCTATAATGGTACATAAAGTTTCTGTACCTTCTTAAAGATGTGATTTTTACTGACAGAGGAAAAAACCCTCCAACTCCTGCTCTCTATCACACTACACACGTATGGAAACATGTACATGTCCACACCACATAAACATATGAGTGAGAAGCTCTAAACTTGGCAGAATTCTTCTATGACACCAAGTCTCTCGTTCATTATGAATAGAGGATATCCTCCACTGTTCTTCCGCAGATTACTTATATAAAATACTGTCACAATGTGTACTTATAAGATGAAAAGGTCTATATCTGAAACAAAAACTTGGAATATTTGAACTTGCTCAAAAATATATTATTGCTCTTAAAAAGAAGAATTTAAGCTCTTCTTTATATCTTTCTACACCATGCCAGGAACAGTACTATAAAGAGTTATAATCAATAACTCTTGATGAATAATATCTAATTGATTAAAACATTTCCTTGCCGTTCTTTGTGTCTTCTTCTAGGCCAGATATGTTGGTCTTTAAATAAACTAAAATCACAGAAAGTATTAAACAGCCCATTTTTGGAGATTATCTTCTTCATAAAGGATTTAAATTTTTTAGTTCCTTTGTGCCTTAGGTATAGCAGCAGACACTTTACAAATGTTGTCTCATTAATCCTAACAACAACCCTAAGAATACAGTAGTGTTGTATCTACTCAATAAAGAAACTGAAATTTTAAAAAGGTGAATAACTGGGCCAAGATAGCTTAGCTAATAAGTGTCTGTGCCAAAAATCAATCCAAGTCTGTTAGACCCCCAAGGCTAATGTTCTTTCCGTTATCCTTTCTATAGTGATTGGGTTCCCCATGTTTCTTAAATATTTTATAAATCTTATACAAAACTATTATTTTTCCTAGTAAGAATATATAGGCCAATGAACAAGTCAAATTAACTGCTTTTGGCTGCTATTGTATTAGTATAATTTGATCACACTAGTTTTCACATGTTAAACAGTTATATATCCTTGATTAAGAAAGTAACATAATACATATTTAAACAATAGATCCATAAGGGCAATAAGGAAAGGAATACTTGGTAGAAAAAAGTTGGGAACTTCTCTCTCAGGCAGATGTAGTACTCCAAATGTTAGGTGGAAAATGGCTACATCAAAATACTGCTAGAATGAAGCACTTTTTCAGTTTTTCAACATACGTGACATCAACATACCTCTTGGCTTTCCTATTTAAAACAAAACAGAAAACACAAAAATTTACAATACTTGTATGCTTTATAAAATTCCCAAGAGAAATCATACCAGAATTATCTACCCAACTTTCTAATTTTCTATAAATTTTAAGGAGAAAAATGTTTAGCATACTCATAAATGTGTATGTGTGGATATGATTTACTTTTGTTGTTAGAAATTAGAAGCCACAAAATATGTAATAGTTTGATAAAATCACCTTTCATCTGAATTCATTCTTAAACACTCAAAATATTACTTCCTTCACTATTTTTGTACCGTTATACCTTCTTATCTATATATACTCTTTTATAGTACTAAGATTATAAAATTTTCTGATATTATATTTGCTTATAAACCTATTCTACCACTTTTGCTACTAAAACTAAGCCTAAAGCCATATATAATTCATCTTTTTACTAGCCACTGTATCTTATACAATAATACCTGCCAAATAAATTAATCATTTCAATGTTCTTTGAACTATATTACAACAGAGAATGCCATCTACTCATTCAAAAAGTAGCATCAAATGAACTTTTTAAACATATGGATATCACTAAATTAATTGAACATATGATTAAAATAAAGTAGTAAAAACCTATACATACTTCATTTTTCCTTGATTGTACTGAATCATTTTCTCTACAAGGTGAAGAGTCACTTAATAACCTAGAAGGAAAGGCAGGAAATAAATCTTTTGCATGTCATTTTAATCCATTTCCTAATACTGCCAAATTATTATCAGAATTAAATTCCAGCCACAAAGATTTTCTTTCTGACCACTTCAACATAATTTAAATGAAGCAATGTTTTCCCCTCTAGATATTTATCAATCTCAGTAATTTAAAATGTTGCACATTTTTTTTGCCCCCCCACTGGATGTTCTAGTCTTTAATACTATTAAGACTGCAGTCACTAGATGGGCTATGCATTGCCCCTCTTCGTCTCATTTTGAGTTCCTGTAACTATTTTATCAAGAAATCTAGAAAGACATCTCTCCTCCTTCTCAAAGATAACATCTCTTGATTCCCAGGTCTTAATACATAAATCATCACTTCTATTTAATTGTCAATCTCTCTAACTGGGTCCTCCCTCATTGCCTATAAATATGCTTGGGCTTATCAAGGCACTCATATCCTCATTTTAGTGAGCATTACAATAGTTTTTAGAGTACTATCGTTAGCAGGGTGGCCAACTCATCCTGGTTTGCTGGGGATTTTCTGAGTTTCAGCATCAAAGTCCCTTGCCATATCCTAGGAAGCCCCTCAGTTCTGGGCAAACCAAAATGGTTGGTCACCCCTACCATTACATACATGGAAGTACCAAAAGTTTCTCAAATATGTTTCTCAAATGTCTCTAATGCCTCACTCCTCACTGCCTGTCAAAGTTGAAAGTCCCTCAGTATAGCACACAACAATCATCTGCTGCTTTATTCTTCCTCTGACCTTCAACTCCAATATAGTTTTTAATCTTTATACCCAATACTCACCACAGCCAACCAGTATTTATTGGCCTTGTGCCAGACTCTGTGCTACATGGAGGGATTACAGCCAAGAAACCTGAAGTCTCATTAGGTCCTCCAAATGATCGTAATACAGTAATATGCACCTTGTGTTTGGGCCCTACTAGACCACACTACTCTGCCCCCAACGTGTGCCAACATGCCACACTTTTGCTCCCATTGTTCATCTCCCCACGACTCTCACCTAACTTCCCCCACTTGGGCCATCTTGGCCATTCAAAACTTTTTCTTAGCTTTACAAACACACCCCTCCTTCCCTGAGGTCTTACCTGACTCCATACCCCACCCCCACAGATGTGACTTTTATTTTTCTCCCGAACCATCTTAGATATTTTGGTACCTTTCTTAAGGCAAATATCATATTTCTAACCTTTATTATGACTCTATTATTCTCTTATATCCCTTATTACCAACCTTATTAGATGGTAAGCTCCTTCAAACATATTTAGTCTTACTCTCTATTACCCCAAAGAATATAGAAGAGTGCTTTTCATACATTTGTAAATGAATAACATTCAGGAATAATGGAACTAAATGAAAAATAACTTTCAATAGTCCTTTTTTAAAACACTCAAAAGTTTAAAACAAATGAACACTTTATCTTCTGTAATCCAGAGTCTTATTTTAAGGTAACTCTTTACAGCTAAATCCTGAAAGCAATAAAAATCTAACAAATCACATACAAATTTTCTCTATAGTAGGTAAATCCTATAAAAGGCAGCTGGTTTCCCACAAAAGCTTTAGGAATTGGGAAGGTTTCTACATCTCCTTTATCATCTTCAATGTCATCAAAATTGCTGCTGTCTATGTCACTGCTGAGTTCAGGTACTACAGGAGCCGCCGCTGTTAAAAGAAAAGAAATGGATTATTTTCTGCATAATCAAAATATATATTAACCACCCAGATTTAATATATATTAATACCAACACATTATACATCAATAATATATAATTAATCAGTAACATCATGATTTACTATAGAAAATTTGGTAACATGTTTTACATTCTATCATTTCAAAAATAAAATTTTATTAAGTATTTTATTACTACATTGGAGCAGGTTTGAGTATAAATAAATCAAACAAGGAGAGTATTATGATATTATTCTAGGTATTAAAACTGTAAGCAGCAATAATTTGCACAAACATTCTTTAGCCTTTGGCCTTTTACTTCTTTAAGTAAAATATTTTTACTCTTAAAATGAATTAATGTCAAATATACATAAAGTTAAAATGAATTACTATGCTTATTCTAGTATTCATCAAAGTATGGTCTACATAATTACTGATTAATTCAAAGAAGTTAAATTCAAATTAAGGGATATTCCCCCATTCTGAAAATTATCGAGATCCATAAAAAACTTACAAATTAAGATATCTGTTTATTATAAAAGTATTAAGAAATATTGCTAATGAATACATATTAGTTTAAGATACTGAGGAACATTTAGTTATAAATACTACAAGAGAACAAGTTTGAAATAAAACCTCTGAATTAAAAATTAGCATTAAGTGTATCAAACATGATTACTAATTCAAAAGAGGGATCAATTACTGAGATTTAAAATGTGATGGAATAGAAATATTTAAATTTATTGACTTACTCTCTCTTATGTTATCCCAATTCCACTGGTCATTCTTAAAGAAAGGATGCTGTTTGATTTCTTCTACCCCATTTCTCCCAAGTCGTACTTCCCTAAACAATGCAGTTAAAGATTATATTACAAAAAGATTACAAAAAAAAAAATTAATTCTTATCCTGCCTAGGACCAAAATAAGGATCACAAATGACTTTGAGATATCTTTATTAAAAGTTTCAGCTTAAATGTTTTTCCAAAACAAGTATTGCCCATTTTACAATATATGATCTCTCTAGATTAAAAGGACGATAAAGTATAGTAAATGCCATGGAAAGGGAAATGTATTTCCATCTGTAGTTTGTATCAAAGAAAAGTACACATGAGACTTTCAAATAAAAATATTCATCTATGTATGCCAAAACTGCATGACCAACTCCAGGATGTAAAATGGACAGAAGTTTAATTTCAAACAAAGAAAAGTTATTCAAAGCCTCTCCAATAAAAATGTAGCACAGGGGCGCCTGGGTGGCTCAGTGGGTTAAGCCTCTGCCTTCAGCTCAGGTCATGATCCCAAGGTCCTGGGATCGAGCCCCACATCAGGCTCTCTGCTCCTCAGGGAGCCTGCTTCCCCCTCTCTCTCTGCCTCCCCTCTGCCTACTTGTGATCTCCATCTGTCAAATAAATAAATAAAATCTTTAAAAAAAAAAAAAATGTAGCACAGAGTCTGCTCTCTCCCTCTGCCTCTGCCCTTCCTCATGTCCACTCATGTGTTCTAATAAATAAATTTTTTAAAATCTTTTAAAAAGTAAAAATTAAATCAAAATTTTAAAAAATGAAAATCTCTTCTTATAAAGAACTCACATATTATTAGAAACTATCAATCTTCAGTCTGATAAATTATATATTAAAATAATTATACACTTACATTAAAATAATCATTCTGAATACAAGAATAACAATATTAACAATTTAATTCTTTGAACCTCTGAGTTTTCAATGCAGATTTTATGGACATAAAAAACATCAGTTTTTTTATATGCCCCTGGAGTCATGTTTAATATAAACAGAAAAACGTGTAAACTCTAGAGGGAAGTACTGGTAGCCACAATGATGGCATTAAATTCTTTTCCAAATATCTTTTCTCTACCTATAATCATTCCTTGGACTGCACCCCCCCCCAATAAACTGCGAAGGCAAATCTTTCATTAACATGTGCTATGTCTTGTTTCATATTCTACCTTTCAGCACAAATTATGGTCATCCTCAACAACCCATCTAGTCCCAAATCAAACATACAGGATTTGTTCTAAGTTTATCAGCATGGATTGTCTATTAACCAGATAATTAACAAATCTTATAAATGATAAACATATTAAAATGATTAACCTCTCTAATAAGAAAAAATAGCAATAATTTTTCTTGCTTCAGATGAAAAATAAATTCATGATATACAGTTTGATGAGAATGAGCAAAGTAACTATCATCAATGGAAATATACCCTGCTGTGACTACTCCAGGGGTCAATTTTGTAAAACCAACTCAATTTTAAAGTGTGTATCCAAGAATTCTACCTTTAAAACTTTATCCTACAGAATGTACACAAAATATAAATGCTTGAGGATAGTCACTGTGGTACTGCTTGTAACAGCTACTGGCTAACAAACAATATGGTTTTTGCTGAGAAATCAGAACACTTTCGAGCTAGAAATGCCCTGAGTTATCAATCTGATCTGATCCCACTGTTCATGGAGAAGTAAAAATTTCCCCCCAAAGTAAAATTATTTCCCTCAGATCATAATGCTGGTGAATAAGTTTGGACTGTGGGGCATACACACCCAATATAAACTGGTCCTTGGACAGGCTGACTCTCATCACAAATCTAAAAGAACTGAATAGAAAGGCTAAGGAAGAAACTCCGAAGAGTTTTCTATCTTCCCTTCTTGAAGCAGGTTTCATAGCATTGTTCACCTATTTTGTTTTAAGAAATATAGAATTTCCAGAGTATATTCAAATGCATATAAAAAGGCCGGGAAGGAGGTACTCCCAAGTCGAATACAAATAGTTTTTGAGATTATAACCTGTCAAGTACGCATCTGCACAAAACACTCTTCTCTCAAGAGTCATACAGTAAGAGTCAGATGGGCTTATCACTTCAAAGGATAAAATGTGAATAATACAAGCTTTACTCCTCTCAAATGCATTACCTTACTAAGTTCTGTTTTTTTCTTTTTAGACATGAAGGTAAGGTTAGAGTTTGATTACAGTGGGGTTGCACACACATAATGACAAGAGCAACTCAACACCAGGCGTAGCAGTAGGAAAAGGCTAACCCAAGCAATTTGGATAAAGAGAACGAAAGACTTCATATGTAAATAAATGTTATGCTTTCATTTTTACAAATTTAAAAGTTAAGGGCTCTCAGGGTGCCCTGGTGGCTCAGTTAAGCATCTGCCTTCTGCTCAGGTCATGATCCCAAGGTCCTGGGATCAAGCCCCATGTCGCTGTTTCTCCTTCTCCCTTTGTTCCCCACCCCCTGCCCCCAACTTGGGTTCTCTCTCTTGCACACTGTGCTCTCTCATATAAATAAAAAAATCTTTAAAAAGGGGGAAAAAAAAAGCTAAGGGCTCTCTACAAAGAAATTCAATGTACATTACCTATCTGTTAAGAAGGCACAAATGAGATTCTTCGCATGTTTAGAAATTTCTGCGTCTTCAGGGAAACATAGTGAGTTTTTATGATCCATAATTTTGCTGTATGTTCCTACAAGTGAATCTGCATAAAACGGAGTATCCCCTAAAATTCCAAGAAAGAAGACACTGAGTGTAACTAACAGAGAACGAAAATTAAACACTTTCCATCTATTATTTAAACACGTTAAGTTTAAATTTGTCACATGCGTGACAGAACAAGTGACCTATGGGTGAGGAGACTCAGTCGAAACACACCAGCACATACCAAGGATGTATTTAAATTTTAACCACACCAATGTACCATCAACTCTTAAAAGCAAAATAAAATCAATGCTAACTATAGAATTTTTTACCGTTTTTACAATGGAGAAGATTACTTAGTAGGGCCAGATAGATGAGAATCTTCTAATGTTTGAGCTGGATCAGTCCTTCTTGAGATTACTCTCTAGAGCTATGCTGTACAATAGAGTAGCCACTGCCAACATTTAAGTTAAATTTAAAGTTGAATTAAAATTTAAAGTTTAATTAGTTAAAATGAAATAAGATAAAAATTTCAGTTCCCTAGTCACACTAACCACATTTTAAGAGCTCAGTGTGGCCCGGGCTTACCACACTGGAATGCAAACATAAACCATTTTCAACATGACAAACTGGACAGAGTCAGACCAACCCTATTATTTCATATGAGATTTGCCTAAGATGACACATAGCTAGAATTCATAATGGCAGAAATGGTCTCCCAATGCAGTGCTCCTCCAGACTACTGGCTACGCTAAAGAGGCACGGGAGTGTAAAGACAGAAAAGCTGAAGGCACCATTTTGGCCAGTACTCATCTAACACCACAAGAATTAAGGGCCCTGCCAGTACGACTCAACTGTAAGTCACCTTAGCAGAAACCAGACTTCCCCAAATCAGACAATCCAAAATTTCAAAAGGGGTATTCAGGCAATTTTTGTTTTTCAAAGAGGGCAAAAGGGTGCTTTGAATTCAAGATTTTTCTAGCACCATTTTTAATTACAGTAGAGTTCCTTGAATGAAGTCCCATGCTAACCAACCGAGGCAAGCACCAGAGTAAGCTCAGAATATTGTAAATCAGTGTCATTCAAAGTCATTAAATTCAATTCAAGAGTTGGAAACAGTAGCAGGTATTTAAATGGTCCCTTCAAAGGAGCTATGTGACTTTCTCCAAATTATTTTCTAAATCCCTAGGAGAGTCTAGGTAAATGGTAGAATAATTCTACTTTAAAAAGATTACAAGAACACCTAATGCATCATCAGATTGGGCCAAAGGTGGGGAGAATGAACAGCTACCTGGGAACATATCCTGCATGTAAAGAGATGCATTACCAAAAAAAAAAAAAAAAAAGGCCCCAAAAAACATAGGTCATACTATGACATGAGTTTAAAGCACAGCAAGATCAATACCATATACACAAAATAGTCATCAAGAGAAGAAGGCAATTTACGCAACAAAAACATTCCATGATGAAATATTATTTAAATTTGAGATTTGCCAAAATGTTCTGATTTTTTTAAGCAATAATCAAAATAATCATACAAATTTTCTACTACCACTTTTTTTTAGGGTTATCCTCTAGAAAATAAATTATCCAATTTCTAAAGATATACTTTCAACTTTAAAGTTGTTTCATATAATGTTATTAGCCTTAAAATAGATTAGCCCCAGAAAATAGAATAGCCCCAGAAAATAGATTCGCTGTATCCTCAAGCCAGATGATTCAGTTATTGGCTTCCTTAGCCGGAAGATATTTTTGTGACCCCAGTACTTAGGAATAGGGAATCTTAAGAATGAAATCTATGATATAAAGAAAAGTTTTGAAATCCCTGGGACTTCCAAATTTTGATTTGGTCAAAGTGAAAGAAATTATTAAATTTGCCTGAGATTTCTGAGAATGAAATATTATTATAAAATATTTTTATCTATAATCAGTCAATAACTATTTATAATTTATTTTACTAGAATTAAAACCATATGTAAATACAAGTAACAAACACAGTTGACAAATCAATTACATAACTATGTAAACAAAATTGGAACAAATATTAACAGCCTTATACTTAAAATATTTACAACAGATACTTTAATCAAGAAAATCTTAGACTAGAAGCCCACTAGAGCTGTAAACTTGCTTCTTGTTCTAACATTTTTTTCATACAAAAAGGCCACTGAAGAATTATTTCCTAGCAATATACTTCTGAATCCTTTTACATTTCACTAAATCGTTGTGCCAGTACAATTTGGTTTTAATTTTCCAATTAATAATCTGTCATATCTGATACAACTAATTCAAAGTTTTTAAAAATCCTATTTCTTCCACAGGACACAATTTCCTTATATTCCCAAATTCTTGACTTAAAACTAGTGGTAGGAGATGGGTTTTGAAAAAAAGACAAAATATCTACTCACCCACCAGCATCTCAAAAAGGAAAACACCCACAGACCACCAATCACATTCTCGCCCATAGTAACCATCACCCCCTTGTGATTTGAGAACCTCAGGTGAAATATAATCAGGTGTTCCAACTGCTGTATCACAATGCACCATGCCTGTCTGGTAAAGAGAGAGAAAAACAGCTGCATGTAAAAACATACACACATAAATACAACTATTCCATTTATTACTATATATATGTAGTGACTACAAATTGCTACCAACAGAACTTCATTGCTGATACAGCTTTGGAAGGAGAGGAGATAAATGTATTATGAAATGCCTAAAAGCGTCCAGATTACAGGAAATCAAGAATGACTTTTCCACTCTAAAATACAGGAGGCTTCATCAATGGAAGAAGGAAAAAGTGGTAAACTCTAAGGGAATCCCAAGCAAATCAACATCTTTTGTTTCTCTTTCTTACACTACTAAGTAGTTACAAGGGAAGTACAAAACGTGATCTTAAGGCAGTGACCTGGGGAAAAGAATTAGAGAGAAAGGAAACTTTGGTGTTTTCAAAAGAAACTGCAGTAATTAAGATTACAAAGAGCCTAGTTTGGAGCTGGATAAAGAAACAGTTCTTATCATATTAAGAAAAAAATGGAGGAAATAGATAAAATGTTTAAGTTAAAAGATCTTAACAGCTTGAAAGCTATATACCACCAAACTGTGTATTTAGAAATATGGAATTGTGGCATCAAGATATTTGGCAAAATGATAAAAAACACTTTTATCTGTATTTAGTTTTAATGGGTAATATGACAATCCCTAATGTCTTTTTGACAAGAACCATTGTAAATATATGCATCCATGTGCATCTTATAGCGTGTGTGTGTGTGTGCTGTAAAATGAAATCACTCTAGTACTATAATGCTAAATACTATTCGTTCACCTCCAGCTCTGTGCAAACTTGCTAAGTTTATAGACTAATTTAAATGCCCTCCATTTCCCTTACCTCCCCAGTAAAGAGTATGTCATTCACATTCCTCATAAGGAAGCTAATATAAATTCCCAAAATACAAGTGTTATGAACACCTTGGGAAAAGGAAGTTCCATGTATTTTGTAAATATGACTTATGTAAATGTATTTAAGTGCAATAAAAATATATGTTAATCATGGGAAATTAATTCTGAAAACAATCTTTTCATTCTTCAAATTAGCAAAAATAATGCAATGATTTTACTTTCCTATGTATATAGCAAATAGAGAATAGAAGTCATTTTAGTTTGAATGTAAATTAATAAAAGTCCTGAAAATAATTGAGCAAATTAGGAGGGCAATAATTTGTATGGATTGTACTCAGAATAAAAGATGAAAAACAACAGTGCCTAACTTTAAGAGGCAGGGTTGGACTGTCCTATACTTCTGTTAGAGGAAACATTAAGATACTTGTTTGGGTAAATAAAACTCCTTTCAAATATATCTACCGAAACTAGACTTTAAAAAATGAATCCTGTGAGACTCAAGAACTAAAACCTAACTGGACACACACACCAAAAAATGCCATTGGAGGAAAAATTATTTAGCATTCAAAGGTTTAGAGAAAGGAGAGGAAAGGGTAAGATAAAAAAAATAACTGGCATAAAGTTAGGCGGTAAAGGGTGGGACATGTTAGGCTTTACGAGAGAGAGGTAATGACAGCTTAGAAAGAAACAAGAGAAAAATAAAGGAACTAGAATGACTTTTTATAAAGCATATTCAGGAAATGCAGTGAAGAGGTGCCTGGGTGGCTCAGCTGGTTAAGCCAATTACTCTTGATTTTGGCTCAGGTCATGGTCTCCGGTTCATGAGATCAAGCCCTGTGTGGGTTCCACACTCAGTACGGAGTCTGCTTGGGATTCTCTCTCTCTGCCCCTCCCCCTGCTCATGTTGTTTCCCTCCAAATAAATAAATAAAATCTTAAAGAAAAGAAAAGAAGTAAAGTCCAAATCAGCTAAAAGTGAAGTTTCACAATGAAGAAGGTGGGAAAGGTAAGATGGAGATCAGTTTGAACAACCACTTGCAAAATAAATACTTTGGCAGGACTAAAGAATTTTTAGTAGGGAAACTACGTAAAGAGCACTCTGCTTTTGGGAAAATAAATATTCCAACCACAATTTTTGACTAGCGTACTGGAGGATAAGTTTTTTTAAATAAACATTTGTAAAAGACATTTTAAAACTGTCTCATGGATGGGCACCTGGGTGGCTCAGTAGGTGAGGCCTCCACCTTCAGCTCGGGTCAAGATCCCAGGATGTGGGATCGAGCCCCGCATCAGGCTCTCTGCTCAGCAGGGAGCCTGTTTCCTCCTCTCTCTGCCTTCCTCTCTGTCTACTTGTGATCTCTGTCTGTGATCTCTATCGCTATCTCTATCTATCAAATAAATAAAGTCTTTTTAAAAAAAAAAAAACTGTCTCATGGAGAAGTTCTCAAATTATATGAAACAGAATCCACATTTATGACAAGTCTCTTCTACTATCCTAAAGAAATACAGTTGAGTGATGGACAATGGGGAGGGCAGGTGCTATGGTGAGTGCTGTGAAATGTGTAAGCCTGACGATTCACAGACCTGTACCCCTGGGGCAAATAATATATTATATGTTAATAAAAATAATTAATTTAAAAAAAAAAGAAATACAGAAAGGATAAACCAGAAAATAAAACCTGGTTTACCAATGGTGGGTGTGGGTGGGAAAAGGGTGGAGAGAAGTGGGAGTATGGGAATGGGGCAGTAGGAATAAGGAGGATAAGATCCTTCTCTAAGCATATAATTTGTAGTTTTAACTCCTAAAGCCAGAGGAATGTTTCATACATCATAAAGACTATGAATAAGCAATTAAAATCAACTAGGATGTGTGTGTGTGTGGGGGGGGAATACTCAAATGGAATACAAACAGTAAAAACTGAAGCTGTTTTATAAATTAATAACATAACCACACCAAATGGGGTAGGGATGAAAAAACCTAACCTAAGTAACTTTGTATATGTGCTGCCGAAGTGAGCACAAACCTAAGTAACTTCGGAAAACAGTATCTGTAACAGATACTATAAGGCTAAACACAAAAGGAACTGCACAAAAATAACATATTCTAATTAGTAAATCTGTCATAGGGTAGGAATTAGTAATTAATTCTGAAATAATTTTATGTGTCTTCTAGAGTTGAACAAGTAAATAAACTGTAGACAATGACAGCCAGGTTTATTTTTTTTAAGATTTTATTTATTTATCTGACAGAGAGAGAGCACACAAGCAGGGGCAGGGGCAGGGGGAAAGGGAGAGGGAGAAGCAGACTCCCTGCTGAGCCGGGAACCCGATACAGACCTCCATCCCAGGACCCTGGGATCAAGACCTGAGCTGAACGCAGACCCTTAACCAACTGAGCCACCCAGGTGCTCCAAAAGAGCCAGGTTTCTCAGTGACTAAAATAGAAATTACCAAAAAAAAAGGTGGAAGATTACAATAAGCCCTGTGGTGTAGGACAAGAATCAGTATCAGTATGAACTCAGGATTTTAGTAGCCTAGATATAGAGAGATAAATATAGAATTAAATATGAACATGTGTGCGCATATAGATTAGCACATATAGTATATTCAGTATACATGTGTCTGGTGACAAGGCCTAGAAATAACGGCACTCGAGGAGCAATAAGCATATCTAGTGCCCAAATACTGATCTCTAAATACCATTCTTGAATAAAAGAAACCTGAGCTTCCTGGAAAAGTGTCTCATTCCATAGCTACGACGGAGAATATACAAGTCCTTCAACAACTTACAGTGCCAAAAAATAAGAGAAATGCTCCATAAGGGGGGCATGGCCAAGGACATAGGAGCCAACCCAAGGAGCCAAGATAAGCAAACTGTGGACTGAGCTTCAAGGTATGAGTAGGAATCTGCCAAGTAAACTGTATCCAACATCGTATTTGAAGGCCAGGAATCATGAAATCATTGATTTTATGGCACTGAAACAACTACATGTAATTTAAGACCAGTGAACTATAAGGCACAAAAGGTCAAATGATAGAGAATGAGGGTAAAACGTGGAAGGGATCACACCATCAAGAAGCTTCATACAGACAAGCTAAGAAGTTTGAACTTGACTCAGTAGATGACAGGAATCTACAGAAGGGTTTTAAGCAGGACAGCAACATAAACAGGTATGCATTTTCAAAAGCTTCCTCATGAGTAATTTAAATGGGTAAGATTAAATGCTTATTTGCTAAAATATATCTGGTATTTATATTAGATATTATAATATCATAAGTGGAAAAGTTTACGGAAAACACAAAATTGGTCAGTCATAAATCCTGAGGTTGGCCAAGGAAACTATTCTAAGCGGTTCCTGTGAAAGTGGAAAAAATTGCAAATGGAATTCTTAATTATCAGAAAAGCATTAAGAGCCTCGGCTTGACTACTACACAGGCAGGAGCCAACTCAGTCCATTTTAATGATTAAAAATGGTGCATAAACAATGAATTTTTGGAACACTGAAAAGAAATAAAATGGAAAAAAAAATACTGGCTGGCATATAGTAGGTGCTCAATAAATACTTGTTAAATAAATGAACTGTTAAATAACTTTAAAAAAATGAGTACTTGCAGCAGGGACTCCTTTTTCAAACAGGCATATCCCTCACCTTATAAAATTCTCGGCTAGTGCAAAGTCCTGCTTCTTCTTTGTTCTATTTAAAAAATAGCCCAACTGGTTTAGAAGCCCACGTCCATTTGCATTATACAGTGCCCAACGCACAAAAGGCTGCCTGTTATTCTAGTTATCTCCTAGGGATACCAATTATTACTTTTATTAGGGCTCTGGTTACAAAGCTGCATAGCTTTTGAACAGTCTGTCCCTACTGTCCCCATAAACCTATTCTTTTCTATATATAATTTTGCAGAAAATAGGGTTTTTTCAGAAATACGAGTAGAAACACCTTCATTTTAAAAACTGATGTCACTTGTAGAAGGGTTAATAACATTAACAATTTACCAATTAGCTTTTAGAGAAGTACAGCCTCCGTGGCACCTGGGTCACTCAGTGGGTTAAGCCTCTGCCTTCAGCTCAGGTCATGATCTCAGGGTCATGGAATCGAGCCCCACATTGGGCTCTCTGCTCAGCAGGGAGGCCTGCCTTCCCCTCTCTCTCTGCCTGCCTCTCTGCCTACTTGTGATCTCTCTGTCAAATAAATTAAAAAAAAATCTTTAAAGAAGTATAGCCTCAATATAATCAAATAGTACACACTAGAATATTAAGGGATATAATTTCATATTATTTTCAGGTAACTTAAAACACTGATATAAAATGTGCCTTAAAAGGTGGTAAAGGTAGCTATAAAATGCCCAATGACAAGCAAAGAGGGAACTCCATTTACCTAACTAAGCAAGCAATTTTAAATAGCAGCACTACGGGACACCTGGGTGGCTCAGCCCGTTAAGCATCTGCCTTCAGCTCAGGTCATGATCCCGGGGTCCTGAGATGGAGCCCCGCATGGGGCTCCCTGCTCAGAGAGAAGCCCCCTTCTCCCTCTCCCACTCCCACCTGCTTGTGTTCCCTCTCTCGCTGTGTGTCTCCCTGTCAAATAAATAAAATAAAATCTTTTAAAAATAAATAAATAGCAGTACTTCTTGGCTATCAACTGAGACACATCTAGATGTAAATATACTACACTGTGACATTCACTCACATCTATATGTTTTGTTTTGTTTTTTTTTCCAGAGAGATAAAGAGTCATAGTATCCAGGAAACTGTGTAAGCCCACAATTTATTGACAGAACTTTCTGACATATGCCAGTACTCTTAATTGCAATAGTAACAAATTATTTTAGTCTTTCTGGTTATAATATTTAGTCGTGTTTTATTTTCGCATTTATCCATAGCCAGGAGAGCTAAAAAATAATTTGAGGATTTCTGTCTATATTATAGATAAAGGGTTGACAAAAGTTTTCTATAAAAGGCCAATAAATATTTTAGTAATACTTAGTAAATATTTTAGGATTCGTGGGCACATAGGATCTCTACCTCACATCTTTTTTTTTTTTAACATCTTTTAAAAATGTGCAAACCATTTTTAGTACAGGAGCTGTACAAAACCAAGCCACAGGTCAAATCTGGCCTTGAACTCCAGTTTGCCAATCCCTTCCATAGACGTGCAGATGAATGAGAACAAAACTAGGAACATTTCTAATAGCTTTGAGACTATAATGATAATCAAACAGAGGCCAATAAAGTGATGAACCTAAAACGTGCAGCAGCACCATTTACATTAACAGCTAACATAACAAAATTATAAATTCTATGTACTATAGATTTTCATAAAAAAAATCCCTTGTTCTTCAACCTATACGGCTGTTCTCATCATTAGTATTAGTTGAGGAATGGAGTTCTGGGGTAAAACAAACATTTTTAAACTTCAGTATTTAAAGAATATATATTTCACTACATCAAAATTAAGAACTCCTATTCAAACAGAAACAAATGCGTAGCTGACTGGAAGATGATATGAGCAATATCTGTGGAATCACTATTGAGATTATATAAGGAAATCCGGAACATCAACAAGAAGTTGATTTTAAAAAGGTTAAAAGATACACAAGTAATTTATGACATAAATGACTCACAATTACATGAAGAAAAGTTTGGCATCATTAATTATAAAATAAATACCATTTTTAAAAAATACCACCTTACACCAACAGAACTGATAAGATTTAGACAAGTAATAGGAAGGTGGAGTAATAACATAGAGAGACACAAACTCAAATGCACTACTAGCAAGAGGTTATAACATTTACAGCCATTCTGGCGGTCAGGTAATACTTTATTTATGTATCCTCTGAGTCAGCAGCCCCACTTCTTCTAAGTGTATATTTAGAGGAAACCCTTGTCAGAATACACATGGGACATGTCTGAAGATGTTCAACATCAATGTTTAGGTTCAACATAGTACCGCTGGTAGCAGGGAGCTGATGTGGCCTAGGAATCTAACACAAGGGGGAATAAGTACAATCAAATAGATAGATAACATGGAAAATTAAGAAGGACTGAGCTAATTTACATATATCAGATATAGATATAAAATATCAGATAGATATAAAACAAGATTGAGTGAAAAAAGTAAAAAAAAAAAGACATCCATATCATATTATTTATACACATGTACACTATATTAATAGTCTGCAAGAGCTTATAGTAAACACATGACAGTGGCTGTTTATTAGGGACAAAGAGAATAAGACTGAAACGGAAAGGGGGAAGACATCATAAAATAAAAACCAGATGAAGCTTTTCTGTTGACTCCTAATGACAATAAGTGATGAACCAAGGAGTATAATTAGCTCAGCTAAATGTACCTGAATTAAGAAATAGTAAATAAAATTACATAAGCCACATTTTATTTTGTCTTTTAAAGAGACAATGTAAGATATTTAAGTCACTTAATTTAGTATTTACTTACATGCTTGCAAAATTATTCTATAAAAACCATATTCTGTCCTGTTCCTCACACTCTATACCCCTTCTTCCTTAACCATCATTACCTACCCTAAAAACATATGGTATGACTTATTTCTCTAAATCCTCCCAAAAGTTTTTGGTTTAATTAAAATCAGAATACAACCATGGAAGCACAGTACAAAAACATCACTCATTGTGTAAAACAGACATACAAAAATTTAGCATTCTATTAGAAAATTATATTATACTTTATTTTCACTAAAGATAATTTTTAATATTAACCATTTTATACTGTATTATGATAAACACCACAAGAGGGAGCTTTGGGGACAAATGCTCCATCTACTAAAAATTAATGTATACGAAACATGGACACAGTGACTACATAACCAATGAAGAAGACCAAAGAAGAAAGGAATGTTACGTTTTAGTTGAGTAGCCAAGGCATACAAACCTATATATATGAAAAGGTCCTATGAAATACAGCACAAATTCTAAATAAGAACATTAGAAAAGTGATCAGTCAGATTAGGATTATCAGGAAGAACTCTGTAAATGAGGTAAAATCTGAGGTGAACTTAGAAGAATACAGAATGCTGATGAAGACATATAAAAAGATGAAGACTAAAAAAGTGAATGTCACATAGATGGCATAAGAGGTTAAGAGAAAAGAAAATCAGCTTAATTAAAAATAAACATCTTGATAAGATATTTTTGTTAAGAAATATGATTAGCTATATAAGCATACTGGAAGGTTATAAAAACCATACAAAAGATAATATCTAGTTTGCTGTCAACATGCACTAACATTTAAGAAGTCTGATATATGTAGCTCACCCCTTAGATCCAACAGAGAAATACAAATACAAAGCAAACAAACAAACAAACAAACAAAAAAAAACAAACCATGATTCCTCCCCATTAGGAACTACTGCAAGGAATTATATATATAGTATACTTTCAGAGAAAAAGAGAAGAGATATAAATTTTGCAACATAATAAATCAACATCATAATTAGCTATGAGGTTAAAACTACTGAACCTATTAATTATAATGTGAATTGTTCTACAGGTAAAGTACACAACATATGATGTCCCTAAATGTATTCCATATGGTTGATGCAGACAGGGTTGGTAGGAGACAGTAACGTAAACTTCTTAGGTTTGTTTTTTTTTTTTTTTAAAGGAAAAATACAGAAATAATAATGGTGATGGAAATACCCATGTACCTTAATTTGTATTTGTGTTCTATTCTTCGCCTGGATCATTTCGCACATGAACTAGTTTTAAATGATAGCAATTGCTTGTCACCATTCTATGGGGTGATACCCAGGTTTTCTGTATTCTTATTTCTCTTGTATTTACCAAATCTTGTACTATATAAATAAATAATAAAGCGCTCTGTAGCTAGGTGATCAGTTAAAAAAAAGTTTTATTTTGTTTAAGTCATTACATAGTAAAACTAAATTTGTATTTGTTTAAAACTACAAAGATCTGAAGCTTCTTTCATTTTTGTTTTTAAAAAACTAGCACTTTTTTTACTTGCTTATTACTTACTTCATCCATCTTCATACATGTGCCAAAATCCGCCAACTTTAGATGTCCATGTTTATCCAAGAGCATGTTGTCAGGCTTTACATCTCTGTGAATTAAGCCCATGGAGTGTATGGCATCAAGAGCAAGAACAACTTCAGCAGTATAAAATTTGGCCCATTTTTCAGGTACATCATAGTTACTCATAAGGTTTACAAGATCTCCACCAGGCATGTATTCCATTACCATGTACAGATACTTATCATCTTGAAAAGCACAAAAGAGCTGTAAAACAAAATGAGAAAGGAAAAAAAAAATTTTTAAGAAAAAACAAAAACAAAAACAAAAAACAAAAAGCATAAATGAAACAAAACCCAAAAATTTATTACTACTGAAAAAGACAAATTATTTTCCAACCAAAAGAGTTGAATTTTATGAAACCTTTGATTTTTAGATGCGGATATTCCTAATGGAAAAACAGGTATCAGACAAAACTTTTTATATAGTTAACTTCTTTATGCTGAAAAACATATCTAAATGAATAATTTTCCCTCCTAGAGAATACAAGAATTTATTTAAACAAAGATATTTTAAAAGAGAAACTGAATGAGGGACATAAAAGATGAAAAGAATGACAAAAGAATTCATAATTTTTAAAAAACAGCTTTCTGAAAACAAAACAAGCTACTGTACATAATTCACAAAAATGAAAGCTGAGGAGGTAGGCGCAGCTCAGAAAAACCTAAAAGATCCCACATTCAATAGATGTAAGAAGAGGGAGTAAGCACCACACCACCGGAAAGGTGGAAAGGAGTGAGCTCCGGGTAGCCACACTTAGTATAGGGCTTTCTCTCTCCTATTCCCTATCATCTTGCTCATTAGCAGCAAGTGGCTGCCAGACTAGAACAGTGGCACTGGGACCAGAGAAATCACACCAAGCGAGGGCTGCTACTGACTCCCCAGAGGCATGGGAACCACAAATTCAGAAGAAAAGTTATTTGTACATTCCACCCAACATGTCCCAACGCACACCCAGAAGCAAGCAATGCAAACAGAAAAGGTTTCCACAAACAGGGAAAACATAGAACAAAACCAAGAACTCATACTCAAAATAAATAAAAAGAATTCCTACAAATCAATTCCTTTAAAAGAAGAGACAACCTAATAGGAAAATGAAAAAGAAGTAAGCAGGCATTTCACAAAAGAAGATACTCAAAGATGAAAAGGTATGAAATCTTATTAGAGAAAGATGAATTTAAACCACTGTGAGACACCACCTTGCATGCACAAAAATGACCAAAAATGATAAAAAATTTTAAAACTAATAATACCATGTGCTAGCAAGGACAAAGGAAACTTATAAACTAGACTTCTGTAACCACACTGAAAAACAAGCTGTTCCCACCCACTGGGATCGCTTGTAAGGACTCAAAAATGCTACTCCTAGGAATAAACCCAACAGAACAAAAAACATTCACACCACTTGTAACAAATAAAATTTTGAAATAACACCAACAAATAGTGGTATATACATACAGTGGAATAAGACAGCAATAAAACTAATGAACTGTAGCAATGTAGGTAACTCATGTCAACATAACACTGAACAAAAAAGCTAGATACAAAAGAAAAGCTATTCAGTGGTATCACTTATATAAAGTTCAATAAATAGGGAAACTATAGTTCCTGAGTGCTTGTTTAGGTGGCACACTAGAAAGAAAAGCAAGAAACTGATGACTAATAAAGTCAGAGGAGTGGTTATTTTGGGAGGAACACAGGGAGGTAGTGATTGGGAAAGAGCACAAGAGAACTTCTGGAGTCTAGCAATGTTTATTTTTTGAGCTGGGTTGTGAATAGATGGGTGTATGCTTTGGGATACATCTTTTTGCTGCTTGTTTTATGTATTTCTTTGTGTATGTCACGAATAAAATCATTTTTTATAAAAAAGCATGATAAAATTAATGCAGATAACTTCAAATGCATTTGTAGGTATCCCTCCTTCTTTCACTATCCAATATTCAAGCAGATATGTGCATTGGAAAATAAAGACTGACAATAAAAATTAGGCAGATAAAGAAACTAGAAAAGAACAATATAAACCCAAAGAAAACAGGAGCTAGGGAATTTTTTTAAAAGCAGAAAATAACTAAAAAGAAAAGGGGTGCCTGGGTGGCTCAGTGGGTTGAAGCCTCTGCCTTCAGCTCAGGTCATGATCCCAGGGTCCTGGGATCGAGCCCCGCATCAGGCTCTCTGCTCAGCAGGGAGCCTGGTTCCCTTCCTCTCTCTGCCTGCCTCTCTGCCTACTCGTGATCTCTGTCTGTCAAATAAATAAATAAAATCTTAAAAAAAAAAAAAGAAAAAAAAAAGTTATTTTTAAACAAAAAAAAAAAAGTTAACTAAAAAATGTACATATACGCCAGTCAATAGAAAACTAAAAGAAAAGACAGATACAGTCGCAGAAAATATAAACTGACTCAAGAGAGAAATAAAAACCTGAATTAGTAAAAAATCGCCTGAGGAAAAAAAAAGGTTGACAGAAGATCTAATTGGGAAGGAGGAATGGAAGGCTTGAGTACAGAAAAAAACATATATGTAAGTTTTAGGACAGCAGATATCTCTCAGAAGGAGAAAAAGGAGAAAAAAGACTGGGTAGGAGAACAAAAAGTATTTCAAGAATTCTTGCAATGTTTTCAAAATTAAAAGCTAAAAAATTAACGATGGAAAAATGTTAAAATTTGCTAAATGTTTGTAAGACTGAAACCAAAGAGCGTTTCCAGATGGCTTATTTATTAGGCACACAAGAAGAGCCATTCACCAATGGTGAATTAATTAAGTTGTGTTTGATTGCATCAGCCGAAGAAATGCGTCTAGATAAAATCAACGCAAGACTCAGTCTTTCAACGACAGCTGCTCAAAGAGTCGAGGACACTGGTGGCAGTATCAGTAGTCAATTTAAAAACAAGGCAAATGATTTCGGGTGGTTTTCCTCGGCTCTTAATGAGTCCACAGATGTTACTGATATTATGCAGTCATTAGCAGTTATTAGAAGAGTAAGTGCCAAGTTTGAGTGAAAAAACAAGCCTCTATAAACAGTCTGTATAGATGAACTACAGAAAAAAATATTTCCAAAGAAGTTGAGAAAACACTAGGTCAGTACAACCTGAAGTAGAATCCGGTAAGGTGTGTTAACAAAAGATAGTGGTAAAAATATATGTGGAGCAGAAAAAGGCTTTATTGGACAAATTTACAAAGCTTGTAAAAATGTGTGATACTGAAAATCTGTAGTTATTCTCTGTAATACTTATCAGTAAGTACTCTGGAAAACATGTGAATCCTTCGTATAATAAATAAATTAGTATAAACGGATGTTATTTGCTCTTTTGGACTTAACCATCATCACCTGTTCTGTGAATTTTTGTCAGAAAAAAATGCTGAATATTCTCATGCAACCATACAGCAGTTCAATGGCTTAGCACTGGTAAAATTTTATTGCAATTATCTGAGCTTAGAGCCGAGACTAAAATTTGTCTGGTCAAGACCATCCTCAACTACTATCATGGAATACTGACTAGCTTTCTAAATTAGCTCTAGCTACAGACTTTATAATGTTCTTAATTAATACAACCTAAAATGATAAGGTAAAATAGTGCTTATGTGCAAGACTTTAACTTTGCTGAAAGATTTTATTTATTTTAGAGAGAGCTCACACAAGAGAGCATGCACAGGGGAAGGGGCAGAGGGAGAGGGAAAGAGAAGCCCAAGCAGACTCCCTACTGAGCCTGGAGCCAGAGGTGGGGCTCGATCTCACCATCCTGAGATCATGACTCCAGCCAAAATCTACAGTCAGATGCTTAACTGATTGAGCCACCGAGGTGCCCCACAAAACTTAAGCTTTTAATGACAACTAACATCAAGCTACTTTTTATGCTTCCCTTGCTATTAAAATCAAAACAAGAAGTGGGATCTCCCTCCTACACAAATTGGCAATGGATGTATTTTCTGAGCTCAAATGACAGTTCCCACAGTTCCAACAGCATTTTTGGACCTGAATATAAGTGTAAAGCAAATATCCATATTTCAAAATCCAATTAAACTCTGCAGCTGAGGGGGGACCTGGGTGGATCAGTCAGTTAAGTGCCTGCCTTCAGCTCAGGACATGATCCCAGGGTCCTGAGATCGAGTCCCACATCAGGCTCCCTGCTCAGCAGAGAGCCTGCTTCTCTTTCTCCCTCCGCTGCTCCCCCTGCTTTGCTCTCTGGTTCTCAAACAAATGAATAAGATCTTTTAAATAAATAAACAAACTCTGCAATTGAGAAGCTTCTGCCTAACCTTCAGTTGGAAGTGACAAACCTGCAATGGAATGACTTTGCTAAAAGGTAAATATCCAGACAAGAATTTAACGTCAGCATTTGTCTTCCAAATGCTAAATAGGCTCAATCAGAATCATATGCTCAAGGTCAACATCAATAGTTCTAAATAAAGTACTGGTATACACCCTTGATACATGATGAAAATGGCACCTTCCCTCTATAGTCTTTCTCTAAAAACTCATAACCCTAGTCTAAACAATGAGAAAAACATCAAATTCTAATATAAGACTATACACATCATACAATATAACTGACAAGTAATACTTAAAGCTTTAACGGTCATCAAAAACAAGGAAAAAAGTCTGAGAAACTGCCACAGCCAAGAAGAGGCTAAGAAGATATAATTAAATATAACATACTATCCTAGATGGAATCCTACAACAGAAAAAAAGCATTAGGTTAAAAACCAAGAAAATCTGAATAAATTATGGACTTTAGTTAATATAATATATCAATACTGGATCATTCATTATAACAAATGTCCCTTACTAAAGTATGATGTTAATAGAGGAAATTGTCCCGGGTTGAGGGGAGGATATAGGAGGTCTCTACTATCTGCTCAATTTTTCTATAAATGTAAAACTGTTTAATAATAAAGTCTATTAATAAAAAATAAATCATATGCCAGTGGATAATAGTATTTGGCAGTACCTAACCTATTTGAAAAGATATTTTCTAATAAGATGAATATGTCAGAAAATCTTATTACACATTAATATTAACAGAACATCTACAATTTTGATAGGAAACATTGATTGTGAACCTCAATTAAACAAAACGTTACTACCCCAGAAAACAAGTTCATTCTTCTCCTTAACAGAGTGGTATTTTTAAAAATTGTACTTTTTATCACATTTTGAATTGCCTCAATAAGAAATCTGTAGAAATTTGTTTTCTCATTATATAAGTTATCAACATTCTATCTATCTCTTGGGCCACAAAACCTAAAGTAGGTACTATCTGCTCCTTTACAAAAGAAGTTTGCCAATTTCTGGTGGGACTGAAGTAAGATTGGCCATGGCTGGTAATTGTTGAAGCTGACTGAACAGTACATGGGGATTCAAAGCACCTTCTTTCTACTTTGGGATGTTTAGAATCTATCATAATAAATATTAGTGGTAAAAAAATTATCATTAAATATATTGAAAACTTTTCCCTGAAAGGTATGCAAGCAAGTTCAATCCATTCTCAAGGAATGAATAGCTTCTATTTTATATAAACTGTACCAAAGCTCAGAAAAAAGTGTTGTGCTTCCCAACTATGTTTATTAGGGTAGTCTCATCAGAATATGAAAACCAACCCAAAAAAGCCCATGTTAAAAAAAAACTGAATTAAAGCAAAGGTCAAATGTCACACAAACAGATGGACAATTACTTAAAATATTGGTAAATCAAATTCAATACTCTATAAAGAATATAAAATTATAGCAAATAGCATTTACTTTTTATTTTATACTACCTTGAAATTTATTTTTTTAGTGTGCTATAATAACAGATTAAACAAGAAAACCATCATAAAAGCAGCTCAAGAACACATTTCAAATACTTCAACATTATTCCTGATTAAAAAATACTTGGGAAGCTAAACACGAATAGATAGGCCTTCACTGTCTTAATCAGAAAACTGCAGCAAATATCAGATTTAATCATTAAATACTAGAGGACTACCCAATTAAGTTTAACATAATAAAAAAGATAAGGATAAAAAACTTCTACTAACTCAACACTGTACTGAAAAGACTGAACCAATGCTGGTTCTTTTGGGTTTTGTAACATCTACATATTCAAACACTAGTTTTCTTATGCACAAGTTTCTTCCGAACATATCTGATGAGAAAAAGTAACATGACTTTACTGAAAATCAAGCTCTATACACGGATATATACTATATTGTTATGAAAGGACTTCATATTTCAAAATAATCAAAACAACCCCAAAAATCTACGAATTAAAGCAATGCAAGAAAAGATTTTAAACGTATTTTTTAACAGAATGAAAGGCTAATTCTAACTTCACAGAAAAAATGTTAAGAATTTCCACAAAAATACTATAAAAGGAGAACAATGAGAAGATTTGCCCTTCAAAATACATGAAAAACTACAGAAATTAAAACAACATGATTTTTTAGTGCTTAACAAATCAAAGTAATAGAACAGAGTCAAAAGAAATTCACATATATAGGGTAATTTAGTCTATGATATAAAGGGACATTTCATTTACTTCATGGGAAAAAGATGGGCTTTTCTACGAATGGCCCTGGGAAAAGTGGCTGCTCATTTGGGAAAAACAAATCTTACTTCATATAAAAAAATAAATTCCTGGTGACTCTGAAAGAGACTCCTGCCCCTCCCAAAATTAAAATATAAAAAAGCTAAAGTATAAGAGAATATTTTCATTATATTGGGCTGGGGAAACCAGGAAGAATCAAAATATAGAATACATAGATTTGATTACATCTATTTTTAAAAACTCAATAAGCAACAGACAAGTAACAGTTCAAGAGAATATATTTCCAACAGATATAACACAGAATATATTTCCAACATATGTATATTCATGTACAGGATCTATCAGCATGCAAATAAATCAATTTTTAAAAAGTAAAACAACACACAGAAAAGTGGGATACAAATTACTAATAAACATATGAAATATCCTGAACCTCATCATTAACCAAAGAAATGTACTTTAGCACAATAACATCTTTTCTTCTTGAAGATGCAACTAATAAAAATTTTAAATAACTACAATATCCAGTATTGGCTAAAATGTAGTGATACAAAAATATTAAATAATTAGAGTAATATAAACTTGTAAAAACATTTTTTTTTATAAAGCGATCTGGCACTATCTATTGAAATGTCAAATGTGCACACCATATGACCTAGCAAACCCAATGCTAGGAATCTATTACAAGGAAGTATTCACATGTGTAAAAAGGATGGACCTATAAGCACAGTTAATGTACAAGATTGGTCGGGAACATCCTATTGTGTCAGACAGCAAGCTATCAAAGGCTGTCACAGCTATGTCCAAAGGACTCAGGAATTAACCCAAACAGGATGTCACTTGCCAAAGGTGTCACAATGTGGTCATCAATAAGATATTCAAAGGACTAAAACACATCAAATAGGTTTTAAATCCGTGAGTTCAAACTGGTAACTCCCTCAAAACTGTTCACCTTTAGAGGATAAAAGGAAACTAATCCCTTACTTTGCAAACTGGTAAATATAAGGAAAGAATAAAGTTTTATCCTGTCACTTCCTCTGTGAATTATACTACTGGGTAACCAAATAGTAAATGGAATTATAGAATTATTCTAGTCACTATAATGAAAAAGAATGACTGGGGAGTAGATGGTGGAGGAATGACTTAACTAGAATATCACCATTTTGAAAACCTCAATAAATTAACAGAAATATAATATTACTTTTTCAATTTACAATGTTTCACTGTTGACTGGTTTCCACAGACCCATTAACTCTTTATCTCAATGAACACTTTAAAAACATCCACTTTGGGGACGCCTGGGTGGCTCAGTGGGTTAAAGCCTCTGCCTTCAGCTCAGGTCATGATCCCAGGGTCCTGGGATCGAGCCCCGCATGGGGCTCTCTGCTCAGCGGGGAGCCTGCTTCCCGCTCCCGCCCCTCTCTGCCTGCCTCTCTGCCTACTTGTGATCTCTGTCTGTCAAATAAATAAATAAAATCTTTAAAAAAAAAAAAAATCCACTTTGCCGAAATAAAGATCAAAGACACCCGTTTATGAACTGATAAACTAGAAATGGCAATGATTCTGTTGCTATGAAAGAAATTTAAAGCTAAAAGTGGAATAATTTATTACCATCATTCCTTAATTACATTATCACAATATATAATTTGCTATAAAAATTTTAGTTTTAGCTACACATATCAGAATTTCTATTCACTAGATACAATAAAAAAGGTAAATAGAGAGAAAGAGAATTGGGGCTCCACATTATTAAAAAAGTAGTAATAATGAGCTTTTAAATTACATAGCCATCCATGCAGCGTATTTTGTACCTGCAAATTGCCCTCTACAAGCAAAGTATAAAACTTATATAAATCATTAAGTAAGCATTCTGAACATGCATTGGTACATACCTAATCTCACTCATGATACTTGTTCAAAAATGTCTGCAGAATCAGGTAAAAGTATAAAAATATCTTTAGAGAAGCAAAGTTAATGAGGTATATAATTGAAAAGAAGGCAAAATACAACCACAAATTCCTTAGTTTACAGTCAAGTAAGAGGCTCAATTAGGAAGCACAATACTGTCTTATATTGTAGGTAATATATAAAGGACGAGAGGAGAAGTTTTGGTTTTTTGGAGACAGGCTGGCTGATTATTGTTCCTATTATGTAAATCATGAGAGTGTAGGCAGGGCATAATGGCATTCTGGTAACCAATCTAATTGTTCATAAAGGAATTTTTTTAAAAGTTGCAAATAATAATTGCTTTCATACACCAATTTAAGTATTACAAGTCATGTCTGTATGACATACTATTTAGGAACATTAAAGAAGCATACTGAATCTGACCTTATTAAAAAGGACTGTATCGTTACTATGTGAGTAAGATACAGGATTTTTAGCATACAAAATCATATCCTACAAATAATAAGCACTTACAATAAAAGGAAAATAAACTTATGAATGTCTGTATGCTTACCTGAACCACCCACGGACTGTTGGCAAACGCCATAATATCTCTCTCTTCCCAGAAAAAAGCAGAATCAGATCTTTTTATCATTTCAAACTTACTAAGAAGCTTCATAGCATAAACTTTCTGTGATGCCTTATGACGAACCTGTAGATTTTTTAAAACACAAAAATAATTTTGTGAAAGGTGAACAACAGATATTATAATTCTATTATTAAAGACTTCAGTTATAAAACAAAATGATCTTTAGCTAACTAATAAGAAGTTTTAAAAGCATTACATTTTTAATGGGAAAAAAGAAGAAAAAATTCCCAACAGCCTAAAAATTTCATGAAATACACAATACCTTTAAATGCTAGATTCCATGAATTCACAAAGCTTCATTCCTTAATGTTATTTAAGCTAACCAATTTTAAGAACAAGATATTGTTACATGAGAAACTTTCAAGGTATGTACATGTATCGCTATCTGAACACAACCTAATAAATTTAGATGTGAAGAGATATTTGTGATTTTGTAAGTCATCTTTATTTCTTTCAAAGTATCCTACTTAAAAGGTTTTTTTATGTTAAAAAAAAAAACTACCAACAATATGATTATTTGATCAATTCTTTTTTAAGATTTCATTTATTTATTTGTTGGAGAGAAAGAGCACGCACACGCACAAGCCACCTCCAGGCTGAACAAGGAGCCCACAGAGGACTCAACCTGAGCCAACACAGACGCCGCTGAACCAACTGAGCCACCCCGGCGTCTATGTGGTCAACTCTTATCTTTCTTATTAGACTGTAACTTCCACAAGGGCAAAAACAGTATCTTTTTTTGGCCATCGTTTTAATCCTAAATGTATGATAGCAAACGCTACCACAGAGCCAACAAATACCCAACGATTATAACTGTTAACGTTTGCTTAATAATTAATAATACTGACTGCTAGCATTTATACTTGGGTATCTAACAGGAGTTCGAAAAAAATGAACTCCAAATCTTCACCCTGAATTTATTCCTCCTACAGTCTTCCCCATTTTAGTAAATGGCTCCTTCCGGTTAGTTGCTCTGGCTAAAAATCTTTGGCTCCTCTCTTTCTCTCACACAGCTCATCAAACTCACCAGCAAATCGTTTCAGTTCTACCTCAAAAGAGTTTCAGAATCTAATCATCTCTAACTATCTCCACTGCGAACAGCCTGGTCTAAATCTTTTATGTCCATTACTTACGATAACCGAACCTGGCTTCCGTCACTCTCACCCACCCACAGTCGGGTCATCCTTCAAAAACAAACCATTTCCTGTCACTCCTGTTTTAAAACCCCAGTGGTTTCTCATTTCATCTCTGCATGTGTTACTCTCTGTGCCTGGAATCAGCCAAGCCCTCACTTCCTTCAGATCCCTACTCAGATGTTACTTTCTAGTGAGGCCTACTCTGATCAAGCTACTTCGATTTTCCAATTTACAGCCACGCTCTGCTGCCCATGCCTATTCCATTCTTTCTTTCCTGCTTTTGATCCATTGCACTTACTACCACCTTACACCTTCTTTTTTACTTTTATTTTATTAGGTCTTGCACTAGAAATTAAGCCCAATGAAGGCCAGAATTTCACTGCTTAATCCACAGTGCTTAGTAAAATGCCTGGCACATAATAAAATATATTTATATAATATATATATATCATATATTATATTAAAAAGTATTTATTTTAGCAAATAAATATTTGATAAAAGAATGAATTTACTGGAGTGCCTGGGTGGCTCAGTGGGTTAAGCCTCTGCCTTTGGCTCACGTTGTGATCTTGGGGTCCTGGGATTGAGCCCTGCATTGGGCTCTCTGCTTAGCAGGCAGCCTGTTTCCCCCCACACACAACCGCCTGCCTCTCTGCCTCCTTGTGATCTCTGTCTGTCAAATAAATAAATAAAATCTGAAAAAAAAAAAAAAAAAAAAGAATGAATTTACTGAGTGGGTGCTTACTATATACCAGGCACAGCGTATTTTCATAAATGTATTATTTGATCTTCATAACAATTCTAATGAGGTATTACTTCCTCGTGTTACAAATGAGAAATTTGAGGCACAGAGAAATTAACTTGCTGAGGGTTATACAATGAGTAGAAATCAAGATTTAAAGGTACAGTAGTCTGAGGTACCTGGGTGGCACAGCTGGTTATGTCAGACTCTTGGTTTCAGCTCAGGTCATGATCTCAGGGTCGTGAGATCGAGCCCCATGTCAGGCTCTGTGCTCGCTCAGTGCGGAGTCTATGTGAGATTCTCTCTCCCTCTCCCTTTCCCTCTGCCCTTCCCTGTGCACTTGCACACACTCTCTCTCTCACACAAACAGATAAATAAAATCCTTCTTAAAAAATTAAAATGAAGGTATGGTAGTCTGCAACCAGAACCCATGCTAGTAACCACTTATCTATGCCATTTCTACATGAGTATAGCCACAATTAGGATGATTTCCCCAGAACAGTGCCAGACTACATTGGTCAGCACAGTCTCCCAAGCAGTGACTGCTCCTTCTCACTCAGAAGTGTGTCATTATTTGTACAACAAATTACATGGTCATCCTACCGAGGGCTGGATGAAAGAAGAGGACACGAAGCTCCTGACAGAAATCCACAGGGCGCTAAATGATCTAGCCTACAGCCGCCCTCCCAATCTAAATCTCATTTTCTTTCCCTTGTTCATACTTCAACCATATTGAACACCTTCTTTTAGTCCCTCTAATAAACCTTTCCTCAAGATCTTTACAGGTATTGGGAAGGTAACCGAAAAGCCATCACAGTCTCTGACGTCACCTCCTCCCCAGCGACTAGTTCCTTCATTCAGCTGAAATAGAAACTTCTCAAAGGAGTGAGGAACTCATTGTTCTCTACCTCAGAACTCCATCTGTTTTGTTCCTAGTAGATACCATAACTTGTGATTTATGTTGTTTCCTTGTATGTGTCTATCTCCCCCATTAGAATGTAAATTCAACAAAGTTAGGGATTACCCACGCCTATTTCATTCTCCATTATATCCTCAGTGTCAAATACAATGCCAGCACTGGCAATGAAAATAGATACTAAATATGTGATGAATGAATTAGTATCTGTGAAAAAGAATTTTTTATTTGATCACTGACCAAGCTATTAACTTGCAGTTTTAAGAAAAATACAACAGTAAATTTCTAGTTATCTCTCATCAAGTATAGTCCACATTTAGAATCAGTACTTATATTGATGAAAATAAGATAAACCAAAGGAATGCTCATGTCCTCCCCAGAGAAGATATGTAAGAACCATCATATTTTATAGATTAGAAACTGTATAAAATGCTACCAAATCCTAGAAAAATCATACAATGCTGTACCTTTTTAATGGAGAGATTTTCTTCCTAACAAATCTTAAGTAAGAATTTTATTTGAATGCACTTGAACAAATCACTCAGAAAGACAGAAAAAGGTCTAGCATGAAACAATAAAGATGTATACTCCAAATCATGCATCTTTGGCTATGATACAGTAAGTGATACCATCTAGACCTCACATTGTAAACTACAATCAAAACATGTGAAGCAACAGTTTTCAGGCTTGGTAAATTAGGCAGCACAAAACTATAATCCCTGAGAGGAGAAAAACTCACCAAGTCAACCCCCATAATTACCCAGACACTCTGCTTGAAGGCAATATCTGAACCAGCACACAAGTGGATCATATAAGCTAAGTACAGTGGTCCTGCTGAACTGAGAAGGCAGAGATCAGTGTTCAAGGCAAATGAGGCCACTGGATTATGCTGGGCAGGAAACAGGAATATAAGGAGCTCTGCAAAAGGTCTCTAGAAGTACCATGTGAGTCCTTTGCCAAGGGCTGAACTATCCAAAGAGAAGTACCCAAAGTTTATCAGGGAGCAGGGGTTGATAACAAAACAGAGACACTGGAGGTTAAATAAAATTAGAAGAACAATCAATTTCCAGCCAAAGAATGGGGAAAACTTGCTCTTTCCTAGGCATTCAGGTGAGACAGCTTAGGAGAAAGAACCATGTACTAAAGCAAGAGGTACTCCAACACTACCTAACAATGCCTAGTAATGCCAATCCCTAAAAGATCAAAAGGGGAGCACAGTTGGGAGGTTCAGTCCTACCAGTTAAAAGGACTTGGGAAACAACTTGGTCTTTTCGCACAAAGTATAAAATGCAGTGTGCACAAGTTAAGGGTGATCATCAGGTAATTGGATAGATTATTAGAATGAAAATCAACACATCAACAAAAAGTAACAAACTAACAAAAAATCTCTATTCTATATCTGTAAGGGCCAGTACATATTTTAAAAATTACTTATTGGGCCACGTGGGTGCCTCAGTTGATTAAGTGTCTGCCTTCGGCTCAGGTCATGATCCTAGAGTCCTGGGATGGAGCACCACATTGGGCTGTCTGATCGGCAGGGAGCTTGCTTCTCCCTTTCCCCCTGCCACTGCCCCTGCTTGTGCTCTCTCTGTCAAATAAATAAATGCTGGGAAAAAAAAATAGGCATTTAAAAAATGAGTAAATAAAAGTAAAAATTACTTAATAGGCACAAAAGGGAAGTGTGAATCATCATCAAGTAAAAAGGAGTCAATAGAAAACCCCCAAAACACTGAACTTAACTAACAAATACTTTAAATATCTCTTACAAATATGTTCGAACAACTGAAGGAAAATAAGTTAAAGAATAAAAGGAAAATGTAGTCACAATGAGTGAATAGAGGAAAATATCAACAGAGAAATACAAACTGTAAAAAAGAAACCAGAATTTCTTTAACTGAAAAACAACAAAAATGAAAAATTCATTAGAAGGACTTAATAAAGAATGGAGACAGAAGAGAAGTCTGTGAACCTGAAGACAAATCAATCTAAAGAAAAAGGAGAAAAATGAAAAAATGAAAATGAAAGAGAGACTCCAGGGCTTGAAAAGCAATTAAACAGTATAAAAATACCATATATAAATAGACTAAATATAAATATAATAAACTAAACACTCCAACTCATAGGCAGAAATTATCAGAATTGATTAAAAAAGCAAAACTTAATCTCATATATTTTAAATATTAAGAACAAATAGACTGAAAATAAAAGGACAGAAAAAGATGTACCACACAAACAGCAAGGATAAGAAAACTGACAGAGCAATATTAGT